TTGTGATCCTAGCGCTCACGAAACCGATGAGCAGCCTGCCGGCGTCGGCCAATACTTTGGCCGACGCTACGGGACAGCTGACCCACACGGCGCCAAGCCCCCCTGGACCGGGGCGGATGGTGCCGACCCTGACGTTGTCCGCGCTGCACCCCGTCTTCTCCCGGATTACAGCGCGGACATCTTCGGCAGTCACAGAGTCGTCCAGGCCCGAGATGCGCAGCTCCGCGCACTTGGTAGGCCTGGCGATCTTGACACCATCTGTGGTGGCGAATAAACCCCGCAGCCTCTCAGCGAAAGTGTCCGCCGTCTTGGCGCCTTCAGCCCCTGGGAACTCGAGAACTCGAGCTCCAGTTTGGGCGAGGCGCATCTTGACCCCCACCGTCCCAAAGTCGTTGGCGAGGCTGTCCCGGGCCTTTTTAAAAACGGCCGCGTAGGACAACCCGCCGTCAGCCGCCTCCGGGGACACGGTCACCACTACAGCCGCGGTTTTGGGCGGCTGCAGCTTCCGCGGCCTCTTTGCAGAGGCCGTTGCCACCGGTGGCGAAGGCTGGGCTTGGGCTGCTTTTTGGGCAGCCCTTCTGGCCCGCCTTCGGGACTTCTTGGAGCCCCTCGCCTCCTGCCAGCCCTCGTTGGAGGGGGCAGGTGCGGAGGGGCCCGGCAGGGGTGTCGGAGTGGGGAGCGGAGGGAATGCCACTCCGCTCCTCGGCGCCGTTTTAGGCCCCGTCTTGGCCGGCACTTTGGCCTGCGCCTTGGCCGGCGCCTGGGACGGTGCCTAGGCCGGCGCCTGGGCCGGTGCCTTGGCCCCCCTCCTCGGCTTTTGGGGAGCCGATGGAGTCGGGGCAGACGCCGCCGCCGCGTTTGACTTGCCTTTTTTGTTTTGGTTGGTTTTCCGATCGTTTTTCTTAAATTTTGGTTATCATTATCCATAATAAATCCCACGAGTGGGGGAGAACTAAAGGTCCACCCGGGCAGAGATCCCCCATTACCCGGGCAAGCGTAAGTTTTTAACCCAACCGAGGGGTCCGCAGGTACCTCGGCTTGGAGTGCGCTCGAGACTGAACTTCCCATCAGCCATGCATCCCCTGGCCACGCACCAGAACACGAGATTCGGGGAATTTTTTAGAGAGGTTATCTTCCTCGCGGTCCGGGCGGTTAAGCCAAGACCCTCGCCCCCGATCAGAGCCGCGAGACTTAACCACAGCGCTCTTCTCGGGATTACGATATGCCGACGGTTGACAGGGAGACTACGTCCCCCTGCCTGCTCGGTGGTAGTGTGAGTACACGCCGAGCCCGTCCTCCTTTCTCCACCGCTGTCAGCGGAGAAACTGTGGCCCCTACAGGGCCCCGCCATCAGGTTTTTTACCGAGGTTTCCTCCTCCATGCTCCGAAGAGCGAAGAGCCAGCAGGGCAACCGGCAGACACGCCCACCCTGCTGGACCAGGCCTTGCCCGAGAGCCGATGAACGGCCTCCTCTTCTGCTAGAATATTGGCCGCTGGCGATAATCCTCTCCTCCAAGAGGACAAGGAGGAAACAGTACCATCGCCAGCGTTTCCAGGGTGCACCACGGGGAGGTTTTCTAGCCTAGCACCCCAAACCCTACATCAACCCGTCTGGCCAGCGTGGCGTAGTAGGCCCAAACCTCTTTTCTAAGGGGAGGCCTATGTCCAGTAGACTGGTAAAGGCTGTTGATGATGCTGGTTACGATGACTGAATGACCACTTACGAAATGTTTGTTCAAGTCAAGTTACATGAAAATTGAATAGAATGAATGAAGACCATTGATTTCGTGTTCTTTCCATCAATTAAATTAGTCTTATTCAAAACATAAAGCTCAAAGCTAATAAATGCTCTAAATTAATTGCAAACACATTGTTCACACCTTACAATTTCTTTGTGACAATTGATCGTGGAGGTTGTACTACGGGCTTGAAATATACTTAAATAAATTTCGTATTAAGTACTCGGATTTCACTAACTTATTTTTAAGATTTCTCCCGTACAAGCCAACAATCCTTTGTCCCAAGGGAAGTCCCTTGCCGCTGCTGTACTGGTTACGAGTGTGTTTTATCAAGTGATAAACATATGTAAATTAAAATACACTAAGACACAGAAATCCATTCTCTAAATCACAACATTTATAAATTTTTTGAAGTGCAAATCGGCAATGCCCGTTAAGAATCGTTATTTGTCTACTTTCGCCACATTCGACTGCCTCGGTGGTGCAGTGGTAGCGTATGCGACTGCTGTTTCGGGGAGGGGAGGGGAGGTCTCGGGTTCGATTCCCAGGCCGGACCAAATGTTTGTATGATCTGCAAATATTATCAGTCGATTTAGTTTTCATAGTACAAGCTTTGCTTAGTTTGAAACTAGATTGCGTTGTGTGTGAAATGTCCGAAATATTATCTTATATATATAATTCTCGTGTCACAATGTTAGTTACCATACTCCTCCAAAACGGCTGGACCGATTTTTATGAAATTTTGTGTGCACATCGGGTAGGTCTGAGAATCGGCCAACATCTATTTTTCATACCCCTAAATGACAAGGGTGACCCACCCCTAATTTTTTTTTCAGTATTGCCTAGAAATAATGTACGAGTATATGGCAAAACAATGTTTGCCGGGGCAGCTAGTTATTATTATAAACATTACACCAGCTGTACCATCAATAACTCAAATATCATTTCTAGAACGCAAAATATTTAAAACCTATTTGTTATAATCTACACACACCATGCTAAACGTAACTCACGGTCTCCTGCATCCATTCAGAGCCGTTCAAAGGAATTCAGCGGCCTTTGTTTCAGAATCAATCAATAAGTCCTAATACGCGTCCGTGTCGAAACAACGTCATACAAATGTAAGAAACGTTCCTGTTTTAATAGTCCTTTCTTGTTTGATCGGCGGTGTTTTACAAAGCGATTAAATCTGGTATGAGTGCGAGGGAGCACGTATTCATACTGGTATAGAGGTTTGTATAGAAGTACCGGCTTATTGTAATGTTGTCGGTCTGCTAAATGAGAATGTGACTTGGAATGTGCCAATAGAGGAAATGGATTATTGTGAAAAAAGAGTAGAAATTAGTTGTCTAATTCCTAAAGCTATGAGTTATAAGGGCAAACTGCATACATTTGTTTATTTATTGTTGACTAAAAAGTGATTTTAAATATCGTCTTAACTATTGGTTGTAAATGTAGCTGATATTGTTTTATGCAGGAACGCTTATATGGGAACAGAAATAAGAAAATATTTAGCTAGACTTTAGTGTTGATGTAAGCAAGAATGAAAGGCAATCCAAACATGGATAAAAATATTTCGTTAGACAGTAGTTCAATATTTGATCCACGTTAGAGTAAGATTTCTAGTACCCCAGTTCCCTCTTCCTGATGCATTTCCTAATAGGTGCATGGGAATTTAAAATCAGCAATATTTGACTAAACTTAACCGCTATTGCAACTTAACTTAACTTCCATAACCAATTATTTATCTAAAACACTATTTATGTGTGACTTTGACGTATCTTTAAACCATGGTGAGGTAATGATCCTGGCGGCTTTATAGACTTACAAAAAGTAACACAAAGATTAGCGCAGCGGCTACATGAAAGACTGATACAAACAAATTATAAGAACAGTAGCTTAACTAGTCTCTGTAATCAAGTCAGTAGCAATCATTATCAGAAGCCTCTTATCACTTAAACTAAAGAGGATTAATTCGATATAAAGCAAGCGTTTCAAATATGCCGCAATGATAACGTGAACGTGTTTTCACATATAAGTATAGTAAGTACTAAACAACTTATTCTTTGGGTACTCTGCGGTTTTGCGGAGACAACAATCGCCGACAAAGGGCCCAGAAAGCAGCAAGATAACTGAGAGAGTTTATTTTGCTCTGTTTGAGAATAGTCACTTTTACCTAATCTGTAGATAACCGAGCGACGTCTAACGTATAAAAAGTAAAATATAAATAGCTACAGTACCTATAGACTAGCAGATACGCGTACAAATTCTCCGTATGATTCGTTATGAAAAAGATAATTTAAACCAAATCCTTTTGTACATTTTTATTTCACTTAGGCCAAGTACTCAAAACAAAGGCGAACGTAAAAAGAATACACTCCAGCTCATTACGAAAAACAGTATAAACATTTAAAATTTAATTATTAGTATTTACGTGGGACTAAGCGTGTTTTACAACTATTTTTGTAGCTTCTGCAGTTGAAAGAAACTATATGACGATTTTCACTTTTAACACTGAAATATGAAATATTTACAACAACTATATAAATGTTTCATTGGCCCATGATTTTAATCTCCAGACTCTGTCAGCGTTCACGTGTTTTAATTTCTAAATCTCTAAAAAAACAAAAAGGTTTACACAATAAAATGTTTCGTGTACCTACGCGACGCCAAAATAAAGAAAATGTATTCATAGTTTAACGATAAAATAAAATAAGATTTATATTCAAGTTCATATTTGCTTCAATTTATTGTAAAGCAAATTTACTGTAGGTATACTATATTTGCTCCATACGTGCGTTTATCTCTGAGGATATATTATAAAATCCATTTACATTTTATTTTTATCGCTATTATGCGAAGTGCGAGCGAAGTGCCACGCGGTCCGATTCTCAGGCATATTGCAGTTTCAATCATGCCCACGAGTATTATGCCTTATTTTTATTATTTCCATTCCACTTCCATTATGGCGTCCAAAAGAAATGCTCGACCATTATTTGAGCCGTTAAATACGACACCTTTCCTCCTCGCACGCTCGTATTTCAAATTTAAATCGGCCCTTTTTAACTGCCTTATTAATGCAATCCTTTTTTCTTGCCGTATGTTTGTGTAGGTGTTGGCTTTGAGAACAGTTTTAGTGAAAATTTGAATGTAATTCAAGTCTTTATAGAGCTCTCGTCAGAGAGAATTGGTATCCACGGTAATCTCCGCATTTCCATGAGTGTGATTTCGTTTATTTATTTTACTTTTTCTTTATTCCAGGTACATGCTTTGTGGGTAACCAGTCTAGCAAGTCATTACTGGCTCTGGTTATAGTTCCTGAGGCAATTTGTTTGCTACTTGGCTGCGTGTTCTTGTCATCTGGTTTCCGAGCGGTTCTTCGACGTCCTACACCTGTGCCAGCACCAGCAGTTCTCCTCAATTCACCGCCTCAGCCCCACACTGATCAAAGTGTGCTGCGACTGGGTGCATTTGCTGCTTTATATGCTGTACCATCCGCGTGCATACTCGCTACATGGGTCTACGAATATGCATGGAGAGATGAGTGGCTCGCTGCACCAGTACCTTCAACGAAACCTTCGACTCACCCGTTACCACCGTTTTGGGTATTTCTATTCCGCATATTCGCAACACAAATCCTTGGTGTAATGGTTGCGGTATGGATTGCTACTCCGAGGTTAAAGGCTCTGTGGAGAAGGATCACCGGACCAAGAAAGCCGCCGATAGCGAAAGTATCTACAGGACCGCCCCCAACACCGCTAACACTACACTGTTATGCGACGCATCCGCACAGTTTAACGCGACATCCACACAAATATGCTACATATAGACCTCCGCAACAACATTCGTATAGAAAGCCAAGGCACTACCACTACTCAGCCGGTGAAACTATTCTCTGACAAGCATAACTAGCTTAATATTTATGTTCACTGTACTGTTCAAAGACATTTTATTAAGGAAAGTTTCCTATTTTGTTGCATTTAAGATTTGTATGTTGTCTGTATGAATTTAATATTCAAGTGCCATTAGTTTTATAATGTTATTATACAGTTATTTATATGGAAGCGGGATGGAGTACAGAGTCAAGAATGACCTGATTGACTAGAACTTTAATCCTCGTAGAGGAATAAGTTTAATAAGATCCATGTAGTTTAAAAACATCGGCCATGGTGTATTTTTACTTTTGTATACGTAGATAGCGTTGTGATTCTTTCATTTTTGAAGGAAATAGTAAGTCCGTTAATTGCCTTTCTAGTTACTACTTTAAGTAATTATTACCTAGTATTGTTTTGCTTGTACATAATTCCTTTAACATTGTGTAAATAAATGTGTTAAGTATATGTATTATAAGGTATTATATAGTCTGTAAATATAATAATTCTTACTATTTGTTAATACAAAAACATTGATTTTGTAATAATAAATGGTACATAAAACAAAAACAATATAACAAACATATAATACAAAAACAATATGTCTGTAATAACAAATAGTAAGAAAAAAATGTGTTTTGAACTTTTTGTGTAGGTATTTATATATAGGTATGTGTGAGATGGGCACAAAATCTTTTTAAACAAAGTATAATGCGTAGAACATTAACTTTAACTAACTAATCACACATTTCTTCACCACTCTAAGGTAGACTGGGAGAGAATGCCTATGGCATTGAGTCCACCTTTGTAGACTTCTTGTGCATACAGCATTAAAGAAAATCTTTGCCTTCAATCCGTGGAGTACAGAGCATTCAGTTTAAAAATGTAAAACAAACTGTTTAAGTAACACGAGTATTAATTAAATAAAACGCTTCCTTTGTCGTTTTTTTTGTCGTTATCGATTTTTGACATGAACATTGCAATTAATTATCTGAGTAGAACTTTTGATTAATTAAATGGTTGGTAATTAAATGGTAAGATCAATTAAATTTCAACCCCGGTTTTAATAGCTATTTTGTTTGTTTGTTTGTTCAAAAACTTTAACAAACTTATATGGTGATATAACCAAGAAATTGTAAGTTATAAAATTCTGTGACGCGGCCATAGTGTCTGCCACGTCAGGGGTTGCGGGTCCTGTTCTTGCATAGTGCAAATATGTGTATGAACACATAAGTATAAGTTTGCATTTTTTTTTATGTATGCAAGTACCTATATACGAGTATAAATTCGTCTTCTGGAACCTAAAGTCCAAGCTGTCCGTAGCCTACACTCGTTGTCTAATAAACTACCTGTGTAATGTACCAATTCTTAAATTTAAAAAAGTTTTTTTTTTCTAAATGCTTTTACGATAGTACCTAAGTTTTGTACAAAAGCTGCAGCATAAAGATCCACCCCCTCATTGCCAAAATGTTACATTGTAAATAATGACTGAAAATTTTATTGTGAATACTTAGTGAATAAATTTTATTTATGTAAGTATTATACAGATACTTATAAGGGTAAAATATATGATTGTAAATTTTTCTATTTTTTATTGTTTGATTTTAATACCAGATCTAAAATAATACTTTTTGCTTTACCCGTAGTTGTTGGATAGTAATAATAGGTCACATGAAGAGATTGTTGTGTCTGTGTGTGTGTCTCTGTGTGTGTGTGTGTGTGTGGGTGTTCATAACTTTAAGAATATAATTCCATAGCATTTATCAGTTTTAACATAGTTTTGTTATCTTTTTGAAGCAAAATAGCGTAGTCTAATTCTATTCTAATGATGCGACAAATTGATTCTAAAAGTAGCAAAGGCAGAATGACATTTTTCGAAGTGAATGTCGTGATTTGCTTCTGATGAAATTTACCAAAAACAAAATAAACAATATCTTGAATAGTAAAATATGAACATCTCATTCATTTCTGGGTTTGCTTCGAAAAAAATGTAATCACTATCGGTTGTATTGAATCGACTCGAAATCAAAATCTCTAAATAAAAGGACAAACAATTATCAAAATTATTAATGGCTAATTGTTCTGGTAAATAACGTAAGAAAGTTGCTTAAGTAAGCGGGCGTCTAGTACTTTGGAGAGAAAAAGAAGAATAGATAGTAGAGTTTTAGAAGCAAGTGAATAGGGATTGAATGATGCTTTGGCCACTGGTACCATAGAGACATAACAATAGAGAGAACATGGGGTAAAGCTGTCTGTAAGTGAAAGCGATACAGGAACGAGAGAGATGGATGCCCTATAGTTCCCTCTGACTCTGTTTAGCTAAGCTGCGATTGGCTATCATGAAGTGGGCAGGGTTTTGATAGTGGAACTAGCGAGAGATTAGAAATTTCCCCAGCCAACCACAGAGCTCGACTAGGAAGAAATAGAAGGAACTATTAATTATCCATCTCTCTCGTTGTCTATATTGCAAGATTGAGGTTCTTTGTTTACTCCATGCTTATACATATCTCTATGGGTTTTACACAAGCCGTGCGCCCAGGACCACGGATAACTAATACTAGTCGGAGAATAAGGAGTCATAAGGATGGAAAAACATAAGAATCGAGGCAATAACGAATTAGCGGTTACCATAAAACAATTAATTTCAAAACAGCTGGCAAGAAAAGAAGTTGGATGGTTTAAAGTTTAAGCTTTAATGATTCAATATACCTAGTGTTTTTTTAGTAATAGTAAGATTTTAGAGGACTTAGGAGAAGATGTTGACAGACCTCAAGAACCTTTGATAGAAAAGGAAGGATGGAGATTAGACGAAAGTGCTCAGAAAGAGAAGGATTATTCATTTTAGGCAATGGGATGGTGCGGCTTTTTGCTAGAGACAGAAGAAAGTTCCGGAGTCGAGAAAGAAGGCACCGGAGCCAATTCAAAGTTGACAATATTGAGTCTGCGCAGACTAGCGATATAGTTCTTTTTGCCCAAGGGAATTCGAGGTTTGAGGTAATAACAACTTTTGCTTTTACTCTCTTTATACTACCTACCTCACTCTTATGCCGATGTTAAGGGGCTTTATACCAAAATGAATGTAATAAAAAAAAACAAGCAGAGGAATAAAATGAAGTTAAATCTTTATCTGCTATGTGAAGAATACGCTGTGGTATGACGTTGAATATGAAATTCCAATAAACGTTTTAAAACAAATCGGTATAAAAGAATCGTATCAAACCAACGATGATATTGCAGACAAAAACGTTGTTTGTCTGCAATATCATCGTCAATTTGCAATATCTGAAAAAGACCAACTTTTTACTAATTTTGTTGTAATTTGTTATTGTTAGTATAACGTAATAATAAAGGAAAGTAATTATTAGTTTAACTTATTGTTTTCTTTCACAATACCTAAAATAATGTATCACGGAAAATTCAGCGACTATTAGGGTAGGGCTGTTTTTCTTTACTTGTTTTCTGATGGTTTTATATCTTCTTCTTCTTTTAATTCAATGGATCCATCGGATGTCGATGATTTTGCCAACGTCAGGAATGGTTTTATATAGTATATAGTTGTGGAATCTAGTAGAGTTAATTTAACTGTTGGCAACACTAATACTCTGTGGTCTTTGACGTTTCATTGCTAGTCGCGTTCCATAATCATTTATCGTGCGTGATAATCGCGGTCAAGAATTGAGATCTTTAGATCGAATATTGTTGTTCCTTTTGCACTAACACACATTTATATATTCCTCTCGATCTTTCTTGCTAACATTAGTTTCAAGTATTATAGTTATACAATAGTTAAAGTTATCAATACCAAACCAACAAACAACCAAGCTGTACTGTTGTACTTTCAGGCTATATATATATTATATATTTTTCGTGTACCGGTTTGATATTATATAGATTAGTTCTATGAAATAAACCAAATTAGTACTTTTGAAATGTCTTCATTTGCTCAGCTCAATCGTGTCAGTAATTTCTTCGTTGGAAGTTACAAAACTGTTCTTCAGGGAAGGTAATATTGAGGTTATGATGCCAAAGCTTTTGTTTATAGCTATAGCTGTATTTGATTTTTCTAATTAAATAATACAAATTTTACTGCAAAAAATCTTTTATTAGGTACATGTTCAATTTTCATCCTCTACAAAAATCTTCAAGGAAAAGAATTAGGTACTTACAGTTTCAGTTCCAAAATATAATATTTCAGGACCACTTGGTACAACCAAGTACAAGTATGCAACTATACTAAAAAGTCTGCGGAGGCAAAGCTTGGGCTGGAAAAGCCAAAGCGGCCCTTGACTCCCTATTTCAAGTTTATGACTCAAATGAGGCCAGCTCTGCTTGCCAAGAATCCAGGAATAACCTCCAGAGAAGCTATCTCTTGGACCTCTAAACATTGGCAGGAATTAGATATTGAGGTGGAGTATAGAATAATATAACTTTACAAATAGTACTTAATGCCTCCTCTGATGCTTATGTCAGGTTTCATAATAAGATTAAGCAGTTACATTATAATTTCATTTAGAATTATACTGATACTAGTATAATTCTTAAGGTAATTTAATTAGTGTGGCGAAGAATTAAGAATACGGGGAGTCACCACCGCTATTCATCCCATGGATGTCGTAAGAGATGACTAAAGGAGCAAACTGCGCACGACAACAGCAGTGCAAAGGGAAGGAAAACTTGACACAAACCCTATACCAACCTGTCTGGCCAGTGTGGTATAGTAGGCCAAAACCTCCTTTCTAAGGAGAGGTCTATGTCCAGCAGTGGATTATTAAAGGCTGTTGATGATGATGATGATGATCAATGAACTAGTATTGTTAAATTAATTTAAGGTTGTAATAACTACAAGTAGTAACTTGTAGTAAACTGAAGTAGTTAAACTGAAGATTTGTATTGTTTGTAGTAACAAACAATACAAATCTTCAGTTTGATAAAACTTGAAAATTGAAAGATTTACTACAACCTTAAATTACCTTAAAAATACCAGTTTAACCCTAAATGAAATTGTAAATGTAAATGGTTAAGCTTATTATGAAATCAATTCGACGAGCCTGTTGATCTAGTGGTTAGTGACTCTGACTGCTAAGCCGAAGGTCGTGGGTTCGAATCTCACCTAGGAGAAATAATTAGTTCTGCCTGTCTGTCTGTTCTGTATTTTTAAATACATATATAATGTATAAAATATAAAAGTATGTTTATCAGCAGTCTGGTTACTATAGCATAGGCTCTGCCTAGTATGTAATCAGACAGCCGTGAGTGGGATTTATGAAGCTTTTATTATTAAATGTAAGTGATCAATGTCATCAAGAAATTTATCTTGTAATGTTGTAAAGTGTAATGTTGAAATTGAAGCAGCAAAAAATATTTCGTTTCTAATAGAAATTATTTACTACTTTTTTTACAGACCAAGAATCAAATGGCTAAAGAATATGAAAAAGACATAGAAGACTATAAAAAGATAAAGGCTATGTATGAATCATCTTTAACAGAACAACAGAAGGAGGACATAAAGAGGCTGAAAGGTGAAATGGCTGCAGCAAAAGAAAAAAGAAAATTAAGAGCTGTAAGTTTCTAGAAGTTTACTCTGACAGAAAAATAGTTTCTTGTGAACTCTTTTTCTTTCTTCTTCTCTTTTTTTTAACAAGTCTATCTTCATGATAATAATTTGTTGTCTGCTTTCTAGGAATACAAAGAACTGGGCCGTCCAAAAAAGCCAATGTCTTCCTATTTCTTGTATATTCAGTCACGAAAAGACAACTTTAATGCCAAAGATATAAAAGCATATCAAATACAGGCAAAATCAGACTGGATGAAATTGACTAGCACCGAGAAAGCAAAATTTGAGAAACAAGCACAAGAACTAATGATTAAATATAAGTAAGTATAAAATACACATCCACTCACGGCTGTTACCCCTAAGGCATAGACATACTACATACCCTTGTTTTTTCAATTATTGCTTTGCCTAGTGGTGGGACATCATATTCTTTTTAATTATAGAAATATCTAATTGTCTTTGTATGTACTTTCCAGGAAAGATCTAGAAGCATGGGAACTTAAAATGTTGTCAATGGGACGTGATGACCTTGTTCGCCCTAAACCTCCGCGAGAGAAAAAGCCAAAAGCTGTCGTTAAAAATGAATAGGAATTTGGGTGCTCTGATGATTCAACTGACTATAATACTATTAGCCATAAGCACACAGCTGTACAAAGTATTGTTAAGAATTCAAGTACTTCCGAAGTGATTAATAAAGTGGAAAGTAAAGTTTCTGCGAATGTTACCATGCAGTCAGAATCAGATCATCAGAGCACGGGTGATTTAAATATGAGTAAAGGAAAGGATGACAAAAAAGTCAATATAGATAAGAAAGTGTTTGTACCTAATGCTGAAGAGCAACAGAGTAAGAACATATTCAGTAGTCTCAAAAACTTTTTTAAGCGTTAAGTTTAGTGTTACTTACATCACCATGTATTTTTATTGTTTTCTTGTATTGGTTTATTTTAGTTTTATCATAGACTAAAAAATAGAATATAGTTTCATTACTATTTTTGTTAGTTTTTATTACCATCATCCTTATTTTTAAAAAGTTTTCAGTTTTATATCAAATTTTTTAATTCATTCTTTTACAAATTATCAAACTGCTAATCGCTGCTTCTCAAATTTGATAAGTTTTTTAAACATTTAGAAGCTGCATAGCAAAAAGCCTATTTTTCTACTGATTTTATCAATTATCTAGCTGACTAGCACTTTTTAATTTTTTTTAAGTTTTTGAACGTACAGTAGCTGTTTTGCAAAAAACTTATTTATCATTTATTGATTTTTTCTTTCAGACTTTTAATATCAAAAAGATAGTATAAAGGACCAATATTGACATGGTATTGGGAGTCATTATTATTAGTTGGACTACATGGATGGCAAAGTGTGACGCCTAATACTGCGCTGAATCTTGTGGGTTCAATCCCCACATGGGTCAACACTGTGTGATTCACAAATTGTTGTTCTGTTCGGCAAAGGAATGTTTTTATTTTAACCCAAATGATAAGAAAGTTATCCCTTGGGTTAACTACAACTCTTATGGGAAGGAATCAAATGGTTTGAGGCTTCAAGTTGAACGGAAGTTTTTTGGCAACCCACTAAATCTAGCTACAAAGGGCATGCAAGAAAACTAAGCCTTAAAATACCTATTGTTGCTCAGTTCTTAATTTCGTTGGTTTCAATAAAACTCTTTCTCCAAACCTCCAAAATACTATTGTGAAAAATCAATTGGAATGTAATTTTTTGCATTAAAAAACCGCTTCCGTTATACAATTATTCAAAAAGAAAATACAAACAAGAGCAAACAATTCGATATTACTAATATCTCATTAATTAATCATGATGTAAGCATAATTTCTGAACTTTGAACATTCGGAACTAATCTAACTAAATCAATTTTGTTTCAGTTTATTTTCTCCTAGTACTGAGCCATATTTATAACAGTTAGAAGAACAAAGTTAATAACAAGAAATACCATTCATAACCATTTTTTATTTCAAAGATGTTACAAAATATAATTATAATAAATTTGCTTCATTTTATTAATAAGTGTTTGACTTTCGCTCACAATATAAATTAAGCTGATACATTATTCATTTGCAGTCGTAGGTATTATTGTTGTGTAATAACAGTACCAACAAGTAGTTAAATGCATTATTTATATAAGAATGCTTTACATCTCATTTTTATATAAAATGAAATATAATATTTAAATTCACAATATAACAAAAGGAAGCTCTAAAAATCGTCATTTATTACAAAACATTAATAATATGATGTGACAACATTAATAAAATGTTCTAATCTTTGGTATTTCTATATCAGCTTAACTCATGTTGTAATAAAACCTAGCTCCTCCATTACCATAGAAATTTTACAAAAATATTTAGGAAGTAAAAGGTTTTAGTATGATTAACATCATTGGGACATTCACTTAACATTTGTGATGATAACATACATCTGGCATGGAACTAAAGTCATTTAGCCATGGGACAAAGTTATAAATGTTACTAATCCATATATTTGGTAAAACCTATGGCTATTTTATTCATTAAAGTTGAAAACCATTAGATGTCTCATGTGTTTAATTTTTTTTCACCAATGACTAACAAATAAAAATTAAGAAAGTGTTAATCATTATTATCAAGATAAGTAATAAATATCAAAAAAACATTCTAACAAAAGAAGATTACGAGTCACAGACTGCCATGTTAAGCATGCTATAATAGGTAGTTATATATAATTCATTATAACTTTGGTTCTCAAAGGTATTAAATAACTTCATAAATTCAGGCCATAAAATTGATTACACAGGCCGAGTTAATTTACGAGAACTTGTTCGTTTATCAAAATACTTTATTATTAATATAGCATGGAAATAGTTAGCTAATTTGGCATTCTACTTTATATTCTATGCAATATTTGATATCATTAAGTTTTACAGAAATAAATACAATTTAAATGCAGAAGAAGTAGTATTAAAAAATATATAGAAATTACGCTTTATACACACGATCAAAATACATTGAGCAAAAATAAATATTTAGATGACCATAACTAAAAATTTTCATTATTGCTATTTACAAAATTGATTCTAATTTAAAAACTAAAAATGGCAATATGTGACTAAAACGCACACATGTCACATCTTCTCACTTATGTAAAAAGGCACAAGCAATCAAAACTATGGAACATTGTAAGATACTTCCAAAATCCAACTTTAAATCTATATATATACACAGTGATTTAGCATACAAAGGTGAATTTTGAATTGTACCCATATTATTCTAGCCGGCTATTGTTAGATATTGCTCAGTCAATGTACTGCCTACAAGAGGCATCAAAAAGTATTTACTATGTATTTAAACTACTTGTCAAGGTAATAAATAATGATTGTATGCAAATAGTTGTGAACAGAAATATGCAAATATCACATGAAATAACTGCTAGGCATTGAACAATATATAACATTTTTTGCACTCTATATGAACACACACCCTGAAGTAGCATGAGTGCATTGGTAAATTTAGACTTACTTTGCGCCGGAAACCATATCATCTTTGTTATAACATAAATTAATATTGGCAGGAAAAAGTAAGTATCCTCAAATGTAACCAATGTTAAACCATATAATAATTGCATTATAAGTGACAACAAAACAATATCATATCTGTAATTCGTAACCTTCTCCCAAAGACATGATGTTGGTGTCGGCTCCTGTGTCAATGATGTCGATGTAAAGGGTGCCAAATCATCAGGTACCTCTCCATCACCTGCCGCAACGTCGTGAATTGCGTTGTCATGATTGACTAAGAAGGTGTCAATTGTTTCAGGCAGAACCACACCATTATTTATCAAAGATCTATTTAATATGCAAACGTTTTCCGGTGTAACCGATATCTCTCGAATTTGTTCAGGAATTACACTTCTGATTGGAGATTCTGAAAGAGAAACATCAGAATAATCAAAGTAAAATTAGATACTAAGCCATGTCACTCGTCAAAGTACAAATACTACTACCTCTAGGACAATCATCGTCGCATTTTCCTGATATAAGCTGCAGCCTATTATGAGAATTCTCTAATATTCTTTTCCTACGAGCTTCACGACGGGCAGCTACAGCATCAGCCATATTGACAATTGACATTAAGTAAATGACAGCTCATTGACTATTGCCAGCCCATTAACAAAATACATCTTGATGTTCTTTTTCTAACTGGTGGTTTTGGATCTTTGAAGAAGGCTGTGAAAAACACTTTCTTTTTTATTTATATAAAATCAGAAACAAATACAACAACAAAAAATTTTTTTTTGCTCTTTGTCCCATTAACAACTTTATTGCAACAAAATAAGTTAACTATTAAATTGTCCATTTATATGAGCCACACAATTGTCAGTTTTATCTCGATTTACTAAATAATTATTGAAGTCAATCAAATTGTCATACAATAGTAAATCGACAGTTTTTAATAGACAGACTCTGTCAATGTCTTTGATGTTTAATAATACGTCTGTATTAAAACTCGCAGAACTCACTGGAAAGGCGACCAAATACATGTGAAGCCAGATCGACTATTAACATAGGCCATGTCCTTGGGTCCAGCTTTGAAAATAAAGATTAATAAAAATAAATGAATATGCGTAGATATATAGTCATAGAGAGAACTCGGGGCAATACAGGCAATGAGAGAGATGGATGCCCGATAAAACCCTCTGTCTCTGTTTAGCTAAGCTGCGATTGGCTACTTATTAACCCCTCATATTCCCCAGCTAACCTAGCTTACTCGACTAGAAAGAGATAAAACTATCTATTATCCATCCCTCTCGCTGCCTATACTGCAAGATTGGAGCTCTTGCTGACTCTATATTTATTTCTCTATGGGAATATGTGTATTTCTCTGATATTCTATTCCCTTTTACGACATCCAGTCCATTGATAGAGTTGATTTTATTTTTGAGACAGACACCAAATCTATACTAACAGAAGGCATAGATTCTTCATAAAAAAATAATTTTAGTTTTGTTGAAGTTTTGAAGTCTAAAGCGTGGGTAAGCGTAGGTGGTCCGACAACCTGTGGAAGATCGCGGGAAACCGTTGGATGTGAGCAGTGCAGGAGCGGTTGTTATGGCTAAACTTGGGGGAGGCCTAGGTCCAGTAGTGGACGTCTTTCGGCTGAGAAGAAGAATAACAAGAAAGCGATGTCTTGAATTTCCTTACAACTTGACGTTTGTTTACTGTTTACATTAAGATCAACGAGAATCTCTATCTCTTTGTTAAAAAAAGACTGTTCCTTTCTTTCATTCTGATTTTCTCATTATAGGTTTTGATGTATAAAGATGACATGTAAAGAGAATTTTATATACTTTAGGCTATAATGATACATCTCTCATTTAAAATTAAAACCAAATTGGGAAGAAAAAAATAAGAGCATAAAATTGGCAACCGGAAGTTTGTGTGTTGTCTGTTACAGAGTAACGCCAAGGACTTTTGTTTGGCGCCTTTACGGGGCCGGTCGGTTTTTACTTATAAAATTAAATTGTGTCGTTTTTGATTAGACATCAGTAATTTCTATAAAATATAATGGGTGACAAAGGTGACGGAGGTAATTGCATTTGAGATCAATGTTTTTTAATATGGCATTTGTTCTCTGCTGACGATTGACAGCCAGAGGTTTTTTTTGGTTATCGAAAAAGATTTTGTAGGAAACCTTCATCTGTGATTTCCAGAAACCTTTGATGATGCGGTAGAAGAAAGAGTGATTAATGAAGAATATAAGATATGGAAGAAAAATACACCATTTTTGTATGATCTGGTGATGACACACGCTCTGGAGTGGCCCTCGTTAACAGCACAGTGGCTTCCAGACGTTACTCGACCTGAGGGAAAGGATTATTCTGTCCACAGGTAAGAAAAATCCATCAAAAACACATTACCACGAAGTTTTAAAATATGTGATACTTTCCAAAATCATCTTAAAGAAACTCTTAGAAAACTGTCATTTGCTTTCGATATGTATGTTTTATGCTCTGTGTATTAGTTATTCCAATAAAATAAAATTGAACACACATTTACATGTGTCCTTATATTTTTAAATATGTGTACACATACTAATTTGTTTTTTTTAACAGTTATTCAATTGTACATGTTTCTAAGATGTCCTTTAAATAATAGTGATGGAAATGGTTTCTAAGTCAATATATATATATAATATGTGAGAATGTAAGATATATATATACATATAATATATATTGTCAAAGAATTCCTATAAGTTTCTTTAATGTTCCACTTAGATCAAAACTATTATGGGTCCACACAAATCCTTACCTTACAAATATTATATGATAATCAAATAATTTTTAATGCTTGATAACTTTGTAATAGTTTGTTGATATTTATCACGATGAAATCAATGACTTTAAAAGCATAAAGTTATAATTATTAACTTTATATGAAAAGTAAGTAATAGAGATGGAATAAAATTACAATTAACTGTTATAAATCATATAATCAAACCTGTTACTAATTTCCAAAACCAATGTGACTTATGATTATGCTATCGCCAGGCCTGTGAAAGGTCTAAATCTTAAAACAAGTATGTCTTTGATCAAAGTTTGGTTTTTTCTTTGCTTATGTTTTTGATGGCATTTATCTTTGTCTATGACCAAATCCCAGTAGTGATTTATCACAAGTGAAATTTCAGTGACTAAAACCAATTATTATGATTTAATAGTAGCAATAATTGCTACCACTAGTAAGTGGGTACTCTTCTGTCAGTCACGTCTTTGGTAAACTTTCTAAAACTTATTCTCTTTGCAGATTAATCTTGGGCACACACACATCAGATGAACAAAACCACCTATTAATTGCCAGTGTTCAGCTACCAAATGAAGATGCACAGTTTGATGCCAGTCACTATGATAATGACAAAGGAGGTTTGTATTTTTACTTATTTTCTAGAAGACGCCGTCATTTCCTAAGACTCGTTCTGGGAAGAAACTCCGAAATGAACCACAGAGGTGTCTTTTTTTTTTGTCCGTGTACAATGTTAAAAACTACTATATGATTGCAGTATAGGGTCTGGGTTGGCCTTTGGAGAAAGGACCATAGTATTGACTCCTCCTGTCGGTACAGACAGCATAGGACTGATTTAGTCAGGATACTTGAGTGGGCAGGAGTTTTAAGTGTTTCCCCTTGGAAACTTAAAACCTTAGTTAGAAAGTAAATAAAACATGAACTATCATTACAAGCCTACGCTATACTCACATTTACATACTTACACAAAAGAAAAATACTATACAATTCAATTTCTAATAAACAAATTGAAAACAAACGAAACGAAATACGAATTACAACAAAAAAATAAATGTCCATCACTTTCAAATGTGAATAAGCAGCATCAATCCCTCAATTTGTCATTTAAATAATCTGTAATGGTGTAGTAAGCATTTTCACATAGTTTTGTTTAACTAAGTACCTAAGTTTGTAAATACTTAATTTAAATGTTAAAAGTCATGAAATTTGCTTGGCATTTTATTGTAGAATTGTACACCCTGACATCAAAAAGACTTGCTTACTTTTACATAGTCTAGTCGTTGTCAACACAAGTTTATATTTATTTCTAGTATTGATATTATGAATGTCAAATTTTCATATATATTTATTGAGATGCGGCTGTCATAGCACCAATTTCTTGATAGCGGGCTTGAGCTTGATAGCGGGTTTAGATATAAAAAGGACCTCTTGTTGGGTTTCAGGGTTTTAATGTTCTAAATAACTGGGTTTTACAGTTTTTACAGTAAGAGAAAAAGTAATGTTTTAAATGTAGTTTTTTTATTACAATGAATAGTGATGGAACACGAATAGCATAGACAAAAAAAGCTATCGGCGTATATGGCGTTAAAACCTCTTAAGGGTAGCAGTTATCAAGCACATACTTAGAGGTAAATAGAAAATGGAGAAAATTCACAATTTTTAAACAATAATGTAAGCTTGCCAAATTATTGCAAGTGACCCTAGTCTATTGTACATGTAGTTATAAACATGCAATTATAATACATAAACTTTTTTTTGCAGAATTTGGCGGCTTTGGCTCAGTGTCTGGTAAAATTGACATTGAGATCAAGATTAACCATGAAGGTGAAGTGAACAGAGCCCGTTACATGCCACAGAACCCATGTGTCATAGCTACTAAGACACCTTCCTCTGATGTGCTGGTATTTGATTATACTAAACATCCATCAAAGCCTGAACCTTCTGGAGAATGTCACCCAGATCTCAGGTAATATATTAAAAAATATTTTTATCTAGTTGGGGATCAGATGAATGAGATGAGATTGGCCTTCAGTACTTACCAGGTCAGGTCAACAAGATAATCTAAGATTAATTTTAACTTGAAGGTTTGTATAAGTATAAATTAAAACTGATTTCGCAAAGTTATCAACTTTCATTCTTATCATTTTTATTTTAAGGTGGAAATCCCTAATTTATATACCAGGTATGGGATATGCCAGGCAAACTACCAGTGGACTCAATTCCATATTATTGCTCCTAGGGCAATTGGTCTTTTCACAATTTAACTTTAAGTAAAATTGTTTGGGGCACTTGATTGTACTTTAAACCCAATGGCTTATCTTAAATCAATAGTTATCATTTTTTTTTAACCAAAAGTTATTCCACTAAACAAAGTTTTTAAAAGTTTTACTCAATTCTAATAAAATATTGATGTTTTTTATTATTTACAGACTGCGTGGTCACCAAAAGGAAGGCTATGGTCTATCCTGGAATCCTAACCTCAATGGTTATCTTCTTTCTGCCAGGTATGTTTATTCAATTATAATTAATATTGACTTAAACATTTCAATAAATGGAAAACTTACACTAAGGTTATTGATTATGAAGAAATTTACTATCATTATTATTATAAAAACAAGCAAGCAGTTGAAACAACTGACAAAAGCCTGTAGCCTGCGAGATTCCTATTAGTTGTCCCACTTAGATTTAATTACATACATACATATGTGGAGTTGATTTTTAAATTGGTTCAAAGTTTGGGCAGATATAACATCATCTGGAAGCTTTGCGATTCACGATTAAAAAGTGTTTGTGAGGATTGATGTTAGAGAATTATAACAATTATTATGGTTGAATTTACTGTATGAAAAGAAAAAAAAAAGTTCGTTATTCTCTTGTATTTGAGGATTCTTCTTATTTGTAGTGTAAGAATTATTCATAAATATAAGTAATGAAGAAGAGAAACTTTTTCATTACTATTATACATAAGAATTATTATTGTAAAAATAAATTATTTTAGAGATTCCGAAAGAGTATTTGAAGTATATAAAAGTATTTTCGTCCTTAGCGATGACCACACAATCTGTCTGTGGGACATTAATGCTACCCCAAAAGAGGGCCGCGTTATTGAAGCCAAGTCTGTATTCACTGGACACACTGCCGTGGTGGAGGATGTTGCATGGCACCTACTTCATGAATCTCTGTTTGGATCGGTTGCGGACGACCAGAAGCTCATGATTTGGGATACCAGGTATGTTTACTGTGTACTGTATTTTTACGGCAAAAGACAGGTCGAATTATAAATATGTAACCGTAACCCCTATTTCTTGCTTACATGCCCCAGTGCACCCATATAAACAATATCCTTCTCCATCATTGATATACAAAAAACCCAAGATACACAGTCTCGAACTAAAGTAACACTTGAATCTGTCTCCAATCACACATGAGTAGTTATAGTTATGTTATAAACATATTTTTTTGCAAATTCAACCTTACGCACATGATATAAAACTCTTTTTACAAAGCAGTGTACAAAAAGCAATAAAATTTTACGACCGAAGTCTGCTGGTAGGACAAGGCATGGAATGGAGACTTCATTATGTTTATACTTTTTATTTTTATACTACGTTCACTTAATATTTTAATAATTTATAAAAATGTGTTCTCAACTTATAATTATACTTTCATTTCAGTGTATATATATTTTTGAGTGGAACATGTATTTATCAATAGAACAAATGTTAACCATTAAAAATATTTATTTGTATATTTAGTTGAAAAGGTAATATTGTAGAAACTAAGTACCTAGATATTTAGTTTATGATGATTGCGTGTTGGTGGTGAAAGCTTTTTGAATTTTGGTATCATGCATCAAATTTAAGTTGGTGGTGATGAGTGATGCTTCTTATATTTAAAATGACATAAATACATATTTTTATAAGAAATAAAATTAAAGTGTCTGTTCTTAATATCAGAATTACAGTTTTTATGATTACATATATGAATATTTTTACATTATTTATTTAACGATACATTACCAAAATTACAATTTTCGAGGTGTATTCAAAATTGAGCCTATACTTAGAGAAGTAGTAGGAGATTTGAATTCCTTTTTGTTATCTAAAACGAACATAGTAGGACCAACTTCAGTATCATCGCCATTGTCCGGTTCAATCTGTAAGCAACATTAAAGTGATAAGTAACTATAAGAATACCAAGTAACATTTTATTGTAAAACGGAAATAAAGTTCCGTTCGTTCTTCTCTGTAGTTACTTACAATCTTAAGGACTTGAAAAGATATGATTAATAAAAATAATTATTCGAATCAAGAGGTACCTAATAACGATACTAATTCGACAAACTATTTTCTGGGTAACTATAGTTACTTACTGCTACACGAGGAACAGCCGTTTTAAGAACACGTTTTATGCCTTTTGCAGTGACATACATATCTTCGTCCAAAAAATGTTCTGAACAAACTACACTTGATCTATTTGGCTTAAAAAAATCTTCACGCCTTTGCTGACTGACGATTGATTTCCACCCTTCACATCGTGGGTCACGAGGAAAACTAAAATATTAAAATTAGAAATCATATAGGAGGTATATAGTTGGTACATACCTACAAAAATCAGAAGTCCTAAGTAATCGAAATATACAGAAAATTTAAAAAAAAATAGTCAACATGACTGCCTCTTCAACTTTTGAAAGTCGATTCGAAACTATGTTATATTATATGATATATAAACATTAGTTACAAATTACACTCAAATAAAGTCAAAACGTGAACAAACTTATTATTCTTATTAATAAAAAAAATTAGTTCAATATTAAAAATCGACTCCATTGGAAACGAACAGGGTCATTTGTATTAAGCGACTAATTTAAAGGACGTTGTAATGCGTTGTTCTTACACTGATACGAACCTATTGAAATGTGCTGTACTATATTGGACCGTTAAGTGAAGATTTTAGATAAAATAAATCAAAATCACATAATACTTCCTATATTTAGTCATGAAAATCAGAAAAGCAAATCAATAAACTATTTTACTTACCGAAAATAAGATATTCCATCCTTTTTTAAAGTTCTTGACGTATTATTTTTGCAATTTTTCATAGAACATTTTGGCATTTTTGTCGTGCGTGCATAAACACGGGCGATGCGAGACTATTTGAAATGAGCGCTCAATTTGGAGTTTAGCGCTCATTTTATGCGGACGGTTTTGATATTCTGACTGTGTATCTTGGGTTTTTTTGTATATCAATGTTCTCCATACATATATGCCTACTATACTCATTGGCTTAATTGTTGTAAGAAAAATGGTTAAATATGCCGATTGTCTAACTGAGCCGGACTAATCTTTTATACATTGTTGTCTTAATTATTCTTCAATTTATGCTGATTACATGTTTGAACATTTTGTGAATATTGTTATGTAATAAATAATTATGAACTATATTGTAGATGCAACAACACGTCGAAGCCGTCTCATACAGTTGACGCACATACGGCAGAGGTGAACTGCCTCAGCTTCAACCCTTACTCGGAGTTCATTTTGGCCACAGGCAGTGCTGACAAGACGGTATAAATTTATTTTATCACAATTTCAATAATATGTTTCACCACCATAGTACCATCTGTCAATAACAAAATTGTGCCATGCAATTTATTATATTATTAATTGATGTTAATTAAGTTTAAAAGCATCACTTGCACTTACCAGTAATGCAATTTTTAATGCATGTGCAACAAAAAAGAACAACTTTTTTTACCTCTGTACTTGTTTCTAGGGGTATTTAAGTTCATACTTAAATATTTCAAACTTGAATATTTTCTGCATTGTATTACAGGTAGCACTATGGGATCTTCGCAACTTAAAATTAAAGTTGCACTCATTTGAGTCGCACAAAGATGAGATCTTCCAGGTGCAATGGTCACCGCACAACGAGACCATCCTCGCTAGCAGTGGCACTGACCGGAGGTAACTTCTTATTTTGGCTATACATTCAGTGACCTACTTTTGCCTTTGACGGATCTACTCTCAAATGCATAAAATTAAAAATTAGGTTCATGCATTACATTTTCACAATGAGTAAATATTACTGTATGTTTTCAAGGTTGCATGTCTGGGACTTATCAAAAATTGGAGAGGAACAGACAGCGGAGGACGCAGAAGACGGACCTCCAGAGCTTTTGTTTATACATGGAGGTCACACCGCCAAGATATCCGATTTCTCATGGAATCCCAATGAGCCTTGGGTCATATGCTCAGTTTCTGAAGACAATATTATGCAGGTAAATATATATTTTTGCACGCTTTTTATAAGCTGTATCAATGTTAATGAATGTTTAAAAATAGGTTTCACCAACTTCAAGAAATCCAATTAACTTGATAACTTTGATATCAAACAACAGTGACAATACAAGCCTAAAAATAATAAAAACTTTTTTTTTTAAATAAAGTGTTTGTTCTATAACAACAGAGAGTATAATGGCTTATTAACTAATTATAACAATGAAAATTTTGATGATTTCAAAATATGTACAAAAAACGTGCTGTTTTTTTAATTGTATAGTTATATAATTACCTATTGGGTATTGATAAGGGAACGTACCCATACTGTCCCTGTATAAAGACCCATAAATAAGGTTTTAATTCATTTGCAAAAATGGCTCAATTTATCTTTAATAATGCAGTGCTTGCCGTATTTGATATTGAGTATGTGACGAAAACTTAAGTGCCCTGTGACCGATTATGGGTATGTTGAAGAATTTGAAGAATGTTTTCTAAGATGAAGAGGTATATAAATGCATTTTCGTGACAGGTATGGCAAATGGCCGAAAACATCTACAACGACGAGGAGCCCGAGACGCCCGCGTCCGAGCTGGAGTCGGGCGTCAACGTCAACCACGGCTAGAGCCGCCCCCGCCTTCCGTACGTACGTGGATGTGCGCGTGGTTCGCTCTCCGACGACTGGACATTACATCTATTTACTTTCTTCAACATTCTACTTCCAACTGTGAAGATGGAGCTCTTTCAAGTTTCCACTGTGCTAAATTTGAAATTCTCTATTACAAACATGTATACTTAATATAGGTTGCGTTTGTGTATTTCATTAGTGAAAATATTGGTGGATATCGATTAATATTGTGAATTGGCGTTTGTCGTTGTATATGTTGGTTACGTAAAATTTAATCTTACAATTAGACCATAAACACTGCGCTCGTTCCGTGTGAATGACGTCGTTTATTGTACTACTAGTGAGCCGCCCTGGCCTCGCACAGGTGCAATGTATTATACATATAAACCTCCCTCTTTAATCATTCGCTCTTTTGATAAAAAAACCGCATTAAAATCCGTTGCGTAGTTTGAAAGATCTAAGCGTACAATAACGGGAAGCGACTTCATTTTATACTATATAAAGATGCTGCAACAATAATAGTAGGTTAGCCTTTTCCCAATAACGGTTACATTTCATTTATTTCAAAAATAATAATTATTGTGTAAAAATGGTCTAACAGTTTAATTTTAATAACGCCATTAATAATTTTACATGCTCGTCGCTTTCACATTTAATCCCCAATGTTTATAACGAGAAGGTACCGATCCAGTCGCAAAATCGCCAGCCAGTGACAAGCTTAACATGATTGTATTAATTTATTGATAATCTCCCCTACACACCTTTTAATTCTGCTAATAATTGTCAAGCCACAAAAAGTGGTACTAATTAAATGTAATAAAAATAGTTCGAATTGACGATTAAGTTCTTAGTATATTTATGTGGTCGTTTAGATTCAGTTACGATACCTGTGTTTAATGTGCGTAATAACATTTTGTGGATTAGATTATCGTATATATGTTCATCGCTATTTTCTATTGAAGACAGCCTCACTTCTGATTAACGCTAAATATAAACTGGAAGAGCTCTATACAGACCCGATTTGGAACCTTATATCGTAACAATTAGATGTATAAAATTCTTGGTACGGTAAACAAGTACACACTTGATATGAAATTAGAATGTAAGAGGAAAAGGTACTGTGACACTATTGCATACGCCGTTATTGATTGATAAAAAAATCAATATTTTTGCATAATGCGGAAGTTATTTTGATGTCCATGTTTTGTACTTTATATAGGCACAGTTGAGTCTTTCATGTGCTAGATTTAGTCCATGGATAGGAACTTTTAGATTCGTAAGTAAAGATCGATTGTTTTTTAGTAACCCTCTCAATATCTATTATCTGCCAATAAATAGATCTCAAGTTGGAAAATGTGATTTGAATGTAAAAAAAATATATATATGACCAGAACTACAATTCAATAGGGGGGCCGAACACGTTATAAGCACCTGCGATTAGCTGGTAGATAGCTTTGAGGAGCAACTGCGACCGCAGGCCGATGTGTGATGATTCAACAACCACGCACCGAGCACTAGTGCTAAATAGCGCGGTTTGCTGGTGAACCAGCCCGTTAACCCCCCCCCCCGCCCCCCTCTCCCCTCTCAGAACGAGATGGCATCATCAAATGTGGCCTACTTGCTGCCCTCATTTATTTTTGTACTAGTACTATTTTCTTTATAATGATTAATAATTGGATCACATTGGGATTAGATCTCATTATGATCTCGCACTGACTACTAACAGACGTATTTAAGGGTTTTATACTACGAACGTAAGCTAAGGAAGCTGTATAAATATTTATAAATGAAATTCCTTTTCATGGACTACTCAGGAAAAGGGTCCAAAAGTGATTTGTACGCACAGGAATCTCACAGAAAACACTTTCAGTTGTCATGGATTTGGAAGAATTTGATATAAATACAAATTGTCTTATTTTAATTTGTTTTTAACTTGCGTACAAACCACTGAAGTTTGAAAAAATTGAAAACTTGTCACCAGAATAATTTAAAATTCATTTACACATTAGTTAGACAGGATATTCACCAGCTGTGGGATAGATTTCATGTTAACTTATTATTTCTTATCTGATAAGTCACAAGGATGTGTTTCTGTTGTATCTATAATGAGACGATAATAAGAGCCTCTTTCATCACCATAAATATTTCCACGTTATAAGATTGTATTACTATAAGTAATTTATACGAAATTACTAATTCTTAACAGTAGTGTAGAATTTGATAGCTTAGCTCTCAGTTACGCCACGCGTAAAACTTGATGTTACTTATTTGATAAGCTAAGCTATCGAACTGTAGCGTCCCCTTACATATCCTATGTCTTCAATATCAATAGCTAAAGGTGAAAGACGCTCTTAAACTGGTGACGCGACTGACCGAGGGTATTCTATAATGTTAATGCCGTAATGGAATAATTTTTAAGCTCGCTAATTACATATTATGATTAAAAGTATCGTAATAATCGTGCTCGTTTTCATATAACATTCCTAATTAAAAGTGTCGTCCATGAGCGTATCGCGTGTACACAAATAGGCTTCAGTGAATTGCGTTATCGTTCTATTTACGAGAGTCCCGTCAGAGGGTCGACTGACCCAGCCTGTTTACGGTGTAAAAACCGCTCCCTATGACGTGTCACGTCTAATGGGATTGTTTAACGTCGCGCCGCAGCACGCAGTTTAGTCGCACCCTTCGCGTTGGAAACATGCGTCTCTACTGCATAGTGTTGCTCCTCGTGTCGTCTTCGCTCGCGAGTCGCAGTGGCGGCGGAAGCCACCGCCCCTCTCACTCCTACCCGCACTCCACCGGGTACTCGGGGACGAGCCACGGGGGCGGCTCGTATTATCCCCATTCGACGGGCCTCTCCGGAAATTCTAACGGATATAACACGCGCAATTATAATCAGCAACAGTATTCATCACGAGGTAACTACAGCCCCAAATCTGAAGTCCATCATCACTACCACTATAGCCCTCCGCAACAAATTACCTACGGTACCACTTACCATCCTGTCTATCACGGAACGCCACCCGTATATGTTTATGAATACAGAGACTCTGGAAGCAGATTCGATAACTTACTGACCGGTCTAGCTCTGTACAATCTAGGCCGTTTATCAGCAAACAGGCACGATCATAATTACGATTCCCGCAGAGAGTACAGTGGAACTCCAGGTGAAATATGCAAACTAGGCATAAGAAAACTAACCGGCGAGTATGAAGAAACTCGGATCGACTGTAAGTTGATGTCGAGCTTTATTTGGGAAGCGAACGTTACACCGGGCGGACTGGATGTATCATTAAAAACGGTATCTACAACAGTCACAAATACGACCAGCAGTGCCAATGTTACTGCTACTAACACTTCAGTAACGACAGTGACAGTGACGGATGCCTTGACGAGTAAAGGTCCTTCAATACAGGTGACCTCTGGCATGACTTGTTACATGATCCGTCTATCCAGTTACTCCACCGTAAAGAAAAATGTTGAATGTGGACTGTTACAGGAGTACGCTCGAACTTCAATGCGTCGAAATGGTTCAGAGAGTTTGAAGCCTGTGATGGCGATACTACTAAATTTGATATTGTGTAATACTTTATCTTTCGTTTTGTATTTATAATTAGACTATCGAAAGGCAAAAATAACTTTAAAATCTCTGGGTAAAAAATAAATTAAACTGGTATTTCACATTGTTCAAAAAGTATTTTATATCTATAACTTAAGAGTATTGTGTTGGGTATACAATCTTAACCATAAATTTAGTGAAAAATGTATTCATCATTATGTCATTATCATAATATGACTATTTAAACGTTGATATTCTCGGAAAAAAGTTTGGGTAAGTTTTGCCAGCATTCGTAGTACTTCGGGTCAAGTTTCTGACACGTTTCTGCCCCCCACTTTGTTATAGCCAAACTTAAAGAGGACTCGAACATAAAAGCCTGTAACAAACATTGAGTAAGTATGTGATTTAATTATTCATCAATCTTTGATCAGATTACGTGCGAAATTATACATTAATTTGGGGCAATATTAAAGTTAAAAAGGTAAACTATGTACTAGCCAGGTACCTGAGTATTAACAGCTATCTTTTGCGGCACAAGCTCCCCGTTAGAAGCACCCTGGAAGCACTTATCGTCTGGGCCGTGCGGCGTCATCATTGAGTGCAAAGATGCACCACCAGGCAGGAAGCCACCTTCTTTTGCTTCGTATGCGCCCAAAATTAAACCCATAAACTCACTCATACAATTGCCTGGAATATAAAAAATGTTAGTTTAAAAATTAAATATATACTTTAAAGTGAATGGGAGTATAATAAATACTTTGGAGCGATTTCTTATTGTTTTCTTAAATTAATAAAAAGAGGTTTTCGCTGAGGACAGGATTCGAACCTGCGCGGGTATAACCCATTGGATTTCAAGTCCAACTCCTTAACCACTCGGACACCTCAGCTATGGGCATCGTGATTAAATTTAATGATAACATGCTGATCAGGTGACGAGTGACACAATGTATTTTGATGGAAACAAGTGTGAAAGTTTCCATTACTATTCTTGCGCGGATACCTAGTAAATTAATCACTCCACACTTTACTAGCTATTTAAATCTTATATATAGATTTTTATTACATTATATAATTTCATATAACATTGAATTTGTTAGTTTGTTTTAAGTTTTTCAAATACATCATATCTGTGTCATTCCCATTTTTGTAAATGTTTAGATATCGCACTTTGATCGTTTCGAAAACCAAAAATCGCTTTATTAGGTTTAGCTTGCACATAAAAAAATTATGGACCTTAGGAGTAGTTAAGACGATTGGCTATATAAATAAAAAACTTACATTTGCATTTATTATAAAAGTTATAGTGTCCAAATAATTATAAAATTGTAATTAAAAAGTAAAACGTAATTTATTATTTCGCTGAGGACAGGATTCGAACCTGCGCGGGTATAACCCATTGGATTTCAAGTCCAACTCCTTAACCACTCGGACACCTCAGCTACGAAGTATTAATCGAATTATATTGATGTATGTATTTGTCAGCCTTAGAAAGAAGGCTTTTGTTTGAACAATAGACAGGTGTGACCTGTTGAGAGTTCAAGTAGACTCGCCCCAATTTTTTCTATTTAAGTATATTTCAATGGTGATTGGCTATCGTGTTGCTATGTTGACAAGAGCACAGGTTTATGTCAATGACTGTGTTAATATTAAGTAACACGTAGGTAGGAATAGTTCTCACATCAACAACCTTTAATAGTCCACTGCTGGACATAGGCCTCTCCTTAGAAAGGAGGTTTTAGGAATAGTTCTGCTTTAAGATATTTTTCAAATATTCTTCACGGTAAAAAAAATTGCAAATTCGGTAAAATAATGGAATAGTTTTTGCCTGCGACTTTGCTCGAATAAATATAGATCCCTCATGAAATAGGGATAAAAGATATCTTATGCCTTTCTTTGGACCTTTAACAATTTGTGTACAAAATGTTATGATAATGAGTTAGGTAGTAAAGAGGCGTGAAACCATAATAAACTCATTTTCACATTTATAATATTAGGATATTGATATGAAACTGCAGTTAACGCTACCACAGCAACTAAGTAACAGATCTTTTTTTATTTTCTAATCAGAGAACGGAATAGTGTGAGTATGCGGCATTAAGGAGAGCCCTATTATATTTCTATAGGTTAAGTCAAGGCACTTTTAAACCCTGGGGTGGTGGGTCTAGACCAGACCACATTTCAACAGCTAAGGTTAAGGAGTTGGGGGTAAGGGAGGTTCTTCCCACGCAGGTTCGAAACCTGTCCTCGGCGAAATTATTTTTGACTCTGATTGAACTGTACACATTGTTTATTTAATGTTTTATATCAAATGTTTTTTCTTTTATTTTCTAAATTGTTAGTACTATTTCAAAGTATTTTCACGTATTGTTTATACACTTGTGTAAATATCCAATCAGTAGTGTCTACCAACAAATAATATTATAGGTTACGCAATTCAAGAGCATAGTTGTAGCTGAGGTGTCCGAGTGGTTAAGGAGTTGGACTTGAAATCCAATGGGTTATACCCGCGCAGGTTCGAATCCTGTCCTCAGCGAACATTTGTTTTAAAATTTCGAATTTGTGTAAATAAACCCAGGTTGAATAGTTTTAGATATTTGTATGAGTCATCGATGCAATCATTTTAATGTATTTTTGACTTTGTTTTGTCCAACTAGATAGATTTTTCTGCCACATTTTTATTCTGAGTCTGCTCTAAAAAAGGTTCAAACGCAGTGTCATAATAATTTTGCTTTTATATTAATACTTATAATCATATTGTCTTACATATTTCGTTAAATAATCTTGTATTAAGATTAAGATATTGTAGATTAAGTGTTAGCACTTAATCTTTTCTGTTTCTTATTGTATGCCCTGCCGCAGTGATAAAAAACAAAAGGTGGTAATAAAAACTTACGGTGATAGTAAGGCGGTCTAAAGGTGTGTTCTTGAACGGACCATCGCGGTGGAAAGATGACGAAGTCGGCGATGGCAACGCCCGGTTTAGTAGATGGACACGTCAATACAGTGAAGATTGATGGGTCCTAAAATATAAGAATGTGTCTTTTAGCGATGTTTGTTTAATTTGCAGGTCCACACAGGTAACACCCGAGACCTATAATCGCTTTGCATCTGACATTCATTTTGGGACTACTATAACGCATTTGATTTTTAATTTAACAAGCTGCTGGCCTAATCCTGAATCAACCGTATTAAATTTTCGTGCTCTCTCCATTTCTTTACGGCAGGTCAGACATGCCTATATATATTTTACGGAGTAGGTACGTCAGTTCGCCCGAAAAACACAATCATAATCACGTATGTTTTTAGTAAGCAGGGTACTCTTTTAGTAGAAGATGTAGTACTTTAACATTCCTAAGTTTTCCTCTTCCATATAGTTCCTTTTCTTTAGATTTTTATAAAAATTATATGACTAAATAACTTACACAGTGATCATACAAAACTGCATTGATGACCATAAACTTGCTTAAATCGTATTTGTAAGGCACGTAATTCCCATGCCAAGCAACCACATCGAAGGGAGAGTGGTTCTGCTCTGCTACAAACAACGCACCCTGGTACTTGTTCACTATCTTGAATCCTAGAAATAAGTTGATATATTGAAGGCCGTATGATATGTATAATAAAAGAATAACGGTAATATAATTAAACATAAGGCGATGAGCATATTTTTATGGAATAATGGAATAGACGATTTAAGATTTAAAAACACAGATAAAATGCTTTTAATTGCGAAATGTTAGTTGTACATTTGACTATACCATTTGTAGCACTTACCCGGAACTTCCTCATCTAAATAACGTGCAACCGGTGTGAGAAAATCTCTAGGATTTGCAAGACCATTCGCTCCAATCGGTCCTAGGTCTGGAAGCTTAAAATGTCCGTCGAACACTTCAAGAATATAACCCCTAAAAGAAATAACAACTAAATTTACATATTTCAAACTCTGCAATGCGTGGGATACTGGCTTTTTATATGATATTTTTCATATTTGTTTGTAGTTTCTTGATCATAAACTCATAAAAGTTCATATTTATTCTCATAAAAAAGTTCTTAAACATTTTATTTGATACAATTTTTAAGGTTAGTTTACAAACTGTGTCGGCGACATATTGTACTATACATCCATTAAATAATATTTTATGCTATTAAACTCTCAATATCAGATTAGATTGGAAAAGTTTATTAATTTATTTATTGGAAGACCAACAGCAGTAACAGTAGCAGGTGTATCACATTAAAATACGCAACATCTAGCCAATTGCAGCAACACGAACAGCAAGTGTATGAAAACATTTTAAATCCTTAATAAAATCAAAATCATAATTAAAATAAATAAAAATCAAAAGCAAAATTATAAGAGTGAATAAGTAAGAAAGTGTTTAATAACTAAACTATTTACCGTGTAGGTCCATCGACAGCTACTGCAAACCTCATTCCTAACTGGATGACTGCAATCTCATTGGGCGCCACTTTCATGACTCCAAATTCTGTCGTTATAGTGAGAACTCCTTGTTGGGGAACTGTTTATACAAAAATGAAGTACATTTACTGCAACTTAAAATACTGCATTAAGGGATTATCATTGTTAATAAATAGCTTCACAAAAATTGCTAGATTCTGAAGAATTTAAGCAAAGGACCAAAGTAAATGCACACAAGCTCAGTGCATCATCTGACAAAACAAGTAGGAACCTGTGGGTTCATTCTTTCCAGATTGGATTTAAAATTTGCCTTCACGCTGATTTCAGCTTAATTTAAAAAAAAATACACAACTTGCGCTTCCCGAGAAGGTCCAAGTCTCCTCGAATTTGTGATTTAGTGGCTAAATCTTATTGTGTACAGAGATAGCGTAAAGCAAACCAATGTTTACCTAATCCCACCCAGAGCAGTACTGACGTAAACTGATTCTTGACACTAGCATTTATTTACTAAAATACTAGCATTGTGTGCCCTACGATACTATATAGCATTCTTTTCTAAAAACACAAACCGCCTCGATCAGCTAAAGGTCTAATATAAAAATAATATGTTGGACTTGTTTCACATAAAGGTACCAAACGAAGTCATTATGTTTGTATTCTTGCAACTTGACTCCTACTTATACCTATTTCTTTGAGGCTTTTGAAATTCAGTTCTATGAAATAGCACTGGATAAGCTTAACAACGGTAACAAATATTTCGTAAAATGTATAATCAGTTAATTACCAATTAGAAAGTCTCCATCGCTGCTATAAAATGCGCTTTTGTCCATCGACGTATTACATAGGAAGACATGGATAGCTAGACCGTGTCGGGAGCGGGCATCACCCGCACCGCAGACAGTGTGTAGTCCCGCAACAAAGTCTACAGGACGTCCAGTTGGAATGTCGAAGGGCAACCAGCGAGACTAGAAGATAGAAAAGTCAAATTTTGAGCCTTTGTGCTTAATGAGAAGAAAGTTATAGCACATCCCAGCTTGAAGAAGTATGCATTGTAATGCTGTTCTTAGTGTTGGTAACAAAGATAATCATAGCTTTATTTGCACAGATGTGTCACCATGTGATATATTATAACTGGTGATCAAAGTGTTACAGGAGTGTATTTGGAAATTTAGTTGTAATGAACGATAAGCTAATAACATTCTCAATAATAATTTTATTTATGAAAGGGAAGGAATACGTTCTGGCCAATGATATTTTAGATACGTTATATTCATACTGCACGCACAAAATATTTGTTCCGTAACATACATCTATTAATTCATTTTAGAACAAAACGAACGCAACAAGTGTGATAGGGATAGGAATAGGAAAAGCACAAGAGTGAAAGAGACAGCTATTTGTAATCAGTATAGCGACAGAAGGCATTTTATGTGTTTTTTCGAATTAGTAAGTACGTGCGCGCGCTTTTTGTGGTCCTAATTAAGACCCTCACGTTATGTGCGTTGGTGGCGTATCTACTTCTTGTATGTATATAATATCATTGGTTCTAGCATTTTCTCGAAAATTAAAAACTGCTTAGTACCTAAGTATGTGTGTAATAAAAACTAATTAGTGCAAAATAATCATAACATTACGCTACCTGGTTTGGATCTGGCTCCTGTTCGTCCCAGTTATGTGTAAGATATTTGGCCATATCTAACCTTTGGAATGGTTTGTGGATAGCTGACGGTCGGATTCTTTAAAAAACAAATAATATACTGATTTTAAATACAGATAAAGCTAGCTAAGAATTGTAGCTAGGATTTGATCAAGAAGAGGATATGTAAACTAGGTACCTACTTACATAATGTAGTACAATTTTATAATAAATATAAATATAACGTCAGCTAGTAAAGTTTTGTTAGTAAATAGAAATTAGACATTTGCTTTTACCTGTATAACCAAGATCGTTTGTTCTCGTGTCTTGGGGCAGTAAACGCGGTACCAGAGAGTTGTTCCGCATACAGCCCATACGGACACCTTTGTGGATTGTTCTGTCCCTCTGGTAGAGATCCAGGACATCTTGGATCTTCCGAAGTAAATTCCGATCCGAAACCACAGAGGTACTGCGTTACGTAAAAGTAGTGTTTATTGTAACTGCCTAGGTACCCGATGTTTTGTCACGTTGGTAAATTTTATTATTTGAAAAAATTTGCATTGCGTTTAATAATATTTCTTTCTACAATAATGAAAATGAAGATGTACACAAATTATAGTTCATAGGGCTACTACAGGTTTGGGCACACTCTTGTGCGACGGATCATCTCCGCAGGCTTCAAAATTCTATCGCTTGGGAAAATACTGTTTTAAAGTTTGTCAAGCTTAGGTACAATACGTACCTATATCATAAATAAAGAGCATTGGGTAAATTGTTATTGTTCAAAGAGTTCATATTTTTTACTTCTATTTAACTATAAAATTAGTTATCTCTCTACTAAGTATAGAAAAGAAAGTTAATCACTATGTATATTTTAGCCAATCGGCAACTTGTTAGGTAATTTACGTATAGTTGCACCATGTTTAATATACCTGGTATTATTTTATCGTTTAAGTATTATTAATAAAGAGTAGTAATAGAGAGTAGCTGATAATGTTTGATCCTTACCTTTAGTTCCTCCATATTTCAAGCACAAACGCGTTAAGCCTTAACAAAGGACAAGCTCAAACTAGTTGATGAAACTAGACGCTTAAGAAATCTCGCTACGACTGGAATTGTGAAGTGGCGCGATGTTTACAACCACAAGAATGCTATGCAAATGTAGCCGGTTTACTAATGGCTGATAATAATCTTACGTTTTTGTCCTCTGATACAGATAGCTGGTCCAATGATGTGATAACGTATAATGTGTAATCTCTATTGTATTACATATATGTAGATACATTTTACCAGAGTAGATTAACGAAATCTCCCTTTTCGTCGGTCGTCGTTTAAAGTTTATCGATCTATGATACTTTGATTGTGATATGTAGGTACTTGTGTCGATCCCTACATAATATGATAACTTTTATGTCATCTTTTAAAATACACACACACTGTGTGATCATACTGCGCCTAAAATCGGTGAGCTGTTTAAGCTGGACTGGACTGATTGGAAGTGTTCAACCTACCAACAAGCGCTAACTCGCAAGGAGCCCTCATCCCCATGAGGGCACGTCTTCTCTTCCTCCTCAACTAAAAGTCAGCCTCAACCAGCAGAGGCACTCTTGATCGTTCCTACTAGACCTGTCTAACCGGCGATAATTGAGATGGGACACGAAGATCTTCGTCTTGATAGGGTAGACTCTACGCTGTTAAGACCTATGTAATAAGATAATATCGGAAAGGCGAGAATGATATTGCTGCTTGCCACCTTGAACTTGACTAGAACATAAAAAAAAATTAGAATGTAATTTTAAATTTAATTTGAAGATCAGGGCAAGTGTTTATGGGTATCACTGATCAGCAATTTGCTGTTGATGCCATTAAGTTCATCAGATCTTGGTTCACATCAAATGCAATAAGTAATAAACAGTTATTACATCAACCATAAATGCAAAATGCTAATAGTAAAGTTGTTATTGTGTTAACGTAACTATTACGATCTAGCAGATACAAGGCGTGTTTGTTTTGATACTGTTGTACATATACTAGGTAAGTAGGTACATGTAGGTATTACAGTATCAAAACATGTGTACGTGTAATAAGAATAAAACTTGAACCTGCAAGATTTGCATTCTCTACGCAGCAAGCAAATAACTGAACAACAATTTAATAAACAAGATCGTATTAAATACTTATTATTGTACATATCTCCCTAATTGTAGTTCATAGACAAGGCTATTTTTAATCTCAGGCGTACAATTACTTTTATGAAATGCTAAGCATATCCTATTATGTATTGAAATAAAAAGCACGAGTTCTAGACCTAAACGAAATAGTTTAGATCTTCAAAACAACTTGTAATATATCCCAGAATATGATGATGATGAGTCTTATAAGCTAAATTTATATAAATAAAACAAAGAAAGTAAATTATTGAAAGTTGTACAATTGGCGGCCTTAACGCGATTTTCGATCTCATCCAAACAACCACTGGATGGAGAAGGAAGGAGAATAGAAATGAGATGGGGAGTTTGTAGATCGGAGTTTTCTGGATATTTTTTAATTAAGACTGGTTTTATACAAATATATACACTAAACACATACAGACATTACTACACATATATTCATTATACATTGAAAAGAGAATACAGAAGTAAGAGATAGGTAAACACAAGATTCCAGACTGAGCGAAGGTCCCCATCGCTCCAAATGCACCTTCAGTAATTTCTTAAAACTAGCTAGTGATTGAGCTCGTCTGATGGGCAGTGGAAATGCATTCCACAAGCGTATGGATGAACGGAAATATATTTGTAAATCAAATGTTTTTTTATGGTAGGTAGGTATCGACAACAAACAACAAACGACTCGCCTGATGGCAAGTGACTAGCGCCGAAGACTAGTGACACATGCAGCAGACGGTAAACGTCTGTTATTTCCATATCAAACGATATCGTGTTAGTTCTTAATATAACTGTCACAGTAAGTTTAAATTTTCCACAACATCAACCATCAACCAGAAACTAATTCGCGAGGAATTTATGAAGATGGACGGATGGCGTAGTGGTTTAAGCGGTTAACTCGCCGCTTCCCACCGCACTGCGTGTTGTGGGTTCGATCCCCACATAGCACAACGCTTTGTGTGATCCAAAAATTGTTGCCCTCAAAAGCTGGCAACGCGCTTGTGACTCCTGAGTTGCAGGCGTTCATGGGCGGCGGAAGTCGCTTTCCATTAGGTGACCCGTCTGCTCGTTTGCCCCCTATTCCATAAAAAAAAAATACTCGCCTAGAAGTTCCGTCAATGGTGGCGATTGATCTCTGTTGACTCTCTTCCTGATCTGGTCCCCTATACCCTTTAGGTGGCCCTTGATTTGAGATAGGCCTAAGTCATAGTATTTATTTACACGGACAGGCCCATATCTCATGACGCAGTAGTAAGAATTTCATAGATTACTGTAAAAATAATTGGTTCATAGTTTAAATTCTTAATATGTATAGAAAATACCTACTTTTTCGTATCTTTATTGGACAGAGACATAAAACTTAAGTATTATTATCGGTCGATTTATATACGGTGACCGGTTTGATAATGACAGGAACTGGTTTCTCTCCGTCTCACGAACAGTTGTCAATCCCGTTTTATGGATTTAAACTATTTCTGTGGATTACTTAATATGAAGCAATCGGTATTTACAAGCAGGTATTTGTCGGAGGCTTGGCCTGTTATGATTTTTTTATCCGCAATTTGCTATATTATGGAATACGTCATCCTTAGTTGTTATGGCTAAACAAACCATTATCGCGCAAGGAGTTAGATTGGAGTGTTTGACAATGCTTCGAGTAATCTAGATAGGTACTTCAAAGGCCTAGTTTAATGAAGAAACGACTAACGACTGAACGCATATGATAATTTGTAACAATTCGCATTCCACTTTAACGAGAATCAACGCGATGATGTGGATATGCAAGACATTTCGACCAGTAGTGCTATTCTTTAAGAAAATAGCCTAGCGTACAGCGCTGTGGCGTCGAATTTCAAATTGTTTCCTTAGTGAATAGCACTTGACGATTGATGCAGCGATGTCAGACTTTCGTCGTCCACTCCATGGGTTGACAGTTTTATAATCCATCTTTATATTTTTGAAGCTTTTGTAGGTTAATATTAGTTTGTAGGAAATTTACGAGCAATGGTTGTCTTACTTTCTAATTATGTCCAGAACAACTGTTCGCTTTCATTATGACTATCGTTAAAATAAGAAAACGATTTTTATTTCGCATATATTTATTATGTTGTTTATATGAACAATAATGTCAAGCGATTAAATTCGAATTGGCTATTTTTATTGGATCAGATCAGGGAAATTACAACGCAGTTTTATACTACAATAGTTATGATGTGAGTGACTTTTTAAAGGAACATTATTTTGATATCAACACCATGTGTTTACATTTCATAGTTAGTGGGTGAATTGATGACAACTTTGGTCTAATAATTATTACATTGGATAAATGGTAATTATATTGTTGGATACGTGTCATTAGTTTATCATAACATGAATTTGTCTTCATATGGACACTTTTATTTTTTTCTTGGAACTGTAATAATATTAACCTAGTTATTTTCTAATGTCACGATTTCCATAGAGATAAAAGGAAAAATATTAAGTACATTCTAAACACAAGGCCAAGATCAAAACTGGTTTAAATATATATAAAACTTACATAACAGTTTATTATTTATACGATGTTGCGTTTTTAACGAGCGTTTAATAGAAACAAAACAAAAGAAACAGTGGCAAGATGGGCATTATTTAATGATTATCCCTTTGAAGAGACACTCACCTATTACAATAAAAATGTTAGGTTATAATTACAAAAGTTCAAACAGCGTCTACATAATACAGCTTTAATATAATTATTGTTCTTATTAATACTTAAGAGTAGCTACCGCGGAAGGGGAGGGACTATACATACACAGATGTTATGATTCGTAGATAACACACTCATACACAGAACTTGATATAACCCATATTAAAATATATTTTGACATAAGAGAGATTGTTGCTATTGTGTGTGTTGATAGAGGACTTAGGGTATATAAGAAACGATTTCAAACAATTTTAATTTATTTTATGAAATAAACATATCTTGAGTTTGAAACAGTATTACTGCAATTATTTAAAGCTTTGAATGTCATTTTATTGTATTCCCAAGCAGGTATGCTTTGCCTGTTGTGCTATCTAAGGGCCGTTTTGATTTCCTTAAATATTTACAACTTTACAAGGTGAATTTTGTTTCGTGTTCTTATTGCATTACTACCCATTTATTTAGTGTGGGGAGTTCGAAAGGCGAGTAAAATTGTGTGTTAACTTTAAGAGACCTTTTTAATTTATTTTGTTAAATAAAGAAGTTTATCTAAAAGACTTGTCTCACAAAACATCGACCATCGCTCTTCACCATTAAGCAGTTGACTTACGTTCTTGAACAACTTGTACGAATTAAAATTCACAATGTATCGTAAATATACCGGCGATATAATGAACTACTAGCGGAAATTCTGGGCTCTAAGTACCGAGAATTGTTAATGTATGTTTAATAAAATGCGGTATGTGTGTATATTGTTTAAGTTTTTTAAGCCAGTTTTTTTTTCGTAACTTGAATTGCATTCGTTTTGGTACTTATCCTGTTTAAATTATAAATTCACAGTCTCAAATATAAATAAACTTATTTGACTGTTAGGCGTATCCAATTTGGTTCTTAACAAATGGCTCCCCAATGCAGATATCCTTTACAGATAAAAATAAACACGATTATTTAAACATTAAAAGTATTACTTCAGTAAAATAAGCTAAGAAAAGAGATTCAACGAAGAATCTTTGATTTATCTATCAAGCAACACAATCTGCAGTCAATGACGTCATTGTATAACTAAAAACTGCGATAGTAACTGTGAAGAATGTCTTCTTTTCCAAATTTAAAATATTTACTATTTTCAAATGAAGATAATAGTACTATCAATTTAGGAATAAATAAACTAGCGCCCGGTCATGTACATACAGGCATTTTTAAGGTGGTAACTATATCGTGGACAAATATAAACACAATGAAAACATACACAATAATGAAACATCCCTTAAATTATGGAAAAAGACACACCTACATATAAACACTTACGCCTCATTGGCGTCCAGGGAAGGCAGAGACGATAAACGTTATTCTCCTTCCTGACATTTTATATTCTCACGCTCGCCGGTTACAGGTGCTTTTGATCAGAAATATGTAATTAAATTTAGACTATGCCGTCTCTATAAGAAGACTAACAAACACTTTGTCTGATTGTTCAATTTAAAAAAAAAAATAACAAAAATATTCGACAAAGTATTGAATATTAATTACTAATCTACGAATCATATCAACTAGATTCAATAGTAAACAGAAGTATGTTTATTTATAATTATGTGCATATACAAAAAAAAAACAAGGCAATAAACAACCACTTATATAATCATAGCCAATATTTTGTAAACTCGAACAAGTATATCGAATCAATCGATAATTTGTGTCGATACAAAAACTGTTGTTGAACTGATCTCGTTTAGTCGTAATGTTGCATTAAATCAACTATTATATTAGGGATCATCCATAAACTATGTCACACAATACGGGAATTAATGGTCAGTGAAGTGTACATGGACATGGATAGGACAAAACATAAGATTGATGAAGATGTCCAAATTTTCATTTAATTCTGATAAAATACGATAATTGAATCAAAAGGATGTTGACAAATGTATGCTCATTAACATATCAATCTAAAACTTAAAAATATGTGACTTCACACCAGTGATCTAACAAATATGACAAGGACGGAATCCGTGTGACTTTATTTATGAATGTTCCCTTATCGGCTAATTCGATCATCAGTAGGGCGTACAACATATTCTTAATTTCTTCTGACTTACGAAATTTATATTGTTCATGTTTAATTTTATTATTGAAACAATTTTTACAATAGGTTTACTAAAAGCTAGAAAACATCTACTTATTATTATGCATAAACAACAAAACTTAATGATAAACAATACAAATCACAGTTACGTAGCAGACAAGGATATTTTCACTTAAAAATTGTAAAAGGAACTTATATTTTTAAGTAAAAATAACCGTTAGAATAAGCGCAATCACATACACGACGAATTTCAAAAAAATAGATACTATACATCTTGAAAATAGATAATACTACACTAAAATAAATAAAATATCAAAAATTTATTGATTAAAACCATGTATAAACTAAAAAAAACCTTATTAAATTGCAATTACAATTGTAATAATTAAATACATTACGATAAAAATGATGTAGATTACATAAGTATTTAATTAATAACTATTATTAATTAATTCGAGCCCGTAACCTTGACACTGCACAGATTTGCAGAAATATTGAATTGTGCAGCCTCAACATTTATCTATATATATGATAACCAAATATTTCACAATATCATCGTTTAAAAATATCATCAATATTATTGGTCGATTATCATATCCGTGATCAGCATCAATTATATGTTAAAAGTACACTGGTCGCCATCAAAACAACCTGCTACCTTTAAAATAATAAGTGACTTATCTCAAAATGCAGTGGTAATAGATGAACAAGAGTTCTTCAAAACCAGAAGTAGTAATAGTAATTAATAGCGTGATTAACGAAAGTGACGGATGTATAGGTTGTACCTTTCTTACTCATAATTATGACTCTTTCTCCCCACCCGGTTTTCAAGTATTTTTTTTAAATTCGTTTATAACAAAATTAGAGACGCCAGGATTTTGAGGTTGGTTACTTTTATTTTAAGGGATATGAGTGGTTTTATTACATATGATGTGGTTATATGTGGAATCAATACATATGATCTCGGTAATTCTATGTATATATTGTCATAACTTATCTAGCACGTCCAATTTTGATGCGATAAGTATTTCACTAGAACTGATTAATTTATATCCAAGCGTAGTATTTGTGGACTTGGGTAAAAAAATTGATTTAAGAGTTATTCCCTTAACTTATAAATTGTAAAAGAATCCCTTTACGAACCCGGTATTTTATTTCACATTATATTAACTCAAAACCTAGACGTGATAGCATAAATTTGTAAACAGATTTTACATAACTATACCATTTATATAGATAAAATTTACGCGCTTCACAGTTCACAAGGTGCCAATTACTCTACAATATACATTAATATCACACGGCCATACAGCGGCCTAATACACATATGAAATGATATATGATTGATATATTTGGTAACCAACAGCGCATTTTTTATTGTTCTAACAAAAATAAATAACGTTTGAGACTTCTTTTAAAAAAATATTAAAGCTCATAAATATCTTAATCTCAACCCAGGCGCGTTCTTTTTTTTAATATTAACAATTTCAAAATAAAACCGTTTAAATTAGCTTTAAAAAAGTAAAGCTAAAAAAGGTTTGTTGTAAAAAAAAATACGTTTAGTTTTTCACATACAAAATCTACTAAGCGTTCATACGAAGCATTGTCATTCTATAAACTTGGAGATCGATATCCTTCTTTACGATTTTTCAAAAACTCGATAATCAAATACTTTTAAGATATATTTTCGGGGACCAAGTTTCAGAATAATGCGTTTTCACAACACACTGCCAAGCCTGCATCACCGCTACTATTACCCTTTATAATACTTAATAAGAGCAATCAGGTTCGAAGGAACACTAAATATAACTTTAGTGTATCTCATAAACTAATAAGAAAATACATAAAATATAATTTATAACTTTTGGAAAATGTGACCAGACTAAATAAACAATAAATATATTGCTAAATCCTAATAGTATCAGCGCTTTAACCCATCATTTTTGAACATGATAAAAATATTATAAATATATCAATATCAATAATTTCATATAGGGTTAAATACGAATTTCTTATACATTTTTAACATACACCATTTAATATGTTTTATTAGTATATAAATGCGATTAACACCCGTTAATTTTCAGGATGTCTTTGATTGCCAAAAAAACTTTTTCTATTGTCTTTGAGTAGTAATTTAACTGGCAAATTAAATTTCTACTTCCAGTCGTCTCGAATAGCATTCACATATTCACAACAATAATATTATAGTGGAGTGTTGTGACTTATTCATATACTGAGTATGTATCGATATAGTATAATAAATCGATTTATCAATGTTATTTATCAATTTCTGAATCTTGAAACAAGGGTGTAAAGCAAAAAAATATTCGATTTTGCATTGCCTACATATCTTTATTTGTTTTAATTTACCACACGGTTCGTTGATGGTTCGTCCCTCGTCGTCCCTGTTCGTTCTTATGGAGGTATCTTGTCAGTGGAAGTAATGTACAGGCATCAAATTATGGCAGGTGTTTAGTCGAAACAAGGCTTTTTATATACCGATTTTTTATGATTTCTTGATGATGCTTAGTTGCACGCGGATACGAACAGTTCTCATTACATCCGAAATATACTCATTTATATTAATATCACCATTTAATATCATTCTTAATATCACTTTCGATCCACCCAATAAATACTTTAAACATCAAACCACAACTTGCTTCAAGACTCGACAGAAATTGTATACAAGAAACAATTAATATGGAAGCAATGATTTACAATTTAAAACTAAATTGTGCTTGATTACTCCGTTCAAAAACAGATGAAATATAAACTATAATTAAATTAAAAAACTGAGTATTGAACATACGAAGTAACTGTGATACACAATTATGCATTTTACCTATTAGCCTGCTAGACTACTATCTAGGTATTAAGAGGGCGAAAAAGCGCTTACAATTAGAACTAAAATTCACATTTCCTATTATCGTTAAGTCCTTTAAGCGATGAGATTACATTGCAAATCATATTATACACCATCCTTATCTATCAGTCCAATATTTAGTCTTTCAAAGTGTTCACTGGTTTCGAATATTATTATTCCACTGGCCTAACATTACAATGTAATCTTACCGCCCCCATACAATGTTATCCTACTGCTGAGGCAACATATGTGACCAGGCGGCTTCATACTTGGCATGTACTGAGCTGCATGCTGACTTCGCCGCCTCCACCACGCTTAGAGGGAAAGGCTCGCTCTGTGGCAAGACAAAAAAAATTAATGGGTTTGCGTGTGTGTATGGAAGTGTGTGGGTGTGAGTGAGGGGGGGTTCTTTTCGTAGGATATAGGTTTAAATTCAATTTAATCACAGTAAATTTTTTTTTATTGTTATTAAGGATTATGTAGATCGACATTTTTTTCTCGTTCTTGGTGTAAAAAAAAAAGCATAATTGAAGTAATCATGGTCCTGTTATATTCCGTCGCCTAAGATGTAAAAATGTCTTGTCTAATCGTCAGAATTCGAATAGTTTGGTTTGGTTGTCGCAAAGAATATTTAAAAAAAAACAGTTCCATATTTAGCGACTGCAGAAAAGTGAGTGGTATTTAAAAAACAACACGTTTCTTAAACTTTTTTTTAACGACTAACGCGTATATTATACACTTTTCACAAAAAAATCCAAATACAAAATATTTTGTTTTTATTTTGCACGTTCATTGTTTTTCTCACGCATTACGCATTAACGATTTCATTATTTTTATCAAAGTTGGCACACATTTTTTAATTTCCGTTTATGTATTGCATGTGTATGTATGTAATGTTTAAAACATTATTGAAATTCTAATTTCCGTTTTATCGTTCTTTACTTCCATTTAAAATTATTCAAACCGAAACTCATTATTCTAGTCATAATTAAAAATACAAAACTTGCATTTCCTAGTGAATCGTGAGGGATGTTTACGTTTAGTAATGAATGAATGTTGTTATGTAACGAATACGTCACAGCATAACTTAATTACTTGTAAAAGTATTATATCATGTTATGATGTACGATATTGTATAATCGGAATGGCTTGCCGCTGTTGTAGTGTGAATCAGAGCTTTGTTGATATTATTGTTAAGAATTCGATTTAAAGTGGATTCGATCAAAATCAACTTAGCCTTCAAACTTTTGTTATCAATCGACTAAAATGCGCTTTCACGTTATAGATGGCGCGATAGCTTTCAAGTTATTTTGATAACTTTTATTATACTTTATATATTTACTTAAATAAATTTTTACATAAAATATTTATATGAATAATTATAATATATAAAACTTTATGATTAATTTTATTTTATAAACATTTAATTTACTTTACTACTACTTTACTGCATTGGCAATTTATATTTAATTTAGTTTATATCACTAACCTAATGGGAATCGACACCGCGAGATCATTAGATCAACAGGGTCTCGCGGGGTCGATTCCCGCTCCCACCAAGGATAGATGACGGTATGATGAGCAGGATATTATTTCATAATATATAAGTATGTTTATATCAGCAGTCTGATTATAATAGTATCAGCTGGTCGTGTGTAAGATGTGTCAAGTTTTTATTATTTAACTAAAATAAAATCAAGAAATTTATATAAAAGCAGATATGTTATAATTATGCGACTAAATCAGGAAAAGCTTTTTCTGACTTTTTATTACCTGTTTGCAATCTGAGAATTCCGGAATTACCCCCGGGAGTAGTAAAAACACCTACAATTTCAGTTGTTTTTTTTTCAGACGATTTACTAAATTTATTATTTATGTAGAGAATATTCAAAAGACACTTAAGGAAGAGAGAAGAGTTTTTTTTTCATTCTTGTCGAGTTTATGAAATGAAGAAAATATTACGTCCCTGTCAAGTCGTGCATAGTACGTGTATGACGGGTACGTATGCTTGCGACAGGAAAAGTTTTTTTTATAGACATGTTGAAGAAGCTGGATAGCGTAGTACCGTGTAGTGTGTACAACTAACCGTGAGCACGCAGAAGGCCTGCTCCACGGCGGCGATGAACCTCTCCAGCTCCACGCTGCTCGTCAGCACCAGCGCCAGCCCCGCGCCGCGCTCGCGCGCCTCGCACACGCTCCACTCCTGCGCACGCGCACATACATACTATATTACATTTCATTGTTGTCGGCATATTTAGTAATAATTAAAAAGAAACGTTTTAACTATATTTTCGGCCACTCTGTCTGTTACAATCGACTTATAATGCTGATTAAACTATTCCTCAGTATGAGATTCGGGTTCTAATTTGTAGAAAACACATAAAAAATATTTTATACAATCTGTTTAAAATGTTACTTATCATTAGGATTAGCACTAACAAAATACTACCTACTTATTGCTAGTATCTGATGATACCAATAAAACGATCGGCTTTAACATTCTCTTGGATTGTTGTCAAAGCTATTCAACCAAACTTTGTGTATTTAAATGACATGATTTTTTTAAACTTAATTGTACAAGTAATTTATCACAACCCATCATAAACTTACCAAACAACACCAATTCTCATCAGTGTCAGGAATTTTGAACGCGGTTAAATTCTTGATAGAACCGCAGGCCAATATCTCGACATCTGTCCTCATTTCCTCTAAATATTCTGAAATAAACATTTCATTTTTATAATTTATTCTCACATTAATTAATACTAGATTATGCTGCAAAACAAATATTTGTTAATTAAATTTTTAAGTGTCTGTTGAACTCATAAATTGCACCTGACTCAGCTGAACTCGTCAAGAAAATAGTGACGCATCGATCAAGAACCGCCCCCTGATAATACGTACGATATTTCGTACCTGACGATAACTTCTTGGAACCAGATTGGCCAGGGTGAGGGGCTTGATTGATTTCTTAACACGAATGGACTATAGCTACTATTAAGTCCACGAAGTATTCTTGTCACATTTCACATCCGCCTTTCCCTATCTAAGTAAGGAGTATATTAAAAAAGATGAGTATATTCATAGTACAAATGTATAGTATAGTTTTAAAGGAGATAACTAAAAGCAGTTTACCTTTGAGCAAAGCATCGGAACCTCTGTCCTTAAGGTAGGCGGCCGCGCCCGTGACGAAGGCGAGGTCGAGCGTGTCGCGAACGCTGATCACTTCGTTCGGCGTCACCAGCACCGTGCACGCGGGCGGCGGGCCTTTGCGCACGTTCGACTTCTTGGCGCCGTCCTTTTCTTCTAAAGCCTATACAGCACATACAAACAATCCGTCGTCATTTTTCAACTAGATTTATATTAGAAAACTTTTGTTTTATTGATGTTTAAACGATGTAAATTTAAAATACCAATAGTTCGATGTTTAACACATTGAACGTCATTGCAGCATAAATAAAATTCTCGCTGCAATGATGGTTTACTCATCTCGTCCTCATACTCGTCTCTAAAATTACATTTTATAATATACAATTATATTATAAACTTTTAGGAGAGAGGCTCAAAGCAATAGAAACTTATAGGAAAACTTTGAGGTATTGTTATTTTTGTAAAAAAAACGTTTCGAACAGCTTTAATTTTGTCATAAAAAATGGCTGACTACAGATCAAGATTTGAGAAATATTTAAATCTAGCGAACTGCAGTACTCAACAAAATAAATGATATAAACGAAGGACACACCATTCAGAATTACAACGTAAACAGAATCTTTGTAAATAAGGATTCAAAGAAGCCTAAATTAAATGGGATAACTAGTAACCACTGTAGAATTCAACTATTCATCTTATCGGACTAGTTCCTCTATGCCGATATTACGTCGTATATAATATACGTATCGTCATCCAAAATTTTATATACAGCCTTGGCCAAAAGTATTAGACACCCCAGAAAAATGCACAATTCATGTTTACTGATTGAACAATGAATAAATGCTTATCTTAGATGGCATGCCGGGGTCACAAATAACTTCCTAGAAAAGCAAGCAGCTATCTGTTATGGTCACAAAACACCTGGTGACTAAAAACAAAGGATTTGTTTTGATGCGTTCTTATCAGTCAATGTTTGGTCACTTGTGTTCAGGACTCTAACGAGTAAACAGGCTTTTATTTCTAACATAGTGATTAAAATGACACGTAATTTATTTAAAAATGCCGAAAAGAAGTGAAATTAGTTTGGAAAACCCAATAAAAATACAACTTTTCCATGAACAAGGGAAGTCGCAAAAAGAAATTGCTAAGTTAGTGAAATGTTCGCGTTGCGCTGTGCAATCTGCTATCAAACGGTTTGCTGAGACTGGCAGTCACGCTAATAAACCAAGAACAGGCAGAAAACGTGTGACTTCAAAGCGCGAGGATAGAAAATTAATACGCGAATCTATGAAAGATCGGAAGAAAACATCATCAGAGCTTGCTGCTACTTTGTCCGAAGAGGCTGGAAAGCCAATAAGTGCTCGGACCACCAGAAGAAGACTTGGAGAAGCAGGCTTAAGAGGATGCAAAGCCAGGAAGAAGCCCTGGCTTTCAGAAGCTAACAAAAGAATACGACTTGAATGGGCTCTACAGCATCAGCATTTTACTGAGGAAGATTGGGTCAATGTGGTATGGTCTGACGAAACTAACTTTGAGGTAAGTAAATTTTACTGCTTTTGTTATTAATAATCATGGACAGTTATTTATTTAATTAAAATAATAAAAGTTAAGGCAGTTTAAAAAAAGTGTTTTTTTTTTCTTTTTTCAACAGATATTTGGAACGCCAGGTGTGACTTTCGTGAGGCGACGTGTGGGCGAAGAATACCATCCAGATTGCGTCGTACCGACAGTAAAGCATGGAGGAGGCAGCATAATGATCTGGGACTGCATGGCTACTGATGGGGTTGCCGAAATGTTTGTTTGCGAAGGCCGTATGAACAGCGAAAAGTACATAAAACTGCTTGAAACTGCGCTTATGCCTTCGCTAACGAGTATTTTCAGCGATACCAACTTAGAGGGAGTTTTATTCCAGCAAGACAATGCACCTTGTCATAAGTCAGCGACTACGATGCGTTGGTTTACTGAAAACAACATTGACTTGTTTGATTGGCCAGCGCAGTCACCAGATTTGAACCCAATTGAACATCTTTGGAGCATTTTGAAGCGCAAGATTAAAGAGCATAGTATCACATCGAAAACGGCATTAAAAAATGCGTTAGTACAAGAATCGCATGCCATTACAAGGGAGGATTGTACTAAGCTTGTACGCAGCATGCCAGCTAGAATTAGTGCAGTAATTAAATCTAAAGGTGGACCGACTAGATTTTAAGTTTTTTTCACACCATTTTGTGAATTTTAATGGTAATAAATCAATTCAATAAGTATAAGTGGTTTTTTTCCTTTATTTTAAGTAAAATGTAGGGTGACTAATACTTTTGGCCAAGGCTGTACAATACAAAGTTTCATTTCGATTCTTAGCATGTTCATTTCAAAGGTTAAAATAAACTTTAAAATTTGTTTACATAAGTAGTTAAAAGTAAAGCTAATAAAAGCGTACTTATAAAATCTCGTAATACGAAACGCTTACCATAAACAAATATGTTAAACTCACCTGAGCAGCATGCAATAATAATGACTGTAGCCAAGAAGATGCAGTCGCGTCGTCAGGTGCTGCTAACAGCAGCCTGCTGTTGTCGCCCAGTGCTATCTCGAAACAATGCGGCCTACGAGAAGAGTCAAGATGTCTTCTTACTCCAACTACTGAACGTAGAGGTATGTTGTTAGGTAGCGGTGACGTTCCGTCTGGAGAGTGGGGGCCCCAGTGAAGTACTCCAGCCCTACATTTAAACAAAATAAAACATTAAAAAACCGAACAATAGAGCCGTTAATGTGTTGTTCACGGAGACACGCGACTACTTGTCGCAACATATTAAAGAGTGATAGTAAAACTAGCAGAGTGCCAAGGCGTCACAGTTTGGTTAGTGCATGGAGACTCGCTTGCTGCCAATTCTGGTCGTGGGCTTACTTCCCATGCAGAATACATAATTGTGTGGTGAGCGCGATCATGTATACTGCTTTGGGGTTTTAAAATATTTGAGCATGTTTATCAGAAATTTGATTACCTCGAGGCTCTGCTCGGTATGGGATTAGATGCCTGTGTATGAAACCCATCAGGTTATTTTTATTATTTTAACCTTAGTTTAGTTATAAAAATACAGATCATGCAATTTAACTTGATTAATTAAAAACGTAAAAATGATTTTAAAACGCCCATCTTGACCTTGACCATAGTTTGTGTATGTAATTTCAACTTTCAGTTAGGCGTTAGTTAGCAGAGCACTCAGGTCAAGTCACGTGGTCGGGTCCCATCTCAAATGTCGACTTTCTCTACAGTTAAGATTACTACATAAATTATTCTAATTAAATCGTTCAGTCACCGCCGCGCTCTGATAATGTGTAAGGGTATTTTAAAGCACTTCTTTCAAGTTTAAACTTTTAATTTCTTTTACCTGAGGAGAAAATAGCTGGGTTCAAATCGTCGGCTCCTGTCGGTTCTACACATGAGGTAACCCTCAAGAGGGGCCGCAAACGCCCCATGCGTTTCTATCAGTCTGTCACCCGCATCACCAGAACAAACTTGACCATAGAACAGGATATGCGGTGTCTGAAAATACATGGAAATACTGATAATACGTAAAAACGTAGTACTACTACAGCGGTCATCCAAATATGTCCTTTAGTCACATAATAGTATTTACTATGTCTTCTGTCTGCGTCTACAGATTCATATTTAAATTTCTACAATAACTGTTCAGTCTGTATATTTATGTAGGAAACTAACGTTCTCGACAATTTCCTGCCTTTTTTCGGCAATAAAACAAAAACCATCCAACATATATCTAATTCTGATGACACAAGAACTAGAAAGATTTAAATTCTCATGCCGTGTCGTACACACTCGTTTTTAAGTTATTTTACATAGTTATGTATGGAATGTCCTCAATGAAATATGTTGTTTCGTAACCCATGAATAATCCCTGAATAGATGTCCAGTAACAAGAAAGTTGTGAAACGTAAAATACAGTTGTTCAATCATGAACATAATTGCATCACCCGCACTATCTATATATGTATATATATCCTCAGCGCAGGGTCACATATTGGAAGGATTAGGGAATTTAGGGATGTAGGTACTTACTTAGGTGTAGGTTACGTACGATTATTGTTCGGTTCATTACGGTGCCCGCTCGATACAGGTACTTAGGTTGTATTTAAGATAGGCTTTCGGTGTTACACGTACGAGTGCTGATTGGTGTCCGTGGTCCGCACCCGTATACAGTATAAATAATAGTTTAAAAACTAAAAAACACGCTATTGTAACTAGGCGTACTAAAAAGTGCCAAAAATAATTTTCAATAACGTTCAAAAGGAAAAATATTTACATCGTAGAAATGCTTGGGGTGCTAGAATGAATGCAAATGTTGTAAAAATATTTTATTACGCTTTTTTACGATAAAATTATTTTTCTTTTTGAACTAATAGAAATCCGCCAAATTTACCAAATTTTTGTTTTGTCATCGGTCCTTGATAAGTGTGCCAAGTTTCAATTTAATTCGTGGGTGAAAATTACGTTCGAAGATTCCGTTACATACATACATACCAAGATAGTAAAGGGTGTTAATAATTACAATGAAACAGGTCAGTTTAATTACAGTTTAGATCAACAATCAATATTTTATAAAATAAAACCATAATTTAATGCAGACTTGCTTTAAATCAAACCTTGCTACGAGAAACATTGTGATTGTGTCTTTGACATTGACTGTATTGCTTTTGCACGGTCAAGATCATTCAATAACAAAAACCAGACTGCATACAGGTTTTATATGATATCACATATGCGTCTCACTATTGTACAACTTATAGGTATTAACAAGTGTTTGAAAAGTAATAACTAACAGTACAGATGTTTTTCTTTCAAAAAAACATTTACCGATTCTTTTTCTTATCTATCTATCTATCTAATACCTTTAAACGAGCAATTATATGTAATCTGAATCTCGGAAACGGCTCAAACGATTTTCATGAAATTTAGTATGCAGAGGGTTTCGGGGGCATTTAATCGATCTCTCTAGGTTTCATTTTTAGAAAATTTACCAAAAAAAAAATACCGAGCTAAGCTTGGTCATCCAGGTACTCATAATTATACCGTCAAAAAAATCTGGGATGTTTCAGTAATTTACAAGTTTTTTTGTTACGAAATGCAACGCAGTATATCGAAAATATGACGCTGTATATTTAATAAAGTAATGCGGAAGTTTATTGTGCAGTTAATTAAAAAATTAAAAAAAAAAAAAAAGCTTTGTCTGAATTGACAGAGTAGTAGTGATAGTATTTCAAGTTTATTGAACGTGAAATTAACTTTGTTTTCGTTTATCCTACGTTTTATTAATACACTTTTTGATAAGCGGACAATACAAGAGATATGAGTAGACCTTTGTCAGCTCTTTATAAATCCGCTTTAAAAAAACCAAACTTCAAATTATTTTTAATTAATTTTGTGACAAAGATTCCGAAGTTGCAGATAATGCCAGCCGCTGTGTTAAATAAGTCCGCATATATTATTTTATGTCCAAACTAGTAAAAAAAAAGTACTTACTCTGCTCTCATGCCGTTGTCTAGCAACAGCCGCTGCTACCTCTCGACACCCAAGCGGTATCATTGCAGGTGGCCGCTGAATCCGCAATGGCGAAGTCCGCGCACTCCATTCGAGTGACGAAGCCAGCCGGGCTCCAAGTGTAGATTCACCAGTTATTATAGAACAGGCGATGTTCCCAGCGATGTCCAAAACCTGAATATATTGCGCTTCGGGACCAACCTGCAGAAAATCGTGTTTATAATTAGAAAAACACGGTGAACGTCTTGAACGGTGTAAAGTTTTAATTGAAGAGCTTTGGTACAAATATCGATAACAAAGAAATCCTTTAATATTTTTACTCTCATTTTTATTTTTTCTTATTTCCTGTTTTTCTTTTTTAATATGGATTAAACGGTTACTGGCATACCTCAATAGAATTTAGTTTGAAAACTTCTAAAAATAAATTCAATATTCAACAAATTTTCTTATCTATTAATCACGCTTTGTATGAACTAATTACTCCTATGCATTGATCTATTATATTACACTAGATTAGTAATTACGGCCCAAAAGCGTTGCCACTGCACATCTGTCCACAGCCATATACGCAGCAAACGTTAGTTCAGTGTTCAATGTGGCGCCGATCGAGTTGTATATAGCGACACGTGACAGTAACAATCTCCAAAAAGGGTAAATGCGTAGTGATAGAATGCGTTTCAAGGTCACAAAACTATAATAAATCAAGCAGAATTACTTTTCACACGTATGTTTTTTTTTAAGTATTGATTATTGACATAAATAACGCTATAATCGGAATAAAAATTGATGAGTGTAATTTATATATTGTGTTACCACTAAAAATCGTTTTGGTTTTCCCACGGTTGTCGGTTTTTATTCTGTTTTTAAATATTATGGCAATAGTAATAAATTACAGTAGGATTGGTAGCTGATAAGATTGGACCCCATCTCCTTTTTTAGGGTCCAGCGTTCACCTCCATTCAAGCTCGCAGCACTAGAAACTTTCATACAAATGAATTACATAATTTATTGTATTTTCTTATTTATTTATCAAATAATAGTTTTACAGTAACTTTATACGAGAATAGCGGCACGCCGTGTCTGAGAAATGGGTGGCAATAATTCGAATGCAAATAATATTGAAAATATTACAAGCTGAGGAATATTTTGTCATCAATACAAGTGGATCACTCCCTTTATAAAGTACTGGCATTATTTATTTATACATATTTAAAAATGGGATGGTATCATGAAAATAAATTATTTGTTTAAACTTACAAAAAAGAGTCTAAAAGACAATTTGTACATAACTGATGCTTCATAGAATATACAATAATAATTATAATAAAAAAACCTCTTTAATTAATTTATTGGTTAGTTCGTTACCTCAGAACTCTGCCATTTAAGAACCGATTTGAAAAATTCTCGTTTTATTTATAAGGGGTTTACTTCCTGTTTGATCCAAAATTCCACCCCAAAGTGTGAAAATTAAAGATTGAAAAAGTTTAATATAATTTTGAAGTCGATTTATACTTTTTTTTTACTAATTATGCTGTTCATTCATCAAGCATGATTCCTACTAAAAGAAGTGTTAAAGCCTAGCATTGCATTTTATGACTAACGTAACGTAAAACATAAATAAGTGTAGACATTTTAAATAACAGAGGCATAACAATTTATATGTTTAGAAGAGTTGATAATAAAGGTCATTGATATTGTGATTGATATAGGTCAAATATCATCAATTATTGTCTGGAATATCACCGACCTTTTTTAAACAACAACATTTACGATAGCGTTAAATTATATTGGCCTGAAATGTTAAAGGTGATTTTTTTACTTGAAAGTATTTATATTTAGTATATTACAAAATATTCTCAAAATAATAATTTAATAAATAATAATAATAGTTTTTAATCTGTGTACATATTAGCTTGCCTTCTTTATTTTTTAAGTAGGTAAAGAGGCCAAAGATTATGACGATACGCCAGTGCCAAACCTTTATGTTATGTGCTACATTCCTGTATATATAAGTAGGGATGACAACAAATGAGGAGATTGCGCAAGGATACAGTTCCGTATCAATAATTAAAAAAAGTGTTTTTTTATCCTGTGTATGAATGTATAGGGCAGACACTGCCATCCGACTGCCGAGGTAGGTTTGGTAGGTAGACCGGTTCTGCCAACTACAGGTCCTCACTATTAGTAACAATTTGCAGCAACGAGAACAGCAACTACGCACGCACTATGCATATGAAAAGAGTAGTCACCACCAAGACAATACAGATGACAAAACTCCATCAAATATAATATTACTTACCACTATCGCATCAAGTTCATTATGAGGCAATCTGCAGAGGATATCGTATTCTGTACCACCCGGCTTTACGCTTGCAACGTACAATGCGTAATCAGTGATGAACACCAATAAAGGCGTCCATGAACCATCGTCCATATTATATGGAGACTTGACTTTCATCATCTGAGGATAAAAAAGGAATTATATTATTCGAGTCGAAAGAAAAACATTTAAATATTTGTGAGTGTTAGTATCTGTATTGTACGGGAATTCGTGTGTATATGAAGGGGTCATATACACACGAATATAAACTAGGCATTAAAGTATAAGGTATTACTGGTTCGTTTTTTGAGAATAAGTGCAATATATTTCAGACTGTTACTGTTTTGGAACAGGAACAATCCAATAATAGATGAATACAATGCTTGTCTATATGTTAAATGTCAACAACTCTTTGCGTTTTTTACAACTCAATACAGTGAGCCCTTAATCATCAATCGGTTTAATTAATATTCAAAAAAGCTTACAACGAAACCTGTATTTATGTGCAAAATGATTGATGTGTAACTTACTTTCTAATTCAATTTCAATCAATATGTGTATTTACGATATTGCGTAACTATTGTGCACTAACAACTAGATTCGTTTTTACGTTGCACTACGTTTTTTTACTTTCCTAGTAGAAACATTGCATTTGAAAGTCGCGGGCAACATCTCATTACTATTTTCACTAAATTAGTATTTAGAAACTATGAAATCAGTAATCAGGGTCATGTTACGGTGAAATAAACTAGTGTGCTAGTTATCAAACATAATTACCCTATTCAATGTTTCATTGGGATATGAAAAAATTTGCAACCGTAATTTTTCATTACATTCAATAGCGACATTATCTTCGAAACTGTCAAAGTATGAGGGCTCGTCGGCCGTGAGCATTCGTACCGATAGCCTTTTGTTCTCTATCACTTCTTTGTCAATGAGCCGTGACATTCGATCCGCCGACACGTGAAATGTGTCCGAAACCTCTTTAAATGGAATTATGATGCTGGGAAAATGTTTCTCCATTCGAAGTTTAAATTGAAAGAACTTGTTGTTCTTTATTTTGAGTTCAAGGTCTTTTCTCTGGCACACATTTTTCAAATATCTATTCAATAGCGCCGACTTATTAGATTGTAGTTTCTGATTCGCCGGACTGTCGAAAAATTCGTCATTGAAATCTTCGGCCCCTTTCAATGTCGAATTATCTGTGTTTGAGCAATTGTCGCTGTTTGCTTGCGCAGGTACTTCATTTGATTTTTGCACGCCTGGCGCCAGTTTACGACTGTATCGATTTACATTTTGCTTTTTAGGTGAAGACAAATGTTTTGGTATACCATTTTTTTGTTCAGTTTCATCTTGCACATTTTTGTTGAATTGTCTCTTTGGGGTTGAAGTTTTACTTGATGAGTCAGTATCAGTAGTCTTATTGAGGTCTAGTTTACTTGAACTCGTAACTAGTTCCTTCACTGGGGTAGCCTCGGGAATGGGTACAAACGTCTCTCTAGGTGCTTCAAAAGCCGTTTGGAATGTATCATGAACATAACTGTAAGATACTCCTTTGTGTTCATATACTGTACTTTCACAGTTTACTACATATTTAGTAAGAGGTGGTAGCTCAGCTTTGTTAGGTTTCTTGTCAAGTTGTGCTTTCATGTTTAATGTGAGTTTGTGTCTTGGAGATCCTTCATTTGGTGTTCTATCTCCTGTAACATTAGTTTTAGATGTCTGTGCCATTTCCTTGGTCTTTTCAGCCTCTAATGGTTGGCCATTCAGGTTGATTTCTACAAAATCATCTTCATCTTCCACTTGGAAGCCCGAGTCTAAACTTTTCGATAGTTTTTTGTTTTGGTTCACATCACACGGTAGTGCTTCAACAACATTATTTAACTCCAAACTATTTTCTGGCAAACCTTTTTCTGCAGTAAAATTGAAATTAAAATTTTTATAGAAGTTCTTCAAAGAATCTAGGATGTTGTTAGCATCAAGTAGACTTAGTACTTTGCTATGATGTTTTCTTTCCTCAACAATATTAGTAGTGATGTAGCGTTTCTTTTTTAATACAGATTTAACAGCATTTGGGCTTTGAGTCCCAACTTCTAAAGGTTTTTGCATCCTATCTGGTGACTGATCAATATCAGCTTCAGAGAAGTATGTCTTTCTCATAAATGCAACATGCCCATTATTTCCAAATGCATCACAGGAATAAGATTTCTGAGCCTTATCACATTTCCTCTGCATCAGTGATGTTTCAGTTTTATTTGAATGTGAAGATGATGAGTCACTAGAAGAAGTTTCTGAGTCACAACTGAAATTGGAATCTGAGCTATTAGAGTCACATCCATACAGTTTTCCAGTTGGCCTGGGTTCATTGTTATTATCTTTATCATTATTAATATCTTGGTTCTGTCTTTTATAATCTTGACAATATTCAAATATACCACTTCTATCCTGCTCAGAATCACCATAGGTAAGAATATCGGACATGGTTTGTTGAACTACATCTGCTGCATACTTAGGTGTCCGATCACCAGAGGCACACCATGAAAACCTATCAGTCATATTATTTTTCTGTTTGAACCTATCACAATATGGACTATCAGGGCCATATGATACAAAACCTCGTTCTATATGAATATTATCTGTTTTAGTGTTGTTTAATATATCTTCATGGAATGAAACTCTCTTTTTCTGAGAACTCGGTCCACTTTGTGATTTTTTCCTACATCTCCGTCTGTACACAATGTCTTCAGATAGAGATTTTTTTGGTTCACTTCTCAATGCAGGCTTTCTCTTTTCCTCCAGATCTTTTTCACTTTCTAATGCTTTCAAAACTAAATCTGGCAAGTTTTCATAAGGAATTGGTTTTTTATGTGCTTCAATTAACAGTTCTGGGACAATGTCATCAGGCGCACCAATGTTTTGATTATCAATATCGCTGCGAGTCATTATGCTACTGGTGGTACTTTTTATCATATCCTGAGAACCCGACGGAGGAGCGTCATATAAACTATCACAAGCTAATTCTTCGGCTCCTATGAGACTGTGCGACATGAGCGCTTGGCTTGTAGCCTCTGAGGCTTCACTATCTAAACACAAAACACCAGAATCACCGGGCGTATCGGCCAAACTACTCGTTGTACTAGAAATCAGGTGAGTGTTGCCTTGAAGACACAAATCCGTGGGCTTGTCTGCGCTTTCATCCGCGTTTTCCATCTTCGCCAATTGCAGTGTATCTCCAACAGCGGTTGTTACTGCTGTCGCAATAATAGTGTCGTCAGTTTTATGACGACGTTTGCTTTTATCGATCTCGATGGCTTTTATTTCAGTACCCTTGTCTGTAGACATGATGATTACTGACATTTAAACGCTATGTAAACAAATGTACATTGATTTGTAGCGTTATTATTGTTTCACGTTAATTACTGACAGTGATCATTTTCCGTCTTATTTATAAATTCTAAGTTAAATACGACACAAAACATGACGAATACACCGCAGCCATTTTTAACATTTTGACATTTCAATGTTTTTTTTTCCAATAGTAGTGGCCTTACTTAACTCTCAACTCCTCTGACTTTTCTCTCTGTATCGCTTCAGTTTTTGAATTTCTTTTTAAATAATATTGGTTAGTAGTAGTAGTATACATATGATTAATTTAATTTCTTTATTAAATTGTTGTCTGGGTGTAAAATGATTTTCTTGTATTATTAGTCCATAGCTTAATTTTTCATATTTCTAGGCACAAAAAAAAAGCCCAGGCATAGATTACAAAACAACTGTCATGTCATGAACTGTCAAACGCTTGAAATGCACGATTTGCCGATTTAGGTTAGATTTTCAAAATAAAGTTAATATCTTTGTTTTTATTGATGCAATTACACAACTTATAACATGGAAACTATGAAAACAACGGTAGTTTTAACGTTACTGGGTTTATTGGTACCCATGTGTGACTGTGGCAAAATTAATACCCCAAGGGTTCTGTTACCTTGGTTCGAGAATTTGAATGTAAATTTCACCTTTGAAATCATAGAAGGTGGTTGTTATACTTGGTAAGTATGTGTTATTTTAATATTTTTTTTGATAATACACAGTGGTGTTTATAATTTTGTATTTTTTATGCTTCGTAGGAGTTTGTCTCGCGATGACATCATAGATTTAGAGCCCTTGTACGATGAGTCGTGGGGTCATTGTGCCCGTGGGGCCCGTGTCTCGGTATCTAAAACCTGTACACCACCAGGATCCGTGATAATTCTCGCCGAAGAAACCAGTAGTGGCGAGGTAACTATACTATGAAATTATGGCGGGAAACTTAATATCGTTATAGGAAAATGATAATTTTAAACAAATTACCTTTTTTTTATACCTTGTTTTCTTTAAAAATAGTGCTTTTCATTATCTCTGTATAATGTCCTTTCTCGGCAGAGCATAATATTAAAAGATACATAAGACACCTGCGGAACATGGATAAACATACATAGATTGTAGAGGAGGTGATATATATATATATATATATCGTTCGACATAAATAGAAATATCAACTTAGTTACTAAAATCATAATAACACACATTATTAACATATACAAACACAAGTGATTCTTGAATACAGGTTTACTTTTGTTTATATTCCATAGTCAAATTGATAGGCTGGCCCTCCCGATGGTTTGCGGTATGCGGGGCAGGTGATGAGCTCAGCTATATGAACATATCATGGCATGATGTACTGACTCTATATCTGCAGATTTATTGGTTTGAGTTTTAATTTACACATGATGTTTTTAAAATAGAATTTATTTCCAAGTATTATAATTTCAGTTTATTGTAAGTTTTTGTAATTAATTGTAAAATTTTAATATTTGTATAATAATTTTAATAACATTACCTTATCTTTACCATGAATATTATATTCAGATACAATTTGATAAACAAGTAAAATAATCAATTTTCTTTATTAGAACATGAGTCACTGTCGTCGGACAGCAAAACCCCACGTCCCACAAACTATCAGGAGGGCTAACGACTAATGTTTGACTGTAGTACCTAATATATTGTGTACTTTGGAATTGTCGTAACATCACTCTATAAATATCTTGTAAACAATTATGTAAATTCACATGTAGTTTAAATCAGACCAGAATACTAGGTTGTGATTCCACACATACACATATAGATAATTAGCTTTTGCCTGTGGCTGCGCCCACGTGTATGTCAGTTATTACGGTAAAAAGTAGCCTAACTATGTTACATGCTGATTAGGGTAACTTTCCATTGGTGATTTTTCTTTAAATGGGTTTAGTGTTTCACATGTGAAAGCATAATAAACTCACTTACACATTTATAAGTATCTATATAAACCATTAAAGTGATATAAAATAAACTTTAATTTCAGATACTTCGTGGAGATGTAGACATAGACAAGATAAGCTATCTAAAAGTAGTGAGCACAACATGGAAGCTTTATCTAGAGGAAGCACCAGAGGCTTTTGAGGTTGTTGCCTATGATGATCAAGGTAGGTTCATGATTATATTTATGAGATAAAAGTTGTTCTACATGGACTTTGTATAAATAAATAACCAAAAGTCTGAATTTCTCTTGCTCTTTTTTTATGGAAATATTCTTGTAAAATTTCTTACACCTAAATTAAAAATATTGAATAAATATTTCTATAATTTTTATAGAAATCTGGATAATACAATCTATCTTAGATGTGGACAAATAATGGAAAATCATTTCCCCACATTATCTATGGTCAACTGTAGTAATCACATATTTCATATGAGCGGATAACACCCATATGAAATCATAAACTTAAAAAAAAGCCAGAAGGAATTGGTGTATCTAATCTAATAAAACGAAAACCCATAATGTACACACACACACACACTAGTCCCTGCTTGTTAAGATATAATAAAATTATATTTTTTAGCATAATATGCTAAAATTTTAGTATTTTAACAAGGATACAGGTGCAGTATTTGTAAATGGAAACTTGTAGAAGGAACTACTAAAATATTTTTTTGACGGCTTATGGTTATTTTTTATTAAGTAAGTAGCTTCATGAAAGTAATTATTATGTTCTTCAATATTAAGCACAATGAGAAATTAAATATAAATCTAATAGAGAAGGCTGACAGAAATCTGTGTCAAATAAGATGCTATTAGAATTAACTTTTATATTTATATAAATATTTCTTACAACACATATTGTATTTTAATTTTATTAGGTAACAAGTTTTCTACTCTGGAAGGAGTGAGCTTTATATGGAGCATTCAAAACGTTGGAAACAATGATGATATACCACTTGTCAAGTAAGTTGCTATATTCTTTATTACACAAAATAAATAAAAAAGTAGCATAATGGCCGAGACATCAGACCTTATGTCACTTATTTATTTTTTCACTTGTAATATATTTCAATTAGTTTGAATAATATTTGTACTGCATCATCATATACACGGTGATTTTGAAAGCGTTTTGGAAAAAAAATATTTGAATTATTTATCAATAACAGAAGCTATATATAACGTTAATTTAATAAAATATATATTTTTTTTCATCAAAGTCGATATTCATATCGTTTACAGAGAAAAAGTGAGAACCAGTAGTAGGGCTATTCAATCACACGTAGGTAAATACTACAAATAGAAATACTGTGCGTTTTAATATCGAGTCACATAAAATCGTATTCGCCAATAAAAACAAAGCTACCGAGTTGCGCCGGAGTCGTCCAACCAATGACGTCTGCCCCGTAGGCGCATGCGCGGGACTCACCTGTAATCGTGAGGCGTCCTTCGCTTTCAGTCGGTCAGTAATACCATAACATCGTGACGACACGCTACATTGATTAGCGCTAAAATGAGTCGACAGTACGAATTTCAAACGTGGAGTACTTGGCAATGGTACAGCTGTACGCTACTGCCAACTACAACTTGAAAGAGGCTCGGCGTTTGTATTCCCAGCCGGAGCATTTAAATGCACTACGGCTACGTGGAATTGAAAGCCCTCAAATTCCCTCCACACCTACCATATTGGCTGCAACCCAACGTCTTCTCGACCACGGACAATTTCGTGCGCCTACTCATGCGCAAGGTCAAGGACGTTTAAATTATTATTCGCCTGAGTGTAGTGCGTGCATACCTGGACAATGAGTTTAGTGATCGGTGGATAGGTCGAGGAGGGTCTGTGCCTTGGCCACCTAGACCGGCCCGGACTTAACGCCCCTGGATTTTTTCTTATGGTCGGAAATAAAAAGACTTGTTTATACACGGGAATATGAAAGCCGTGATGATTTACGCATTGCGATAGTGGACGCTTTTGATAAAGTGAAAGTAATAGAGACACATTAAGAAAATTAAAAAAACAATTGCATTAAACGTGGACGTTTGTGTATTAAACGCAGCGGACTCCATTTTGAGCAGTTGCTTCGATACAGAGAAGTGTAAATAGTGTAAATAAACTGTAAATAGGTATGTAAGTTAATTATTCTGTAGATAGCTCCGATTTTTTAAATACGCCTGAAATATTTATACCTACAGTCCGTTGATAAATTGATTTGTTGTGAAAAGAACAATCGTGGTTATTAATCGAAAAGAAGTTTAAATAAAATAGGTATTCCGACGGTCCTAAGCCCGTGTAAAGTATGAAGGACAAACTGGAGTCTATCTACGTAAGTACTCGCTAGCTCGCGCCTATAGGTATACTTTTATCAGCTGCTGTTAGCGTCAGCGGTGCGCAGCGGCCGCCGAAACGCGCACGGAAGTGTTTCATGCATATAAGATAATGAAATGAATGAATGATCAGTGCATTACTACTTTCCAAGTCGATCGAGTAAAAATGAATATTGAAACTTTTTTTTTAGTCAACATTACAATTGATTAAACTATTTTTATTGGTACTATAGATGATTCCAAATTAAAATGTTTCGTTTCCAAAACGCCTATAAAATCACCGTGTATATCTGATACACATTACTTCACACATTTTTGTAATAAGAATACAAATAATTGAATGTTTGTTATTTAAATAAAGAAAAATATTAAAAGTATATTTAAAAAAATTGGATTACAATACTATGATATGCATGTATTTCTCAGGCTAGTAAGATGGTGTGACACGGATTATGAAGCACCCCAAGGTGTCACAGAACTAGAGGCTCGCGGTCTTCATTCCCATTCAGTATTGCTCTATGGTCAAGTTTTAGGCGAGACTCGGGTTACTGTCTGCCTTGAAGATATTTGTACCGACTTTGACTTGCATGTGGTGGCTAGCGTTGTACTTATGCCAGCCACTGCGATCATTGCTCCGGGGGATACACTGCGCTATAAGTACGTACAAAAAAATTACTCACTCACTATTTCCATTTAGCGGTTTTATAATGTTATGCTGTAAAAAAAGTTAAGCTCGTTAAAAATGTTAACAGAAATATTATAATCGTTTTAGAATCGTTCGAGCACGCTCAGGTCGCCTTACAATTGAAGACTTAACAAATGATTACTACTACTTGAAAGTACCTGACTCCAGCACAGCACTTTTAGAAGACTCCGTAAGCTTAGTACGAGCCACGAAAGTAGGCTACACCAATGTATACTTATTATCTGGATCAACCGAAGTAGCTTCTGCTATGCTCACCGTAGCCGAGCCATATAGCATTAGAGTGACACTAAGACCATCAAATTTACTAATAAGAGGAGAATCTTTTATCGTACATAGTATTTTGCTGGATAGAGATGGACATGCTTTGTTTGCTGGAGACCAAGTTTTGATAAGATTATCAGTGGAAGGGGAGGCTGATGTTGATTTGTTGCGTTCGACGGAAAATGGGACATTAACTGATGCCGTAGCGCAGAAAGCTGGGCCTTTCACTGTAATGGCGAAGTTGCATTCTATTGCGGGGAAAACGATTTCTCGTAAGGTAAGTCATATTTTATTTATTGTGTCTTAATTTCGTTAATATGTAAAAAGCTTCCTAGGCCTCCTTCCTAGGTTTTATGAAAAGCTGAGCTATATCTTTTTATAAAATGTGTTGTATAGTCTAAGTCTGTAAAGTATTTTATGGATTATTTTAAGTGGGCTATCTGTTCTTTGTAGGTGGAAGGGCAAGTGTCAGCTGTTGCAGTGGATCCATTGGAAATGGTACCACCACAACTATATGTTGCATGGACAGAAACTATGCAGTAAGTATGATGCACTGGTTTTTATCATTCAGAAGTACAGCACCTTAAAAAGAAAAAAATAACAAGAAAAAATGCATTAGCTACGATCTTCTTTAGAAGCACTTTAAGTGTTCATAATTCTATTAGGTTTTGTGGCTGTGACAATCCCTGTATATATACTACGTTTTTACTTCTTGTTATACCACTTGTACTTTTTTATTTTATTATTAACACAAGTACCAGGTCTAGATGAGATTAAGTAAGTATAGCAAGGATGTTGACAAATTTTCGAAACAGATTTGGTTTTATAGGCAAAAATAATACTCTGCTAAATAAAAACTTCATTAAAAAAGGAACAAACGTAAAAGTTTAGTTACTTTTAATATTGCCTTATATTATAATCAGCTGTTAGCTTGATTACTGGTCAATGACATAATGTATCTTAGTGTAAGTAATTACGCTTTAAAACACCCATTAGTCAGTAACTTATAAATTCCTTATTTTTACAGAGAAATACAACTACAACACAAAGGCGGCGGTAACGAAACAGTAGTTTGGTCAGAAATAGAGAGTGAGGCAAAACAAGGGCCTCTTTCACTGTCCCCTGCAGGTCTAGTCACGATACGAGGTATCGGCGAAGTTCACGTGAGAGTACAATTGAAGAAGTATCCTTACGTCAAAGCTATTGGAAGGTAATATTTTTACTCTAGTAATGGACAAAGCTTTAGTAAATTAATAGATTGAATTAGTGAGGTATGCTGTAATGTCAAACAAAAAGACCTGGGTTATGTTAGGGAAGTCTATATTCTAAAGAAAGTAAGTTAAGTATTGCTCGATGCTCATTTTTGAGGGAGTGAAGGGACATACTAAGATGGACTCCTTTTTCAAGAAAAAAAGTGTGTGTCAGCAGAGTTTACTCCCTAAGAATGATTCGGCTGCACACATGTGTACAAGCTATACAAAAAACGTAACGAGGTCATTTGATCACTAAATTTTACTCTTTTTATTTTTTCATACCGGTCGCCTGATATGAAAGCCGATTCTTAAGGAGTGAAAATAGTGATCGTTACGTTTATTGTGCGTATCTTATCGTACGCACCCGTTCACTTTTCAGTAATACTTCCGTACTACCATATTTCCATACTTCCATACTATTATACTAGCATATTTCCATACTACCATTACTCAAAAGTGAAAAGTGCGCACGATAGGTTGCGCATAAAAAACATAACGAGATCATTCGATCACTAAATTGCGCCTTATATGAAAATCGATTCTTAAGGAGTAAACTCCATTGGTTTCATAATTGAAATGGCTGCTCGGTACCTTCGAAGGATGAAGATATTTGCCTTTTAGTTTTTGTGTCATTGCCGTGATATTTTAGAAAGCATAAAGATTTCCGGTTATGAATTCTCACCCGTTATTGATTAAAATTATTTTGTTACAGGGTATGGTCGGTACCTGCGGAAATGGTCCAAGTCTCCAGTACAGGTTACGCCCGTGTCGGCAAGGCGCATTACTTGCATATAGCGCTCACTGCCACACACCCGGATACCGGCGAACTGTACAATTTTCATATGTGAGTATTTAGAAACTGGTCTGGTTCTCCACCACGCTTGCTTCTATCAATTTAGTAAAAAAATTTTACGCATCTATCAAGGCCGCACCCGGACCAATCAGGTTGCAAGCTTTCGTACGAAACGATAATTTCTTGGGCGAGGTGGGAACTATAGTGGTATGGCGGATCATTTAAAATGTATTTCCGCAGATACGGACAAGACGTATAGATTATAAATGTTTATGTAATGTATATATGTGTTTATGTTATTATTGCTTTGGTGGTCTATAAAACTAAAAATATTACTGCTGTTACTCAAGAACGGCTTAACAGATCTGGCCCGAAAGTCTCAGAAAAAGATTATAATATTGAATAAGAAATGTGAAATCAAATCGTCGAGTATTTGGTTTTAAATAATTTATTATACATAACTGTTATAAGCATTTTAGTATTTGTATTTGTACTTATTGGAATTTTGATGTAAAAAAGACTGAGGAAATACTAATGAATGGTAAATTTTGCAGATGTAACTGCGATTCATTTGCAGTTTCGTTGTTGGAAGGTCCCGAACCGCATAATGTAACGGCTGCTAAATGGATGCAACCAGTAGGTGAGTTATATTTACAAACAATTCTTTATTATAGACATGTTAATAAATCACTAATGGTTTCAAAACAGACAATCATCGCTTAGAACCGTGTTTTATTTTGCGGAATAAAAATTAACTTATGCATAACGTCACTTGACTATCATATAAAACGTGCGACATATAGAATGAAATAATAATATATATCGGAAGTCGCGACGAGTGTTTTGAAAGGAAAACTGCTGCACTTAGCGGCTCACTGAGTTAGTGCGATCCTTCGACGGCGCCACGTACTCGTAAGTTCATACCTACAGTGAACAGTTTTATGTTCGTAGACGGTGCCTGCTGTGTAGTGGAGTGCGCGTGGACCGCTCGTGGCGTGTCCACGTTGCGCGTGTCGCGGGGCCGCGTGGGCGACACGACGCGCGTGGCGGTGCGCGCCGCGCCACACGTGCTGTGGCCCCAGCACGTGGCCCTGCTGCCCGCCGCCACACTACCGGTACGTCACTACTGCGCGTACTCAACACGTGTGACCACCCTCTGCCATTTGAGCCTTACTAATGCTTGATGTTTAATATGGAACTATATTAACACCAGTTAGCACCTACTGTATTGGCACTCCGACGATGCTAATTTTCAGTATAAAGAAAGGCACAGTGCCAGTAATTCTGTCTATCCACTATCATATCTAGAATGGATGTGGATTTCCTGGTAATAAAAATATATTGATTACCTGATGTACAAACAAGATGTGAATATTGTAGCTACTATTATTATCCACGACAGACTAAATATACTTCAGAAAAAAATGTTATTTTTCATCTAATTATTTTTTAAAACTCAGCCTTCGAAAACTCTGCTGTTGTAATTTCAATTTGTATATAAAATTATATTACATATTTAATTTTTTAATAAAATATGTGATAAATCTCGTAACTAAAATAAATTCAATTTCAATCAGGTGATAGCAGAAGGTGAAGCTTTGGTCCCAGTCACGACCGAAACGCGAGTATCTGAGCTTATGCACCGCGACGGTCCGCCACCACACCAGTATCCTGACGTTCAATTATTCACGCTAAAGTGTAGGAGGGTATGTATTTAGTTCAATACATAAGTATGTTTCACATAATATAGGCATTAGGAAAGTGCCTGCAGTGGGAATCAATCAAATCAAAACTTTATTTTGCACAACATGAGTAGATATAAACATTTTTACAATCATATCAGTTTCATCAAATTCTGCTGTCACAGCAAAATTAATACAATAAACAATAAATTAATATAAAGATTGGAATTGAGGAAAATCACAAATAAATGATGTTTATATAGTTATCACTGTAATATAAATTAAACATTGTTCATTAATAATTGGATATACACATGTCATACATATGTTTACACTAAATTTCTATCAATTAAATAATCGTTAACAGAACGATAACCTTTTTCAACTAATATTTCTTTAACTTTATTTTTAAATATAACTAAAGTTAAAGAAATATTAATGGATGGGAGTGATACCACAGTCTCACATAAAACTGATGCTCAGCAGTTTTTCGTTGCTTTTTACCGGAGCCCAAACCTCCCTCCCTCTGACTCTCAGGACAGGGTTTGAAAGAACGCGCTTGTGACTCTTGAGTTGCAGATATTAATGGACGTCGGTAGTCACTTACCATCAGGTCCGACTGCTCGTTTGCTCCACTATACCATAAAAAAGTAATAATTTATGTTATATAAGATTATGGCGTGTAGAATTAAGACGATTCTGTCTTGTCTCTGAACATACATGTCTCATGAGTATCAACATAAAGTGATGTGGCGGGTCATTAAAAATGTATATCCGCTGATACGGACAATGTGTATAGATTATAAATGTTTATGTAATGTAATGTAAAAACTATACGGTGTTCTATATAAATATTACTAGTGTTACTGAAGAACGGCTTGGGCGGGGTGAGAACTATAGTGGTATGGCGGATCATTAAAAATGTATATCCGCTGCTACGGACAAGACGTATAGATTATAAATGTTTATGTAATGTAATGTTAATATGCGTGACTATTGCTTTGGTGGTCTATAAAACTAAAAAAATTACTACTGTTACTCAAGAACGGCTTAACAGATCTGGCCGAAAGTCTCAGGAAAAGATTATAATGTTAAATAACAAATGTGAAATAAAATTGTTTAAAAATACGTATGTAAAGTATGTAAATAAGTTGTGAAGCAATTTGGAAATACGGATACATCTTGTCTCTGAACAGATATGTATCATGAGTATCTATACTTTTAACAGAAAGGTGAGTCTCGTCAGGAAATAATGTCACAGACAGACGAAGAGCGCGAGCTAGTTGCGTTAGAGGCGAGCTGCGCTCCTCACGTGTCGCGGATCCGACTGGAACCTTCCGAGACACCTGGCAACTGTTCAGGTGGATCTAAGTATGTACTGATTATGATATTTAATTCTAATACTCTTATAGCACACTAGGATCATAACTTACTTTATAAAATATTACAGAGTGTGGCTCCGTCCAGGTCAAGAAGTGATAGTGAAAGTAACTCTCATGGATGCGACTGGACGTGAACTGCTCGACGAAAACGGTCCGAAGATGGCATGGGATATAGAACCTAGTCATCCAGGCTTACACTACAAAGCTGTAGACAGACTGTTTGTTGAACATCATCCAGAATATTTACCAGTACCAGTGCCGTATAAGTATTATCAGGTCAGTAGAATAAAAACTCCATTTATTGTTATTTAGTTTAAAATAGATAAAAGAGAGTCTTTTTTCGGTTTTCTAAAATCTTTGTTACAAAAATTAATATTTTCCAGTCTTATAAAATATATTAAGTTAATAATGCACATGTTTATAGAACTACATGGTGCAATAAGTATCACTGGTAGTCGTCTCCATAATGCGACAAGTGTTTCATTTTATTAAAAAAATATAAACATGTATATATATGTATGTTGACGACCGGATGGCATAGTGGTTTGTAAAACGGACTGCTATTCCAAAGGTCGCGGGTTCGATTCCCGCTCAAGTCAAACATTTGTGTGCATGAACATGTAATGTTTGATTTGGTCTGGGTGTTTCTATGTATAATATGTATGTATTTACAAAAAAAAAGTATATATGTATTTATATCAGTTGTCTAGTGGCCATAGTACAAGCTCTGCTTAGTTTGGTACTAGTTGGCGTTGTGTGAATGTAGGAAAATATATTATTATTATTATTATATTATTTTATTCAGTTTTTTTTTTGCCGGATAATATCTCTTACGTTCTTAGTGAGCTCTAGAATTTTTTTAGCATAATCTGAGTTATGGTTTAGGAACGCATAGAGGACAAACATCAATTTTTGTATATAATTGTATTGAAATGTGTTTAGTGAAATGTAGCATAGCCTAAGACTAGGAAATTATTCCTCATACAATTTGTTTTCTTACAGGTGGTGACAGTTGATGAGCTAGCAATAGGGTGGAATGGAGCATTAAAAGCCAGCATTCCCGATGCTACGGCTTCTATTCCAGCTAGAGTTGTTGCTCCATTGAAATGTGATCCACTAAAGGCAAGTCAATACTATTTTAATTGATGGATATTATAAACGGAAATGCATTTTAATCATACTTTTACGTTGTTTTAGGTGAACATAGCCTGGGAGGGAGAGACAGTGAACAACATCGCGAAAATATCAGGCGGAAGCGGTCGTTATTCAGTTGAGTCACCCAAAGGAGTGACAGCGGTGGTGGAAGACGGTGTACTCGCCGCTACTGTGCCAGGACCTGGCTCTTACGATCTACCTGTCACTGATCTATGTGTGCAAGGCGAAAAGCAAATTGTTGAGGTGAGTGAGTGATGTTTAATATATATTTCGAGTTATTTTAAGGTATTCCACTTTTAACACAGAAATTTAAAATCGCCCAAGGATTTTTTTTTATTAAAAATTATAGAAGCAGAGTAAAGAGTCTAAAGAGATTTAGACGTTAGGACCTTAGGATGATAGCGAATCTCTTCTCTTCTAGTAAATTGTAATGTCTTCTTATTGTATTTATTTTGTGATTTAATTGAAATGACTTGAAGGTAAAATAGATTTTTGTCTTTTAAGACGTACACGACAATCTTTTTACAAGAAATAGACTTCGTCTTCAGAGCAAAACTAAAAAAAAACAATATTTTTTAAGGCCCATGTTATAATTGTCATTTTTTTTCCAGGTTAACATCGAAGAAGTTTTAAGCGTAGAAGTGTCAACTTCCCGTGCCGTTGGCGTCGGCGCTTGCGTCCCTATTACGGCGCTCGTGCAGGGCGTGTCACATCGATATCTGTCCACCGGAAGAGCTCCGGACTTTAGGACCTCCGGCTACGTAACTATTAAAGACGGCGTTTTGTGCGGAACACAGGAAGGAACTGGAAACGTTAGAGCTAGCTTTGGAGGCGTGTGGAGTCCTGAAGTCGAGGTGAGTGTTACGTCATTTCGTTATTTTATACTCAGTCCGGTGAAGCCGGCATCTAAATATTCGACAGCACTATTGTAACACGTTTAAAGTAAATAATGCCCTGGTATCAATTTCATTAAGAATCGGATTCATCCTAAAAATACAAAGTTTGAAAACAACAAAACAATAAACAAGGAATACTAATATACAAATTTAGAATCACTTACATGAACACAAACTTACTATGGAGTAAGTTTGTGTTCAAGTAATAATAAAATATAATGTAGAATCGAACGCATGTTCAAAATGCCGTTTCCAGGTGCTAGTGTTTCCGGCGCTGGAGATAGTCCCGGGCAAGGCGCGCGTGCCGCCGGGCGCGCGGCTGCAGCTGCGCGCGCGGGGGGGGCCGCCGCCGCACCTCGCCAGCCTGCACTACGCGCCCCTGACCGGACGCGCCCACGTCGAGGTCAGTAGTTCACCTGTAGCGCTTTATGTGCGAGTGTCCTGTAGCGACCGAGCTGTTAGACCACATCACACATCAACAGCCTTTTATAGTCCACTGCTTTACATGGCCTCTCCTTAGAAAGGAGGTTTTGGCCTACTATACCGGACGGGTTGGTATAGGGTTTGCGTCAAGTTTTCCTTCTCTTTAAAGTGCTATTGTCCTGCGTAGTTTCTTCCCTTAGTCGTCTCTTACGATATCCATGGGATGTATAGGGTTGGTGACACTCCGTATTCTTAATCCCTAACTACATGGACAGTCAGCTTTTCGACCGAGTTCACCTAATCAAATATTTGAGCATTCCTTTTAATGCGATGTCCTAGTGATCCTAGTGCCGAATGTGATTAATCATATAAGCATACTTGGTCGAAAATAAATAACATCTGTGGCAATGGCAGTCGCTCCGCGTAAAAAATCGAAGTTCAACCGTATCGTAGTAGGAGACCCGAACCTAGTTTAAGAAAAAAGCCTCGAAGAAAGAAGGTCGAAAATACATACATGCTTACTAAAGTTAACATTTAGTGAAGAAAGTCTCGAAATTATGCATCAACTTCAATAGTTGATTAATAATAGATTGATATTCTGTATCTACCCTAATAAGTTGTATCTTGTAGTCCATTCGTGTTAAGAAAATAGTGACGCATCGTTGCCCACTGAACATGCACCGCCCCTTACCAATCAGGATCCAAAAAGTTATCAAATTAAGTTTACATTGACCAATTCACTGCAGAATTTCTTACGAAACGATTGCGTTCATTGAACATTATATTAAATTTTAAAAATGGATATATCACTTGTTCTTGAGAATAAAAGTGTATTCATCGACAAAAACAAATATTGTGTGATAAGTATGGTCATTTGTTCTGTGTCTGGGTGTAATTTATCTATAATATGTTTGTTTTAAAATCATCAGCTGCCTACCCATTTCCCAATTTTATTTGGGGTCGGCGCAGTATGTATGATTTTTCCATTCTACTCTGTCATGCGTCATTTCACTGTTTACTCCCTTCCTAGCCATATCATCCCTCACGCAGTCCATCCACCTTTTCTTTGGTCTGCCTCTTCTCTTGTACCCTTCAACTCCCATACCTAAAACTTTCTTCGCCACATTTTCCTCATCCCTCCGCATGACATGTCCATACCAAGATAACCTATTACTTCTTAACTTTTCATCCAGCTTTTGTTTTAAAATATACAAGTATATTTATCAGCAGTCTGGTTACCATAGCAAAGGCTCTGTCTATTTTGGATCAGATCCTCGTGTGTTAAATGTGTGAGGTATATATTATTATTTGTAGTGGAGAAAGATAAGTAGTTTATAATATTAATAAGTACTTTAAACTACGTGACTTAAATGTTACTGTGGAGAGTGCAGTCATAGAAGGAGTAAGTGCGAGTACCAAGTGTCAGAAATTATATAAAATTACAAATAAACTAAAGAAAATTAACAGATTAAAATTGTCTAGAAAAGAAAGAGTAAGACCATCCACGGTTGATAAATTATGTAAAAGTTTATCCAAAGAACTATATTTTTCGTTTACATCCACTGATGGTCAGCAGATATTTTAATGCTTTTGTTTTATTTCAAAAGCACATTTACATTTCGGTAGATAAACTTAAGTTTATTAAAATATAAATTGTTGTACACATGTGAATTGTTTAAATTTTGATCCCCCCGAATACACTTTTAGCCCCGATGCGTCACTATTATCTTACGCGAATAGACTATAAGTATCTTAATTACAGGTTTCGCCTTCTGGCTCCGTTCACGGATTATCGACGGGATTATCGCGGATAAGGTTGGTGGCTACGGACTTTGCAAACGTAGAAATGGCTAGCGCAGAATCCGAAGTAGAGGTAAGGAACGATTCCTTCTACTTTTATCTTCTAATATAATTGTTTTCTATATTATTAAACGAATAGAAAACCAAGGAAGAGAGTCACATACGTGCAATGAATCTGTCGCAGGTGATACCGATATCGGGCATCCGCGTGGTGTCGGCGACGCAGAGCCTGCTGGTGGGCTGCCCGAGCCCCGTGTGGGTGGCGGCGGGCGCGCTGGGCCCCGCGGCGCTGGGCGCGCTGCAGCCGGCGCCGCGCGTGTCGTGGACGCTGCGCGACCCCGCCTCCGCGCGCCTGCTGCCGAAGCACACTGACGGTCAGCAAACCACCTCTCTATTCATACTGACGCTTCACTTTGCACGGTTATTTCCACTATTTTAAACGATTACGCCGAAGACCGAAACTACCAATTAGATACCCTACACTTATGGAGGATATAGTTAAGGAGAACCATGAACCGACTCTGTGTATGAAAAAAATCAAAAAACGTCAAATTATAGTGACACCACGGTTGCAAGTTGTTAAAGTAGGTTAGTGAATTAATAATAGGCGCACTTTTTGAAATAATTATGACATAGGCAAACGTCGATATGAATTATATTAAAGTATCTTAACTCAGCAAATTTTTACACTGTCCATAATTACTATGTTCATGGCCCTTTGGATACACTAACACCATTCTGGTCGGTTTTAGAACTTTTTCGGTTTCCCGCCCGTACAAAATAGTACTCCTTACCGTTGCGCTAAAGAATGTAGAAAAACATGTGTGTCAGTTAGTATCTATGTTATTATTGTAAGTTTAAGAGTCGGATTTTCAAACTTTAGTTATACTGTCAGATAACTAACTTGTGAATAAATTTATCTGGCTGTTTCTAAAGCGACTCAGATAGTCACTTGATAATCGTTCATAACTATGTTCAGTGTAAAAATGCGCAAGCGAGTTGCAGCTATGTGTATACTCGTATGTGACAAACCATACATACTAAATCCTAGAAATTACACAGTTAAGGTAAGGTGAGTTTTACTTTATTTAAATGTAATAGTAAATAAACGTCTTTTACTCGAGTTTTATACAAACATATGAAGAGGCTACCTGCTACACATTTTTAACTGTATGTAGTTTGTAGTCGTTATAAAAATAAAATTACTACATATTGTTATACTATCATTAAATTATTATGTATGTACAGATATGCTGGAGAGATCTGTCGCTGAAGGTTTATCGGTGCGAGTGGTGCCTCTTAAACCTGGAGTAATTACTATTGACGTTCGGATACGGAATATGGGACAGGTAAATTGAAATTTTGGAATTGTCAATAATAAAACGGCTTATGATGTTTTTAACTAAGTCATATAAATATATGATATGTCAAATCCAAATATAATTGTTTTAGACGCATGGCCATGTAACAATGTTTAAGGTTATAAATTTTCTCTGTATATATTTTTCTCTCAAATTGATCAATATACCATTCATATTTATTTCCTAGGTAGCCGAAACTCGCTCCTGGGACAGTACAATAGAAATCCTAGGCATTTCAGATGTACGTACCTCTGTCGAAGGCCTCTCTAAAGAGTTAACATCGAGCGATCGCCTTGCCGTTGCTGTGAGCTCAGTCATAAAGCTGAAGTCTCTGCCCAGAGGCACGTGGAAAGCTTATGAAGACGGAGCGTTCTCTTTGAGTTCCACAGGCGAATTGAATGCTATAAAACCCGGTCATGGTGTGGTTGTAGCTCAGCATAGAGATGAGAGGAATAACATTTATAGAGAATCTGTGAGTATTACTTTTTTTTATAATTTTCTTTATAGAATAGGGGATTACGATGTGACAAATGATTTTCTGACTAAATTACATGATTATATTTTTCGACCATAACCCAACGGTTGGTTTTTAAATGAAAGTTATACTCCAATCCTTACGATAATCCTTATGATGTTCTCACAGCTGCAACTAATCAATTTCCAAAACTCTCAGTCATAAAACAATGTTACACAACAAAATCGGGCTTTTCTTAATTTTGAAGAGCACCTATCCACTAATGTGCTCGTGATGTTAAAATCAAAAATTCTTGGCAACCTGTATAATTATCTTCCACAGAAAACGTAACACATAACAGAAAAGAATGAGGTGGCCAGATTCATATGCGTATATTATAGAGAATGGTATTTGAATGATAATAATATTTATTTAGACAAAGAGTACAATAATTTATAACTAATGGTTCTCTAATTTATAATTAAAATACATTCGTCGTTTGTTTGCCCGAACTAGGTTGAGTCTGGGTCTCGGGCGAAGAAGTAATTACAAACTATTTTATTAATATAAATCAATATAACTACAATTTAATTATAACATTCTAATAGCCTACATAAGCAACTAGCAACATCAGTGATAAGTGGGTCAAAAATAATGCACTTTAATAAGAGCGTTCAGTTAATTTTTACTTACAAATTTTAAGTAGCTGATCAGTTTGCTCATATGACAAAAATTGAAAATAATTATTTTACAGCAAACATAATTTAGTATATAAATACTTAGCTCTCTATTTAATCTATTAAATAGAGAACGGTATTAGAATGTGGGGTATCGTTTCAGGTGATCCACGTGGAAGTGGCGGTCCCGTCGTACTGCACGGCGGAGCCGGCGGGCGAGCCGTTCGAGAGCGCGGTGCGGCTGGTCATGCGCAGCGGCGTGGGGCGCGCGCTGCTCGCGCCGCACGCCAACGTGTCCGCGCTCGCGCCGCTCGCCGCGCTGCCCAGGAGGGCCAGCGACAGGTACTCTACATAACTATCTAATGACCTGCACCAACATTTGTTCGATACTCGGTAACTGCAATGCTTGTACGACACGGTTCGCACTCTAGATTCATCGATTAAATTATTTGTAACTTATAAACTGCAAGACGAACCTTCTAGCAGTGTAAGAAGGTTTATCTGATTCATTTTATATCTAAATTGACGCCCAACGATGTTTTTGTTCAGTACCGAAGAAGGCCAATATTATTTATTAATTCTCTGGCTTTCGAAGAAGGCCAATATTATTTATTAATTCTCTGGCTTTCAATTAATAATAATCGATAATTCTATTTACAGTGCTTTAGGAACCGAGTTGCTGATAACCGGCTTAGACGCCGCCGGCACGTTTATGACCTTCCAAGCGACGGTGAGCGGAGTCACCGTAAAAGATGAAGTTTGGGTTACCGGTTCTGATCTACGAGCGGATAGGGTGACTGGTGAGAATTTTTTTTTTGATGTCAGAGGGGCCGACGAGCGGTCGGGTCACCTGATGGAAAGTGACCATCGCCGTCCATGAACGTCTGCAACTCAGGAGTCACAATTTCCATTTTTATATTTCATAAATTTTCCATTTTTATAAATAGGTTGTGCATACAAAATATAAATAATACTTCTTACGTGTTCCTATTGTTATTATTGTGTAGTATTTATCATAAAAACTCTACAATAGAATAGATAATAGTACCAGAACAGAAGAAACTTAAAAAAAAAGCTACTCTTGCTCTAACACAATAAAGTGCAATTCAGATCGCACATCACTGGTTTACCTATACTTATATTCATTTAAAAGTTGCCTTTGTTCCTATCGTGTAAAGTTTGTCATTTCTAACAACAAATGAATGAGGCTTAATAATTGGTCTGAAGAGTAATTACATTAAATGTTTAGATTAAATATTTTAATTGTGTGTTTACTAATATTGTGTGTACCAGTATGCGTTTATTTTAGTGAATAAATTATATTTAAAAAAAAGGCACTTGCTTAGAAACCTATGTAGATTTTACTTAAGTTAAAGTTTTTTTTCATTTCTAGGAAAGATTAAAGATATGCCTTTGACACCTATTAGTCCGTACCTTGTCCATGAAACATTTCATCTGAAACACCAATTTATTTAATCTAAATGTTTGGTTTTACAAAAACAAAAAAGAAAATGTCTTCAAACCAATAGGGAATATGCACGTGACACCAAAATGGACAAAATATTTTTATTTGTAATTTTTATTGCTAAAAAAAGATACCCATACAATTATTTTTGAAATTTATTATAATTTAATAGTGAAATTTAATCATCAAAAATTGGCTTTTTTAAGATTCCCTCGCAAATTTCTAAAACGCAACGCTATTGGTTGAATAAAACGTGACGTCAACCTACACTGTCAAGAGTGTCAACAAGTTGTGTGTATTTATAATATTTGGTTTCTGGTGATTATTTGTTTAATTTTAAGTTAATAACTAATACGTTTTCAGTGTTAAATTATTAAATTCCCGTGTAGAAAGACTCAACACAATGACTGAATATACTTTGTCAGGTGCAGTTTTGATATTATTTTGGCACAAAGGAACGGCACAATATTTATAATAAGTTTTTATTGGCTTTTCCATGGTAATAAGTTAATTTTTATCACTAACTTTTTTAACTTTCACAAACTTTGTGAACTTCACTCCTTTGTTGACATCGAATTCTTCTGAAAGTGTAATCTGACGTAACAAAAAAGCGCGCCAAAATGGACGTGTTCAAATTGCCCCAAAATGATGGTGATTTTAATAAAAATTTTTTTGCTTAACGGTTTATATTTCGGATGTGTTATATTTATTTTTGGTAATGTAATAACTAGTAGAATCGTTTAAAAAAATAAAAAAAATACATGCATATTCCCTATTCAATATGTTTTCAAAATGATTTTAAAAGTTCCCTCAGGAAATGCGAAATATCTGTGCTGTAATGTCGTCGGTTGTATTGAGCGGGTGAGTGCGCACTGTTGCAGTGACGGGCGGGTGGGGCGTGTGCCTGGAGGGGGTGGGGTGGCGCGGGCCGGGGGGCGTGGCGCTGCACGGCGGCAGCGGCGTGTCGCTGGCGCTGCTGACGCGCGACGCGCCCGGCACGCACGTGCTGCGCCTCGACCGGCCCCACAACGTCTGCACCCTGTACCAGCTCCCGCTCGATAAGGTACTATTGTCACCTGTATTTTTGTCGAATAATTTGTTACGCATTTACTTATTATTATGGATATTAGAAGAAACTAACCGTTCCTCTCCAAAGGAATAAATTTTCCCCATTTTTGCAACTTTTCCATTGGTATTCCGCTCCTATTAGTCGTAGATTGATGGTATATAGCTTATAGCGTTCTTCGATAAATGGGTTAGCCAACAAAAAGATAATTTGTCAATTCGAACCTTGTTGATTCCTGATATTAACGCGGTCAAGCCACGCAAACAAACTCTTTAGCTTTATAATATTAATATAAATATGTATCAATATATAACAATAAAAAAAATTGGTGTTAATACAAAAAAAAATGTAATTTTTCCTAATAGGAAAATTCCTCGTTTATTTTTTATTTTATATTCACTGGCAAATCTCCTCAGATGGAATTCTTACCCGGTGAGTGGCCGTCTGCGCTTGTCCCGCTATCGTTTACCGCTGGCGGGCTCACGTCCGGCCCGTTCATCTGCTCCGACGAACAACGTTATGCTCTAGAGGGCGCTGTAATCGACCTGCCTTATTCCTGTAGGACTAAGGAACCTCATATTGCCGAACCTGTACTGGATATTGTCAATGGTAAGAAATAATTGTTTAGGTTACTTTAATTTTAATAAAGAAAGCTTATTTAAATCATTGTCTATGGTCTCAACAACAACAATTTAGGAAGGTAAAAGGCAAAACTGTTTTTTTCAGGTCAGATGGGTTGTAAGATAATACCAGCGACTACAATAACAGAGGCATCTGAGGTGGAACTGTGCGCCGAGTGGACCGTGTATCGAGCTTGCACCAAAGTGCTTCTATTGCCACCGATACGAGTGTCAAACACTGAAGTATCCCTCCTCTCTCCGCCTGCTGTCTTCACAGTGAGTGGTCACCCACACGCAGTCAAACTTGTTCGCTTGACACCTTCGCCAGGATTAAAATTAGAAACTAGTGTCGATAGTGGTAAGTGTTGTGTTCAATTCATTTTATTTATGGAAAGTCCACGACCATTATATTCTTTTAAAGTCGATTCGTTTTATTGACAAATTTGTTACATATGGTGGTTCAGCTTAAACTTGTATTCTGGCAACAAAATGCCTATATCTACTTTTTTATTTTGTTGTCCATATGTAGTTTACGACTTTAGAGTCGCAACGAAAACACTAGTTAGACATACAGCCCGTAAGTTGAGCTCCGTAATTGTCTGAAGCAAGCATAGAAGATAAAGCATCTTCGAGCACGATTTTCTATTATGTCGGTGTCTAAATCGGTCCATACGTGTACTGTAGAGATAGCCGCGGCAATAGTCAAACATATTTTTGTTCTCAGGTGAAATGAGAGTAATAGTGAGCAACGAGGCCGAGACGTGCGGCCACGGATTCGTGGTGGTGCGGTCGAAGCTCACCTCTCAGGAGCTGCGCGTGGACGTGGAGCGCTCCTGCGAGACGGCGTGCGGCTCGCTGCTCGGCGCCCTGCTGGCGCTCCTGCGGCCCTACCTCTCTACTGTCGCTACTGCGGCCGCCGTTCTCACCGCATACTTATACAGTCAGTACTCGTTTACAATAATACCAACAACAATCATATATCCTGGATTTATGAATGACAGACAAATGTGAAATTCATACGCACAAATATTTCATAATAATGTGACTAGTTACCGTCAGACATGATGGAAATAAGTAAAAGTTTAGAATGTATAGTACCTCAAATATTCGATAAATGGATGTGTATTTTCATTTACAGTTCAATCGAGACAAAATCGCAAGGCAGCAATCCGCATGCCAACAGAGCCAGTTCAAACAGTTCTACCGCCAGACTCACCTCCTCTGATGAATCGTTCGCGGACTTGGTCCCGAAGCCCGTACGCGTCCAGCGGTCCCGCGGCGCCCGTGTACGGGGACACGAGCATGTTGCCCGACCAGACCTTCTCTACGAATGCTTCTAGAAACTCCCTCTTTCTATAGTAGTATAAAAATAGTGTTTCACTGTATTAGTGAATTTGTTAAATAGTGATTATGACAAACAAACCACTTAAAACTTAATATCAACGCCTTGAGGAAGATCAAGCCCAATGAGTCTGTTTTTATGAATGGTAAGTATCCTTCAATTTGTTATGAAGAAGACTTCATGTATTAAGCATCTAGACTTAAGCTCATGCTGTGTTTGTTTAAGTTGTGACTTTGAAACATGTAATGTGATAAACAAATAGATTTGTTTTGTAAATACATAGACTAAATAATACGGAGATATATTCATGCATTCAAGTATTTGTATAGAGTGTAACAATTGGACCTCAACTGCTTCGTCTTAACCGCAGAGAGACAAATCGCATTAATTGATTTATCTAAGTTCACATTGTTAAATATTTCAATAAATTTGTCAAAAATGTTTACAATCACTGACACATTTTATGAAAAATATGAAGACTACCTTAATACGCCTTATCACCTTTGGATTACCATTAACACAAAGAAAGAACACCAATTTTTTCTTTAACAGTGAAACGTGAATAAAACGCCAATAGCCAATGACGCCGATACACCTCTGGCACGGCATTGAATAAATGTGATGAATGAATGAATGATGCAAAAAGGTATTAACTTACGGCTATACTGTGTTTTATAAACATCTTTCAATGCGTGTAGAATGGAAGATGACGCTATGTAGACATGAGCTTGCACTTAGGGATTGCAATCTGACTTCTGAGAGAGAAAACTGTGAGTGAGTTAATCGAGTGTAATTGTACTTATTATAGGTAAATTATAATATATATGTTAAGATTAGACAACGAGCAAACATTTAAAAGCTAATGGTATAGGGTAGGTAATTAGTGAAATGTAAACAATGTAACGAGTGATGCCAGTCTTTACTTCCCAGATTTCACAGTAAGTAACATAATACAATCTTTAATAATAAATAATATAAATAACCTTATGAAATTTACTTAGATGAGAATTGAGATCACAATAATTATTAGTGTTTGAAAATGCTAACACAAATTCAAGTCTCATATTTGTGACAGACATCATCACCATTTGATGAATCTGTCTAATGAATTGGTACAATTATCACATAAAGAGCGTTGATTGTCTGTTTTTTTTTTGATTTTTCGATTCGTTGACTGTTTTATTCTCACATTTGATGACCAACCTCTGTTATGTGATTCACTTAAACTATACCAACAACCTTTTTAATATTGAATCTGAGTGTTGTTCGTTTAGTATTTAACAAACTACTACTAGACATATTTTATTTAATGTTTATATTAATCAATATCGTAAGATATTTGGTATGAAATGAATGAATGATGAAAATAACAAACAGTACTGTACCTAGAAATATATAATTAAGGTATAATCGCAGTTCACTTCTGGCAACCATTCATTTTAAAACCATTCCAGTATGATTGTTGTTTAAACATTTAGTAATTTGATAAAACAAACATTGGAATTAATGGTTAGTCAAAACTATTCATCATCATCATGGACAGAGGAAAAAATTTCCTTAGAAAGGAAAGTTTGGCCTACGGTGCCATGCTGGTACCAAAACCATTATCATAGGTAATATTTAAGTAAAATGCATGGGTGCAATAGTTGTTTCATCACTTACTACAGAATGAACAATCTACTTGGTTTTTACTGGGCGTTACACACACTGTTTTATAGGCAAAAACTAAATATTTTGAAATGAATTATTTCATAAATTTTCTAAATTAATTAACTCAAAATAACATTATCCGATTACCTCGTCTTAATTATGTTGTTAATATTGTTATTTTTAATTATTACATTTCTAAAATAAAATGTCCTATTACATAATATTGAGTTTATATGAAGACAGAGTAAATACCAAAAGTATTTTATTGTGTATATTAAATGTACCGAGGTATGAAATTACCTTGTTAGAACGCAACTTATATACCGTAAATTGTATATTGATTAGCTTTCGGGATAAACTAATACATAAGAATCTACCTACATACCCTGACAATAGAAATTAATGTAAATTTATATCTACATATCTGTATATAGTGTGTAGTCTGATATGAAATGAATGTATGACATGACAGATACAGACAGATATGATAGACATACAAAATGTAATAAAAATATTCAATAAAAGCCAGTTTTCTTGTTAGAGCAAAAGTTTATTTATGTTTTTACCATATTAAATTGTTAGTATTGGTGCACTACTATGTGTAAATACAATATTATTACGCCTAATATAAAACCAATGATATCAATTATAATATGCTTGTTCTACCAAAATATAAACGTTTATAACAAGAGACATGAAGATAAGCTTATTTTCCTAAATGAAGTCTATAAAACTAATGATATCATAATTTTTTTCTACATCAGAAAATTTTTATTCACTAATATAATAATAGTAAACCTATATAAGTATCAAATATTCTTCAATATTTTTTGTCGCCATGAACATAATGAACAGCTTGTACTTTATAATGACCAGAATGGCCATTCTAATTTGAATTTATACAGAATGTTAATATAATTAATAATAATCATAATAAAAACTTCACACGGCTGTCTGATCCCAAACTAGGCAGAGCCGTACGATGGTAACCAGAGACTGCTGATCGACATATTTTGTATGTTTCTAGATACAAATATGTTTAATAAACTGCACCTGCACACAGAACAAAAGACTATGCTCATTACATAATTATTTGTTCTGGGTGAAAATCGAACCCACGATCTCTCATCATCATCTCATCTCATCAGTCATATAATATTATTATCGTTTAAAAAACACTTGCTTAGGTAGATTGACAAGAAGTCCCAGGGCATAATGTTTTTATTGAAGTGAAAACATCTTTAGGCGCGCTGGGCATTTTTGAACAATAAACAAAATAATGTATTTTTGTTTTAAATGGGAAATAACCATTGAACTCGCTCGATTTCCGACACCCCTATCTATATTGAAGTGAGAACTTCTTTAGGCACGTTGGGCATTCTGTATATAAGTTTTCACTTCTGTCGGCACTCCCAGAGTTAAAATGTTTTTTATTTTGGTTCAGTTTTGTTTTAAGTCATGTCAGTTTCCTCTTAAGAACAGAATGCGTAAATAAGTTAATTATAAGTAGTTATAACAGTAGTAATTAAGAGACCTACTGAATGTGAACTAATTCCTACACTCTTCGTGGAATAGTTATTTATTTTAAGTAAACATGTTGCATAATAAGACTTGTAATTTATTGCTAGAAAGGTTTCTGGGTGTGTAGGCTCTTTTATATTTTTTGTTAGTAAAATTGGTTGTAGTGTAGGTTATAATTTGCTTTGCTTATTATTAATCGGGGAATTGGTCGTGTTTGTTTTCTTGATACTTGAGAATGTTTTACGAGTTAATTTGTATTTTACTATTTATATACTACTAGCTGACCCTGCAAACTTTTTTTGCTATTTACATTATTTTAATATTTTTTTTGTCTTGAATTTCTTGAAATCCTTTCTTAGCTGACCTCTACTCGGTGAAAAGAATATTCCTACTAAATTTCAAGTCTTTATCTCTAATGGTTCCAGAGATATCGTGATGAGTGACTATATACGTGGAAATCTCTTATATATATATATAGATAAGTACTTTTATATCGTAAATAATGTATGTAATTAACTGTGACATTTAGACTTGACGTCTTTATGATGGAGGTTTAGCAAAACTGTAGGATGTCTGCAAATATAAACGTTTTTTTCGATCGTCTAATTTGTGGTTAGATTCATCATCACTATAGACACACACACATCATATAGACATAGGTCTCTTCTTAGAAAGGAGGTTTTGGCCTACTATACCACGCTGGCCAGACGGATTGGTATAGGGTTTGTTTCAAGTTTTCCTTCTCTCTTCAGTGCTGTTTTCCTTCGTAGTTTACGTCCTTAGTCGCCTCGGATGAATAGGGGTGATGACATTCTGTATTCTTAATCCGTCACGATATGGATACAATTGGTTAGATTACTCTAACCAGATGTAATTAAAATAGCAGCAGTAGTTGCTATACAACAAACAAATTATGTTATTGTAGTTATTGATCCATAATAGATATTAGACGTTGGCTACAGTATTTCACTAAACATCTAATATTTAGACAAGACAGAGAATTATATACAAATTCTCTTAGACTAAAATACATTTTTTAAACATTATTGTGTGTCTGCAACATCTGTTTCAGTGCATGAGTGCATTGACCAACAGATATTAGAGAATAATAATAATTGTTTTAACTACATCTTCCATAGTGTACTGATTGGTTCAGACTTGACCCCTTAAACAAAAATATAAATATGTTGGATACAATTGACTATCAATTTTAGACATAGGTTGTAAAATTACCCTGAAAATATTTAATTTTCCATAACTTGCTGTTCAATTTAAACTTTATTTTGTAAGGAATAGAAACGTAAATACAATTGTAAATAAGATCTCAAAGATACTAGGTAATTGAAAAAAAAACTGTTTTTTATAAAATTGTATTTTAATTTCGATATAAATAACTCGAGGGCGTATTGTAAATAAAATACGTGCAATATTAGGTTGACTCGTTTGAAGTTAGGTTCTCCGAATGTTAGATTGGCCTAAAAAGTGTTTGTGAAAATGCATGTCGCTGGCAAGTTGTCTTGCTATGCCCGCATTCATCATCAACAGCCTTTAATGGTCCACTGCTGGACATAAGCCTCTCATTAGAAAGGAGGTTTTGGTTAATGGTTAAGGTTAATGCCCGTATTAACTACAGTCAATGGCAAAATAATTACAACCACTTCACTTTTCACTATTTAGAACAAAACCTTTCATTTCAGCGTACTCCAACGCTAACTTCATTCCGGTCATCTAATAATGAGCGTATTGCTCGAACACATGTTTTCCACTAAGTCATTGTTGTATTTGATATTGTTGAAATCACGTCGTGGAAGTTTAACAATTGTGATGTGTGAAATAAAGTATTTTTATAAATTTCGTACGAATGTTTTTATTTTTAACTATTAAAGCGTATTTTGAACTTTCTATGCTTCTTATTGTACATAAATGTTTAATTGTTCTGATTACAGGTGTGATAGCAGAAGTAAGCCTCCTTGGAGCACTAAAGAAACATTAGAGATTACTTTAAAGTAATAGTTTCTACTAGAGGTTTTATAAAATCACAGTCAGTTTAATTTATATTGCCGTTGTTAGAAAATGAGCCTCTTTAGACGGACTTAACAGAATACAATCTAAACTCAGACAAATATATTTTGTTTTCTTTGTACAGGTATGCGCAATAAAACCAGGGCTTGAAATCAGTGAATTTTAATTAAAGACAGACTGAATGAATAACCCTTTAAATTTCACGATTTACTTACCACCTTCAAGCTGGTAAATTAAAATTTGGTACGGGAGATATTTGTTAAGTATATTTGGGTTAGTATAAGGTAAATTTTTCCTAGCTTATTTGTTAGATGAATTTATTTAAAGATAAATAATTTGTTTAAGGAAGAAAATCTTAACTTTAAGTAAAAAAACATTAATAACACATTAGTTGTTGACTAAATAAACGAACCAATGAAAATTAAATACAGTGCTGTGTAAGTCACGGCCAAGCCTGTCTGCTCACTTCATACAAACTGACTGAAGTCGATGGATAGCTATCTATCCATATATAAACTATAGTCGGCGATAGTATAGTTGATTGCCATGCGCGCACTTGCATCGTACGATACACACATAATTATTAGGCGTTGAAAATTAACGTGTAATAACCTTAATTTTAGCACAAATAATAACATAGGGGTCTCATTCTCCTGTCCAGGTTGGAGTTGATTGGCATAAGAGGAACAGCACTTAAGCTATTCCAGACCTATTTAGAGGACCGGAGGATATGTGTTAAGATAATAATAATAATAATTTATTGACATTTAAGTTGGTATACATATGATTGAGAATCCCCTGGCTCCTGCGCTAGTTTAAACTGTGTTGCAGGAGACAGTGTTTTCCTAGTACTAGCTAGTAAGATAGGTGATCTTACTAGCGAAGACGAAATGATCTCCTACGGTGTCCCGCAGGGCAGTGTGATCGGACCTACGCTGTTCCTAATATATATAAACAATCTGTGCAACTTAACCTTATTTAAATCTAAAATAATAGCGTACGCTGATGATACTGCCATTGTGGTATACGGAAACTCATGGTCGGAAGGTAAATGTACCGCCGAGACATCACTTCGGATTGTTATGGGATGGTTAAACGACAATAAACTCACCCTCAATCTGTCCAAAACCAACTACATCCCCTTCACTTTAAACCCACATATTAATCCAATAACTCCATACACCATAAAAGCTCACACATGCCGAGACACAACAAGCACAACCTGCTCGTGTGTTGCTGTTTCTAAAGTAACCAATGTTAAATACCTTGGCGTAATGATCGATGAAGGACTTAAATGGTATACACATCTAGAGACACTATCTAACAAAATTAGGAAATCTATTCACATCTTTAAAACTCTAAGACACTGTGCAGATGCGAAAATCTTGAAAGAGGTATACACTGCGCTTTGTCCATCCGTCATCGGTAATTGTATATCGGTGTGGGGAGGCGCCGCTAAATCAAGGTTTCTGGAGGTGGAGCGAGCACAGAGAGCTGTTCTCAAAGTGATGCTGGCTAAGCCTTTTGGGTATCCCACAAAACAGCTTTATGGTGAAACCAAAGTACTTACGGTGAGGCAGCTCTATGTGCTACGTGCCACGCTTTGGAGGCATCAAAACCTCCCTCCACAAGATCCCTCTAAGTGAACAAATAGGCTCATATGCTGGGGCATGTGTGGGCACAAGCACACAAAACGTCATTTGCCAGGAAACAGCTGTATGTTATAAGTTCTCTAATTTACAAGAATGTAAACAAGCAAATTAAAATAACAACATTAAATAACTATGAAGTTAAGAAGAATATACACAATTGGTTACTAGAAAAAGACTATGCCCAAACCGAAGCATTGCTCCATCATGGAATATAAAAAATATATATACGATACATTATTTTCTACAACACAGATCCACAACCTTCTAATTACACATTAATTCACAGTCACACGCACTCACTCACACACACACACACACACACATACACAAATACACACGAAACACTTCATGCGTGTACGTGCCACTACTTTAACTTCAAACCTTAAAAATTTCAACATAAATGTAAAATACCTATAATGAAATACCGTGAACGAGCCATTAGCGGAACACTGTCTTCCAAGTTACAGGAATACCTAGTTTGGTGGGCAGGGTCTACTTTGTACACCTCATACGGTTATAATATGTTTATTGGATTGTATAATTGTAACAAAGGAATTGAAGTTCAATAAAGTTATTATTATTAATATTATTAAAAAAACATAGGGGTTGATTTGAAATCGTGAAATGCACGCACTACAGTGCGTGCATTTTACAGTTTTATACCGACTGCCAGAATGAGAAATCTAACATATTATTATCGTAACATTATCACATGTCGTATCTACGGTTTTGTATCCTATAGATATGGTTACTATTGGGAATAATTAATTATAATTATTAACTGTTTTGTATCTACTTGTGTATATGTAGTTCTTCTAGTAGTACTTCAAACTGAATCAGTTTCTTTTCCCAACATTTCTAAAAGATCTTCTTGAGGAGTTTTTGGAATATCGGCAATAAATGTGAGATCAGCATTTTTTATTTTAATACTAGTATCGATAGTTTCATATTGGAAATCCCTTGCTATTTCTAGAACTTTTTTCTTTGAATTTTTATTGCCAAGTTTGAATGGTAACTTTAGTTCAACTCTATTAGTAGAGTAGACCTTTTCTATTGATGCCAAAAGACAGTTTATTTCATTTGTGTCAGCACTCCTGCTTTCATATTCTTCTATTGGATTCTTTTTCTTATCATATTTGTAAATATTTTCTCCTAGATTGTTTAATACATTTGTATTTATTGTAGAGGGTGAGCTGAAAGTTCCGTCTTTATTTTGAAAACCAAGTCTCATCAGCACAGATATTTTTGTATGATATTCGGAAAACCATGCAATTAAGGTGTTATAAAGACTCTTATAATCGTCATCTGTCATTCTATTTTTTAACTTTTCAAATCTTCCCATCATATCCTCAATAATATTTTTAGGGAAAAAATGAGGCATTAGCAGGGCAACACTTCTCAAATGTCTGCGGCTGATATCAAAAATATTTTGATTCGTTGCTGCAGATAATTGCCATTTAAAGATCATTGTCATAAGATCCCATAATTTATTCATGGAGTATTCATCGAGTTTCATTATCGAAGTCGCCGATATGTCTTGAAGTAATTGTTTGATGACTCCGTGTGCAGCTACCGGCTGCGGCAGAAATAGTTCATCCAGTAATTTAGGATGGAGTAGTACGGTCAATATATCGGTGAGTACTGAAATATTCAAAATTACACCATACAAAAATGTTTCTTTTTTCATGAAATTAATGGTGATATGATTTCACTTACCTCTTTCAGATTTGTCCAATGATATATTTTGAGCTCTTAGCCTTTGGTCGATCACGAAAACCATTTCACAACCTAAATTGATGACTATAAATGGTGTAGCGAAGTGTGACATTATTTGCAAGTATTTAATTCTTTCGCGAAATTAAAATAATCAATAGCTATGGCGTCTAATTCTTGTGAATCATGCAGGACACCTCAAATAACCATTGATGATTGTTACCACCAAGTAATTACAAAATTGACCACTCAAGGCAAAATTAAAAAAGTTTCATCGCATCTATTGTCGCTACGAACTAATCAAGAAAGAGTATTATATGCCTATAGTATTCTGAAAGAACTTTCATTGCTCCCTAAAGTTCTTATTAATGTCAAAGATGACCAAGTATCAGCATACTATCGTTGCCAAGGCAACAACTATTTCAAACACAGAAATTTTTATCAAGCATGGCAAGCTTATAATCTTTCTTTGCTGTATGCTGTTACCACATCAGAAAACTTCATTTATGCTATTTCTAATAGATCAGCAGTATTTTTTGGTATGCAAAGGTATAAGGAATGCTTAGAAGATATTAAGTATGTATTCAGTAAACATTATCCAGAAAAGCTAAAAAATAAACTTCTGGAAAGGGAAAAACAATGTTTATCTAAGTTAGATGCAGAATTGTCTAAAAAGAAAAAGGAAGATATGATTGATGCTAAAATTGCAGACATACTTAAATTGAAACACACACAAGATAAGAAATATCTGAGTGCAAGCTCTAAGCTGAAAGTGGTTCATAATGAGGAAATGGGTCGACATGTAGTTGCTAATGAGGATATTGCAGTTGGCGAAATACTAGTTGTAGAACATGCATATTTAACAGCATTGCTACCACCTCAGTTCTTATTCTCCTGTGCTTATTGTCTTTGTAGAAATATGAATCTCTATCCATGTATGAACTGTACTTACACTCTATATTGCTCAATAGAATGCCAGAAGTCTGCTAATAAAGATTATCACACAGTAGAATGTCCTTTACTACCATCTTTATTAGAAATGGGATTTTCAAAATTGGAATGGTTAGCTTTGAGGACTTTGTTAAGATCAAGAACTGATGAAGAAAGTTGGGACACATTGTTTAAAACTGTAGCAGAAGCAGAATCAAGAATCCGTACTGATTTGTGGGGCTGTGTTAAACTAGGTGATAAATGGGTCTATGACTCAAAGTTTTATACTCCTATCCATACATTGGCCTCAAATGTAGACAAAAGATCACTCTCTGATATTTTTAGAAAGAGTATATCTGCAGCTGCTTTTGCTCATTTTTTGTCTGTGCTGGATTTTCATAAGAGTGATGATAAGGAGACTGCAGTTAGAGCTAAGAAATATGTAAATGGAACACTATTACTTCACATTATGACTGGCCCAACAAACATGCATAGTATCAGTACAACCATAGCAAATGATGAGGGCAAATATGTGGAAGAGTATCAATATGCCAGTGGTGCTTATGCATTTTTAAGTTTATTAAACCATTCCTGCTCCCCAAATGTTGTACGATACAGCAAGCTGGGCACATCCCTGATGACTTTAATAGCTATTAGGCCAATCAAAAAGGGAATGCAGATTTTAGATAATTATGGGTAAGTTACTGTCAATTTAATTTACAGTACTGAGTGTAGCTTATGGAGATAATAGCTATAAAATGTGATTAGAATATTGTAGCAATATGTGATTAATAATTTCACACTAACTATGCAACAAATTACTATGAAATTTTACATACAACTTGTTGTGGATACAAAAAAGGGTTGTAATAATACTATAAGGACCTTACAATAGTAAATCAATTGATAAAACATATATTATAACACTTGCGAGTTTATCTAATGTTATAAAATTGCAATGCTAGTGCGATGTGCTAGATTTTAGAGAATAGATTGCCTTTAAAGTGCTATCTCACTCATTCCTCCCCGGCGTATCCATACACAGATGTTTAGTTTCAGTTTTTTCTTGTCTTTTAATATTCTGCCTGATTGCTGGCCTGGGTTAGACTACTGCTAAATCCAGAGATAGACACTCCGTATCTTTGCTGTGCTCTCTACTTATAAAAATAACTCGCGGGAGATTTGATGTACTAGTCATGAGTTCGCCTGTCTCGTATTATAAAAGACATTTGTATCTAAGTTACATATTCCATTAGTCCTAATTATAAAATAAAATTTGATTTGCTACTAAATAATTGTATTTATAGATATCATCATGCCGTGCAAGACCGTGAGACGCGCCAGTCAGGCCTGAAGTTCCAATATAAATTTGTGTGTGCATGTGAAGCTTGTGTGGATGATTGGCCAATGCATGCACACATAACAGAAACTGGTGGGCTTCCAGAAGCTATTTTAATAAAGAAAGACGAATGCTTGGCCCCTAAAGTTATTGAACGTCTAATGAAAGCAGACAAGGAAACCGCAATAAAATTTTACAAACCATTGTGTGAGCTCATTGAGTTTCTAGAACCTTTTGCACCTTGCAAGGAATTAGCCGAGTGTCAGGAGGCTTTAAAACAGTGTCTGGCTATATTCTGTGGCGTAATACCATATGAATATGGACAAATTATAGACTGGAAGGCTGTCCCTCCCTGTTCATCAAGAGGAGAACCTCCGCATTTGGCCAGTTACATATCTGGTCCACAAATTGATGTGCCTTGATGAGCTCAAGTGTTAGGGTAGATGGAGATCTATATTTCCATGAAGGGCAATGTTGTGCCACGTGATTGTTATAGAGGTTTGTTGTTTAGAGTGATCAATTTATTTTAATTAGGCGCCATACGTCCGACATATTGAATTTTTTTTCAAAGATTTGTAGCCAGTGTTATTGTTTGCGCCAAGTTAATAATTAATAAGATACGTTTAATGCGCACATAATCTGCTTATTGTACGCTTTGTTTGTGCCATTTTACTTATAATCTAAAAATCTTAAATGCGTATTTATATTTTATATACACGTAATATATTATGTTATTAGGGACGTACTGGATGTTCGTTATACATACATATTATATATATATAATCAAAAGTATTTTCTATATAAATTTACCCACTTAGCTTTAAGTAGAGGTATGAGTATCGTTTGATTTTGAATGCACATTTTTCTAAGAAAGCATTACTTGTTTATATTTAGTTCTAGTTTGTAAAGTGAAAAACATTTACTGAATCTCAGGTCGGAGTTTAATGTGTTGATATGCTAGTCATTATTATGTTTAAGCATTTTCATTCTAATTGTTTTATTTGAATATTAATACTGATATTTTTATATGTTTTTAGTTGTGGTTTAGTAATCCCTTACACCTTTATTGTGGCGCAGTAATCAGTAAATCTCTTGTGATAATTTCTCGAATTGCTGTTAGATCAGAAGGCCAATTCTCGTAATAAAAATTCAGTTTCGATCAACTCTCGATCTCGTAACTTCATAAAAAGTATGTTCGTAGTTAAATAGTAAAATATCACTAAGCAGATTACAAATTTTGTTACAATACGATATAATCACGTTAGATTCAACGTTGTATGTAATATAATAATAATATTTTTTTATTTCTTACCACAATATAGGATACATTAAATTTGAAAAAATAAACATTATCCTTTGCAGAATATTGTGGGAGACTGGTGCCTAAGCTAGGCTCGAGGCCTGTGTTTTAGGACACCAGGTCTTCACCCGGTGTATATTTACGTTTTATTATTATTTTTACCCAAGTCGGCACTAAAAAGTTAACATATATTTATATTTCATACTTTACTACGAAAATACCTTTTATGACAGTTGTGAGATCGATCGATCGAGAATTGGCCTTCAGGTTCAAAATCTGACATTTAAAAGTGTCGATGAGTGAAGACTTGGTTTGTTTTAGTTTTATTGACAATAATCACTTTTAGTGAAGAGTACCATAGTTATGACCCTGTAAAAAATATAAAATGTACGTAAAATCAATCATAATCACTACATGTATTTGTGATTTAAGATAAAGTGTGTCTCGGACAGTGCTGTTTTATTTCTTCTTTATGTAAACGAAATAAATCTATGTAATATCTAATTTGAAGCTGAGCTCGCTTTTATTAGTTTCACTTTTAATTAAGTAAATAAATCTTGGGAAGTCAATGTTAATCTACTTCTAATATTGTCTTATCGATAAAGCATTTTATTTAATACATAATTTGAGATTTTGAAGCTGATCTTATGATGAGTCAGGAGGATAGTGAGTGCAACTTTGCAATGGCTTTAAGCTCATAAGTTTTAGTTCCGACGAGTCCGACACTGGATCTGATGATGGTATTCCCGTGAATTTGAGTGAACCCCTAAATTTTATAGGCCCGACAACGTGTATTCCCAATCCCATACAAATTTAAAGAAAAATACCACTTCTAAAACTAAGACGTGGTGTAAAACTAAGAAGTGAAGAATACAATTTACTAGTATTCATCTTGATGTAGGAGGTATGTGCTTACTCAGCTAGAAAAAATAATGCGGCTCCATTTTATAGTAAAGAAATGTATATGCACACTCCACTTCTACTGGAACTACGCTACGCTAACCTTATTTTGCTGCTTTTGTCCGTTTCATCTATTTTTGTCATCAATATTTACCACTAGTACCGTAGGCACCATTGACCTTTACCCGTTCAGGACAAAGGAAAGGACCTAGGAAATGGTCTTAATAAACGACTGAAGTAAAACTTCTTGGCTATGAGAGAAAGAGAGAAAGAAAATGTGTGTTCGCACCTCTCTCTCTTGCCCTTACAGTAATACACAAAACGTAACTCTCTCTTTATATCTTCACTAACTTGTATCTCCCTCTCAACTTCCGTTCGTTTACACTTTTCGTAACACTCTCGTCACGTATTCACCAGCTTACTCCCCAAGTCAAGCGTGCGTAAAGTAGTTTTACTTCAAAAATATTTTCTTCTTTTTCTTTATAGTTAATCTGTCAAGGAATTCACATTCGCATTTTATCATTCATCATCAACAACCTTTAATAGTCCACTGTTGGACATAGGCCTCCCTTTAGCCCCACTAGCCCTAGGCCTACTTTACCACGTGCTGTTGTCCCTTGTTTGCTCCCTTAGTCGGCTCTTACGACACCCACGGGATGAATAGGGGTGGTGACACTCCGTATTATTAATCCGTCACCAAACGGATAACAATATTGGCAAAAAAATAATTACAAATATCGTAGTCAATAACTCGTCTTTGATTGAGCTACGAAATCGCCCGGATATTAAAAAGTTAATATCGTTATATGTACGTCATTCTGGTTCGCACCGTTCAGGTCAATATATAATGCGAGTTAAGAAAAATAACATTAAATAAAAGATAATTTAAGATAAATTTAAGATAATATTGTGTTCTTAAAATTCAAGTTCAAAATAAGGTTTATAATATATGAATTTCATATTTTGGTATGTGTAGGTAATTAGGTAGGTATAGGTATACCTTTTTTCTCATTTTTTTCGTTTTTCTTTTTTTTGTTGTTTGTCCTACTCTGGGAGGACCCGGACCATGTTATTTCAGGTCCTCCTCGAATTGACACCATGCCTAATGAGGCCCTATCCCAGGGGAATAATAATTCACCCCTTCAATCGCGGCGTGGCGGCCCAATTGCGTCTCAAGGCAATCAGGCCGCTATCCTATCCCCTACCGCAGCAGTCAATTTGGCACTAGAGGTTCCCCACTCTCTAGCAGGCCGTGGCCCTGTCGGCGGCTGGTATCGTCGCCGTCGTCTTCTACGCTCGGGATCGGCCCTCCGTATCCCTTTCAGCGGTCTCTTTCCGGAGCGTAGTGCTCCATCCGTAATGCTCCATCTACAATAAATTGTCTAACCACTGGATTGTTTGTTTTATTATCCCCGAGAACAGCACGAAAGCTTTTTGGGAACAAAATTTAACCAACTTAATTGATGATCTTCATTTTGATTTTAAACTTTTTTTTGTTTTAAGCGGATTGGTTTAATTGGTATTAAACCGGCCTTACGACTATAATCCCGACCCAAAGTACCCAAATACAAATGTGTTTTTTTCTAAATGTTCAATTAGCAGAACAAATCAAACAGTAGAACACACAGTAACGACCCAAACTAACACATGTACAATTCTACAAAGGTATCAGAACGCTGATAAAAATAAAAACACTCATACGAATGCAAATAGACATATGCATACTAATTGCACTGAGCGGGAATCGACCGCCATTGTTACCACAAATAGGTCGACAAAGTGAATAAATGCAATCTATATGAATTTGGTGGTATAGTTTATTTATAATAGCTGGTGCTCGCGAATTCGTGTGAGGTGAATGTCCTACCTACAAACTTTCATTCCCCATTTCACAACCTTTTATTTCCCGACATAAAGTAGCTTATGCTACTACATGGACAAGTTACTTAAATGTTCGAAGTACCTACTTTAAGAGTAGAATAAATAATTTAGTTCTTGCTATTTAATAAATTTATCTCCTGTATTTCGGGGATGCCCAGTGAAACTAATGTTGCACCTAACGGCAGCTTTTTTCCAAGAAATACTCCGAGGTAAACAAGTCTGCATATTTTGCCACTACTGTAGTGTGAGATAATAATAATAATTTTCTAATAAGTATTCAATTATATTACCGACAGTTAAACGTGCAATGATGAGAATGTAGTACCCAGAGGCGAAGCGTGGACTATTATAGACGTGAGCAAAGTCGCATCAGCGAGGCCCCCTAAAGACTTGTAATTGATTTTTGCAGCTAAATCTGCTTCAATGGAAAGTATCGCTAAAGCAGGCAGTCGGACCTGCTTGATACTGTTTTTAGTGGAGTTTTTTAACTCAAATTACAGTACACATCTTACAAAAAAAATCAGGAACGGAGTAACCCGAAACCGGTAAGCTTGCAAGAAAGGACTTTAATGACAATAGAGGAAACTATATATATATGGATATAATTATATATACTCGTATTGTAGTCAAAACCATACGTATGTTTTACTCTTTATACATAGAGATCTATTGTCATTTTTTCTAAGTTCATAGTAAAAAACATTTTCAATTCCAGTAGCTTCTTTAATTTTTCATTCTATTAATTAGACAGACAGATTAACATTAACAATTAAAAATATTAACAACAAATAATGTGTCTTCCTAATTATAACATAACAATAAACATACATGAAAATAGTATTACTAAGTTTATTTAGGATTCTTTTTAAGCTGTCGCCACTTGTCAGCCTCAGTATAAGTACAAAAAAATTACGAATCAAATAATCAAATGATATCAAATGAGAATAAACGAAATTATATTTTTTATATTCTTAATTGTCATTTTGTCCGTGTGGTGACGGATTAAGAATACGGAGGGTCACCACCCTTTTCAACCCGAGGGTGTCGTAAGAGCCGACTAAGGGAGCAAACAAGGGACAACAGCACTGCAGACAGAAGGAAAACCTGATACTAACCCGTCTGGCCAGCGTGGTATAGTAATCCAAACCCTCCTTTCTAAGGAGAGGCTTAGAGCAGTGGACTATTGGGGGCAGTTGATCATGATGATGATGGTGATGAATTGTCATTTAAAAGGAAGAAGTACCATCCAAGAAACAGCAATTTTAATCTATTTTTACAGATGGCCTAAAAAAATATCATTTTATATCGAAAATACCGTCTCAAGTCTCTACCCGAAAGGAACCCAACCCCTAGAATGCCACTTAGTTTGAAATACCAGAATTAATTATACTAAGTTCAGTGAACAGTTGCCTGCCATAACTTGATTTAACAACGTTATTAACTTAACCAATGAATAAAATATTTAAAAACTGTTATACAAGTTTTAAATAAAAATACACAAGAGTAGGAACTATAAGCAATTGATTGAAGAAAACCTGTCAACAACTTGATTATTCATTTATACTACTAAAAGATAAATAACAAAATATTTTTAAACTATAATATAACTGAAGATAAATTAAGGTAACTCGGATTCTTTGGCTTTTCTAAGGAAAAATCATATTTTTTTGAAAATGTAGCCGTAATTGTATGAATTGCTTAATATAACACATTCTTTAAATTATTTTTATTTCTATATACAACATACATGTACGCATACGGTGTAAAGTTGTACTAATTTGGGGATCTTCCCGATCTAATTTAGTAATCTTATAATGAACCCGTATAGTACACAGAATATACAGTTATATATGATTTTTACAAGCGTATGGAAAGTACCACGACGAGTCGACACTGCTAGTGAAAACGGCTGAAGGCAGAATTATAGCCTTATAGTAGGTATCCTCATATGGATGAAGTATCTTCGTAGTAAGCCACTTTAACGGGCGTACCCCAACGGCGAAATGATCACGTTAAACGGGGGTAAATTAGATTCGTGTGAAGGTGTACCATCCCAGATTCGCTTTACCGTTTACTTTTGAGTACGCTTTAAAGTTAACTAATTTAGAATATCGCAAGATGCTAAGCTCGCTTTACTAGGTTGCTAGTTAGTTGTGTTGTTGTCTATGTTTTAATGTTTTACTCCTCAAGGATTAGATATATATATTATAATGATACTTATTGTAACATTAACTAAACAATAAATCACTTTTACATTATAGTTCGTCTTGAAGATGCCAGAAACAGTAATTTGACTGAATATTGAATAATGAATATTTGGCGAGGCTCTTGGCTTAAGCGCCGAATATTCGGCAACTTTTAACCTTTCGTGTGTGATGTGTGTGTTTAAAAACCTGCATCGCTAAACTAATGTGTGATGACGAATGTGGGTACTTTTGTTTCATCTAAGCACAGATGGTCGTTTCACAACACGCTTTACTTTTTTATTGTTGGTATTATTACATCAAACCGTATTACTTTTAATGCCTTCTTATCTTAAGAAATATTAACGCTTACGAAATGACATCATTAAAATTTATAAAAAAATTATATATTTATATAATATACGTTTATAAATAAATACTATACTACTATATAAATTTTAATTCCCTTGAGAGTATATATCGAAATATGCGTTTTTTTGCGGTATCTTTTTTTACGTTAACTTAAAAATGTTTTTCACAGCTTCAAGAGGCTGAAGACTTGAGTATATGGTTTTAGTATTTCAACTCGATACCTAGACGCGTCTTAAGGGTCTTGACAATCAGACGGACAAACACCCATACAGACAGATGGACAACAAAGTGATCCTATGAATGGCTTCGTTTTTTCCTTTTGAGGTACGGTACCCTAATAAAGAAATGGAAATCAAAATTGTAATATTTTTAGTTAGACATTAAACACACAAGTTAGACACTATAGTGGTTAATATTTTAGGTCCCATATTAAGAACAATTCTATAACTTCTAGAGTTTATATTATAAGTATGTGTTCAGTAAATACCTACTTTTGATAAATGCGAGTGGAGTTGCATAAATTTCGAAGCTACGGTTATGTGATGCTACTGTGATGTTGAAATTATTTAATTCTTAGATTATCATCTGCTTCTTCAGAATGTTCACAATGAAAACAATGGACTGTTCAACACAACACGAAAAAATGCCTAAAATGAGAAGTTAGTAAATATACGTATTTCATATCACATTGTTAATTGTGCACTAATTGAAATAAAATGTGTGGCAGAAAATTATCCTGTCATGTAAAATAGACGGTGATATAACTATAAATAATGTTTAATTTTCTGGCCTAGTTTTAAGCTTAAGATTTAATTATTTTCCATGCTTGATTGTACATTAATTTAGGATTCTCAGTAGTTTCTATCTATTTTAGACATTCCTCTTTAACATTAGCAATATCGACAAATTACAAACGAATAATTTGCTAATATTGTACGTCATTATTTTTAAAAGCCATGTAAATAAATATTTGGGAAATACATAAATAAAACTACATAGTAAAATTTTAGATTGATCGTTGGAACATCTCCACTTGATGGTTTAATACTAATGTTCTGAATGGAAATATCAGCACTATTATCAACTTTATCTTCGTTAACTATTTTAATACGACCGTCTAGTTGCGGTTCTATAGGACTATACTTATTAACAAAGTAAAGCACGCTATCTAATTCACTATGAGGTAGTATATCTTTGGAAAGATTTTCAAACATAACATAACCATCACCTCCGTCTGCTATAAACAAAGGCATCACAACTTTGTACTCATAATGGTCTTCTATCTCCAGTTTTGTATCTCCACTACAATTGGAGCAAACAGCTTTGGCTATGAGAACCCTTGAACCGACTGGTCTTGCTAAGTCGTAAACTACTTCCATTCCAGAAATTTGTTGAAACTGTCCCGTTTTGTCGACAGTACTCCAGGTTGACACTGAATGTTCCAAACTCTGTTTTAATGTAGAACCATTCATTGTGACTATACATAGTGTGTTTAAAAATGGTAGCACGTTAATCCAGTCACCTCTAGTTAAAGGGAAAGGGGATCTATTATTATCTATTATTGAGCTACGTATAACGCCCCCCGTTATTGATGCTATATGCACACCGCGGTATTGTTGAGGGTAATTTTCTCTGGTGAAGTTTAACATGGCATCAGTGATCAAGTCCCCTATATTACATTCCCTTAGCCGGCAAAATCCATCCAAGAACACGAGAGACTGCCCTACAACCTCGTTATTTATTTGATCTATGTCTTTTTTGTAGTTTTGCAAGGTCTGAAGTAATTCTGGGTCCCTTGGTATTTGTTGGTCAAGAAGTATTGGCAGGCCATCACATGCTATTATTTCTCCTTGGGAGTCAAAAATTAAATGCAATTTACCTATGTATTTAGTGTAAGCGTAAGCTTGAACAACTCTCACTTTTCTACCACTTGCTTGCTTAACTTCTATAGGATATGGACCTTGAGGCGTTTCAGGTTTTTCCGAAGTAGCGTTGCCATTCCAAAGGAAAGTATTTGAATGTCCTCCTATGACTATGTCAAGATCCTCAACTTCTTTAGCAATAATCAAATCTTTGACAATTCCAGAATGGCCGAGGGCTATTAAAATGTTCACGTTTTGTTTTTTCAGGTGTTGAATTTCTTTCCTTATGGCTAAAATTTCGTCTTCATATTCGACCTTATTTTTAGCGGCCAGATATTTAGTCTCTGGCGTCAGATATCCAATAATACCAATTTTTTTATTATCTTTTGTTATTATTATGGATTTGTGTAAGTTCTTTTCTTTTTGGAGTTCGGGAACTTTGTCTAAAATGAGGTTGGCGGCTAAAACTGGTGAACTGAGGTTTCTAATGAAAGGTATTACTCCGTCCACACCATCGTCCAATTCATGGTTGCCGAGACACTGAAAGAGATATAAGAATCTGTGCGTTATTACTATTTAGTAGAATTAACAAAAAAAATGTTAGGTTGGCATATCATCTGCAGAGCAATTATTTTCACTTACGAAGATGTATGTACCATATATGTACTTTTTTTAGTCGTGTGGTCACGATACATATTACTATTTGAAGTAGTTGTACTTTAAAACCATTTGTCTAATAATAACAGTTATAGATAATAATAACAATAATAATATAGGTATAGATTTATTTTAAATAAAACATTAGAAGTTTAAAATATTTATTTTGAAAACGAAATGCACTAGCGTTAAGGAATTGTCTTAGGGTACTGGGATATCCTTCTAATATGTTTATAAAAATCGAGTTTATTTTATTAAGTGATGCACCCGAAGCTGTGACTTTATATAAAAGATTTTATAACAGACACAAAAGTGATTTTTATTCCTTTTGTACAAATGACCCTTCGATAAAAAAATCTATACTAAAGTAAAGTCAACTAAAGCAAAAGTCTCGATCCCGGCACTTCTAGTCACAAGTCTTCCCGGGACCATTATTTACACAAAGTTAAGTGAACAATTGTCTTTCATGTACGTTTTTATTTGATTAAATTGCATTATTAAAAACAATAAACACAAACAACACTTAATTATCGTTAAAAGAGTTAATCTTAAAAAGAAGCACAAAAGATTAGAAATTATTAGCAATGGATTGAAAATAGTCTGTTAACAACGTTCATTTAGTTATGAATAAATTAAAGGTTTTAAACATATGCTTCATTATTTAATTTACTCATAACAATACAATGACATGTTCAAATTTGTATACAGATTTCATAAAGCTCTAACTAAAATCCTAAAGACTTAATAACATCGTATCCTAGAATAGACGGTGTTACTTTTTACTGATAGCATTGCTGAGGGGCCTTTAAAGTCATTACTGCTAATAAATGCTATTTAACACAGATTACTTAAATTACGGTAATTGTAATTGCATCTTCCTAAAGCTCTCCAAGAAAATATCCTAGGTATAACAAAATAAAGCTTTACTATTTTAAGATTATTATGAATATCTTAATGTAACCTATCTTTCTACTTTCTACTTTGTTATGATCTGAACATATGTATGGTTGAAAGATGTACTAATGATCTAGCCGAGGTACTTCAAAAATTCCTTATAACAGAGCCCGCATAGTTATATTCATTTTGAGATAAAATACTCTCCGAAGCTCTGTTTTTTTTTCAGAGTGTGGAACCTCTCATAGCCGTGACCGCGATAGCGTCGGAGTATGCATCCTTTGGAGTACCTCTCTAATTAGGTGTGGACCTGCAGGACCAAACTCCACCGGTCTCTCCACGGTCACGTTCAGCATGAGGGACAAAACGTTGCAGTCCATGTTTTCCCGACATACATTTCAGGCATGTGAAGGTGGTAAGTCTTCACGTAAATATCATTTTTGCAGGATTCTGTCCGCATTCGGCTATTGAGTACTATACGAACCTAACCAATTTAGTATATACCGCAAGATGGCTGGCTTCTGTAAGTTGGTAGTTAGGTGATAAAAAGCAGTTGCAGTTCATATGACTGTAATCATAGTTACTGTAGCATATAATACATTATATATTACTATTTAATCTTTCTTTATCTTCTATTGTAATACGCAAAAATCACTACCAAAACATATTTATTAAAACCTCGACTGACTCTAAACTGCTGTTCCAATAACCGTTATAATAGATACTTTAGTTCTGAAGGACAATTCTCGTCATAAAGGTTCGTAAAATAGTTAAGTGTTACATAGACCAGCAGATTACCGATTCAATTTTCAGTTACAATACGATATGATCGCATTACAGTCAACGTTGGATGTTAAGTACTTTACTACGAAAATACCTTTAATGACAGTTGTGAGACAGAGAGTAGATCGGAACTGCATTGTGACCGAACTTTTATTACGAGGATTGGTCTTCATATTTTTAAAACAAATTAAAAATGAAAATTATGTATGTTTTACTAAGATTGATTATAAATCTGCTAAAGTTAATGATATTTTACTGCGCATTTTAACAGCAATCCATAAATTCTAGAGTTTAATTATAAACCTTCGGTAAGTACTTTCATAAATGCAAGTTGAACATCAACCTCTTAGCTACGATTAATAACTGTGATGTTGAAATAACTTATTCATTAGAAATTAAGTGCTTCTTCAGCATATTCACAAATATAAATAATTCACAATTGTAACACAAAATTTTTTTTAGAATAGATATAAACTTAATAGATACCACATTATAAATGAATTAAAGGAAACCTGATACAATTTTAACTAAACTCACTACACTCATACTTTTTTGATAAATAAATTAAATCATATATTTAATTATAAATAAAATATAAATGAAAATAGTAAAAAAATATCACGGCACCTGCGGAAATATCAAATTTATTATTGTAAGAACTGTGTATGTGAAAATCCATTTATGTCAAATAAACGGATATCAAGTCGAAAATCATAACTATCTCTGCTTTAATAGTTTTTTTTAAATTAAATTCAAGAAAATAATAATTTACATGCATAACCCTACATAAAATTCAAAGTTTCTGGTATTTAATAAATATTTCTTTTTAGTGTTGAAACTATCAATATATGTATTACTAATTAAAAATTTACTAACCTTGCCACAATATCTACACCTATGATGATGTGTAACTAATTTAAATCTCAATGTTATTAAATCCAACTTAAATGAACATTTGAGAAAAATAGAGACATAAATACATAGTAATACTTTAGATTATCCTGTAGAATAACACCACTTGATGGTATAAAATGTATGTTATCAATGGAAATATCAGCTTTGTTAACAATTTTATCTTCGTTCAGTATTTTAATGCGACCGTCCAGTTGCGGTTTTATGGGACTATACTTATTTAGATAGTAAAGCAAAGAGTCTAATTCATTATAGGGAAGTACTTCTTGAGAAAGATTTCCAAACATTGTAAAACCGTCACCACCGTCTGCCATAAATGAAGGCATAAGAACTTTGTATTCGCTGTCGTCTTTTATTTCCACTTTTGTATCTATACTACAATTGGAGCAAACAGCTTTGGCTATGACAACCCTCGAACCGACTGGCCTTGCCAAGTCGTAAACTACTTCCATTCCAGAAATTTGTTGAAACTGCCCAGTGCTGTCGACAGTTCTCCAAGTTGACACAGAATGTTCTAAGCTTTGTTTTAAAATAGTACCATTCATTGTGATTATTGAGAGTGTAGTGGAAAATGGTAGTGCTGTAATCCAGTCCCCCCTAGTTAAAGTAAACGGGGATCCAGAATGCGTTATTGAGGTACGTATGCGTCCTCCATGCACCACTGCTATATTGACATTGGGATATTGCTTATGGTATTTTTCTCTCGTGAAGTTCAACATGGCATCCGTAATGATATCCCCTATATTACATTCTCTTAAACGACAAAGCCCGTTTAAGAACACCAAAGACTGTCCCACAACTTCGTTGTTTATTCGATCTACGTCTTTTTTGTACTTATTTATAGTTTGAAGTAATTCTGGATCCCTTGGTATCTGTTGATCTAGAAGTATTGGAAGCCCATCACATGTTATTATTTCTCCTTGTGAATCGAAAATTAAATGTAGTTTACCCATGTATTTAGTGTATGCATAAGCTTGAACTACTCTCACTGTTCTACCACTTGTTTGCTTGATTTCTATTGGATACGGTCCCTCAGGTGTTTCAGGTTTTTCCAAAGTAGTGTTGCTATTCCATAGGAATGTATTTGAATGCCCGCCTATGACGATGTCAAGATCCTCCACTTCTTTGGCAATAATCAAATCTTTGACAATGCCAGAATGACCGAGAGCTATAAAAATGTTCACGCTTTGTTTTTTTAGATTTTGAACTTCTTTCCTTATGGCTAAAACTTCGTCTTCGTATTCGACCTTATTTTTAGGAGCCAGATATTTAGTCTCTGGCGTCAGATATCCAATAATACCAATTTTAATACTATTTTTTGTTATTATTATGGATTTGAATAAGTTTGTTTCGTTTTGGAGTTCAGGTACTTCGTCTAAAATGAGGTTGGCTGCTAGAACTGGTGAACTGAGGTTTCTGATAAAAGGCACAACTCCTTCCACAGCTTCGTCGAATTCGTGGTTCCCAAGAGACTGAAAAAAAGAGTAATGCATTATATTTGATTAGTAGGATGTTTAATTAAGTATAAAATCCCTTTCCCGAGAGCGATTTCTGTCAAATAATTGTATTAAATTTCTTTTCACTTACTGGTAATATGTAGGTATTTATAATTTAGTTGAGTTAGCGATGGTGTATGTTATTTTCTTACATCATAATGTTTGAACTACTATTTGTGTAGCAGTATCTTTTTCATTAATAATTTTTAATTAAAAACTGTATTGTAATATAGTTTAGGTAAAGAATGTAAAATGAAACACATAAGTGTAAAAAATATTTATTTCACCAAAACTTGGGATGAAGGTCGTTCGAATTACGTTGAAATATTAAAATTATTAACAAAAAATTCAGTCGATGATTGTCTATCAAATATCTACCTATTTAACTAAAAACTACAAAACAATTTAAAGTAATGATAGTAAAAATGCTAATAACACTGATATTAAGGATAACCTTACGATATACGAGGAACTGTTGGTATTAGGTTGAAAATTATCTGTCAACAGCGTTATTCTTCCCTCAATTTGAGTATAAATGGGACTATGTCTTTTGATATAATATTGAGTAGCAACTAATTCACTATAACCTAAAGTTTTCGTCGGCAAACCTGAAAACATTTTATATCCGTCGCCACCAATAGCAACAAAACCAGGCATTATAACTTTATAAACATCTTTGTCAATGATTTTTGAATAACTTGGAACATCACATGCCCAACATCGAGCTTCAGCTTTTATCAATCTAGATCCTTTAGGCTTATTAATATCGTATACAACTTTAATTCCAGAGTACTGCAAAAAAGGTCCCGATGCTTCTAAATCATTGTAGTTATTTACCGAATGTTGAATCATTTTAATGAGAGTGCTACCATTTACTGTTACCGTCACTAAGGGACCTTCGAAAGGCATTACTGTAAGTAATTCACCCTGGGTTATATTTGCAGGCATTTTCACATGTGAAATAGATGCTCTAATACCGCCTGCTTGAATTATGGCAATCGGTGCATCGGTCCAATGCTCACCAGTATAGTCTATCGCGTATCTAAATATCATAGCATCCGTTATTAAGTTGCCAAGATTACATTCTTTGCGCGAACAGCTTGCACCGTCTAGGAGAACAGAAGTATATCCAACAACTTCTTCAGTTATGTTATATAAACTGTTTCTATATTTGTTAATTATTTCCAAGACATCTGAGTCTTGTGGAATTTTATTGTCCAACAGAATAGGAGTTCCATCAGCATTGATTAAATCACCGTTAGAATTAAATGTTAAATGCAGTTTCCCTAGATATTTAGTATAAGCATATGCTTGAACAACAGCAACGCTTTTACCGGATTCTTGTACTAAGTAAGTCGGGTAAGGACCTTGGGAGTGTTCAGAATCTGGGCTGGTTCCATTCCATAGAAAAGTGTTTGTGTGTCCACCAATAACTAAATCGACACCTTCAACTTCTCTGGCTATTTCCAAATCCTTGGGGTATCCAGAGTGCCCTAAAGCTATGATAATATCTATTCCTTCATTTTGTAATTTTTGTACTTCTTTTCTTATTGCCAGGATTTCATCAGTATATTCAACATCATTTGGTACAGCTAGTCGCTTGGTGTCTGGCGTTAAGTAACCGACAATACCTATTCGGCGTTCGGCAACTTCTATTACAATAGATTTTTTAAGATTAGTTAGTTGTTCTAGCTCTGGCACTTTTGTCAATATAAGATTGGCACTCAAAACAGGACATGTTACATTTTGAATGAAGGGAGCAAGCCCGTGGACTCCAGTATCGAACTCGTGATTCCCAAGGGACTGTAACAAACGATCAAATGTAGTGTCATTAATCAAAACACGTTTGGGCTTCATATCTGCAAATTCAGCAGGCATGCACGGTATTTATACAATATTTCAATTATTTTCGTCACTCTTTGTTTGAATATGTATCACTTTATTTATTTATGACTTCATGCACAAATATATATATCGGCGGACTTAATGCCTAAGGCATTCTCTGCCAGTCGACCGATTGGGCGATGCAGAGAAAGTTTACTTTATACTTTACAGTTTACTTTATTCATAGATGGATAGGGATGGTTCAGTACTTATCTTTTTGTTATTAATAGGTATTGCATTTATAGTACAAAATACAGCAAGAGGTAAATTAAAAGCGTATTTCACAAATCTTAGAAAAAAAAAACAAAATACCATTTTGATATACAATAGAAGATTGCCTTCTAGGAAACTTAAAAATTAAAATTGGAAACATTTGTTACACATATGATATGCGTTCAATAGTTTGTACACGGGTTCGTGAGTGCGTAAATATTGTAGGTACCTATATACAGTTTTGTGGTGCGGCATCATTCAATCAACGTGATTACTTTGTTCCGACAAATTTTGTGCGGCGCTCAGTTGCAGTTTTATTGATTGGCGAGCATTATTGTCGAGTACGCCTATGTAGTATTGGGATTACATATATGTGCTGTCTGTGTGTCTATGTGTTAACCTTTTTTGTTGTGCCATCCCTGCGGTGAATAACTGGGAGATAGCGTATTCAGTGTTTTGTATATGATAGTATTTTATGTTTTGGTATTCAATGTAATGAGAGTCAATATTACTTTTCCCTTTTTTTCATTCTGTAAGACTATAATAGTAGATTTTCATTCATACTCAAAAAATAACTGGGTCATTTTAATGTATTTTAAATGTGGTGAAATGTATTGTTTTTTAATGACTTCTTCATGATCAGTATGATTTGGTCATCATACTGATCATGAAGAAATCACACACGTTTGATGCAATTCAAGTAAGAAAAGACATATCAATGATCTTAATGTATCAACTGACACTGCTAAAGTATGGTTAGTACAGAAAACAAACTCGAGCGCAGGTCTATAGAATTCACAAAAAGATAAAAGATGTGATTTTCATTAAAAGTGATTTTCATTAAGTAGTTACTTAATGTGAATTAATTTCGCTAGTCACTTGTCATGTTAAATTAAAAGATTTATCAATCACTGCTCAGATTTTATGATTTGTTTCTATGATTTTATTGATGGAATGAGTAACTGTTTTTTTTTAAATAGGTAGCAAATGAGCAATCGGGTCACCTGATGAATAGTCTGAAGGGAAGTCTTTTTATTGAAACTCGTATAGTTATTATTTCTTTCCAAAATTTTCTATAGTACCATTAATCGTAGGTGCAGGGACAGAGAATAGATATCGAAATCAGAATTTCTGCGCTTGGTACGACAGAGGAGGAAAGAGAGAAACAAAAGGGACATCTAGAAAGAGGTTCGACAGCTTCGACAGTTCCTATTTAGACTGGATCAAATACAGTAATCACGCTATAAATATAAGATGTATTAGAGCAATGTATTAGCTTTTTAAAAGTGTCGAATACAAAAGGCTGGCATACAAAATCTTTAAGACATTGTAGAAAAACATGCAATAGAGTCTTAATAAAATGTGTAAACATGATGGTATTTATTTAATCTATTAGAGTCTCATCTCTGTTACGGTGAAAAGGTATTGACGTACGAGCACTGTGTCTGGACAGTCTGACGTTAAAAACATGGAGAATGGGACGCAGTTCGATATATTCATTTACTGCGCGTAAAAATGGGTTTGGTATCTGTTAATTTTTAAAGTGAAATGCCAAAAAGGGTGATAATGGGGTTAAAATAAGTAGCGCAATTCTAGCAATATTTCTGGTAAAGAAAGGTCTAGAAAAAAATAAATCACAAAAAAAGCTCATGAAAATTAATACTTTCAAAGGCGGTGGAGATGTTAAAAGATGATGATACACTTCCGTTTTTTTGTAAATAAATACACGTATAAAAATGGTATCTTCAGTTTCAAATAATGGTTACTAAAATATTTTCAAAATCATATTTAATTTTTATACAGAATAAGGCAACTGTGATGACCTTCTTTCTTCATCATTCATGAAAAAATGTGTTGTTCATCCAAGTAGCAATGTGACAATGACATTTAAATTGCCAAGTGTAACATCATAATATAGTGCATGGTCATTTTCTCAGTAAACAGGTTATTTCTTTTTTATTGGCCCGTATCTACCTAGGATTTGATGCTCAGGGTAGAAAAATAGGTAATGCCTCATTAAAACTTTTTTAACAAATTCTTTCCGTAAGGGTATCCGGTATCAAGAAAGCTCGGACCTATCTAGCACAAAGGATCAGTATTTTCATTTAACGTAGTAAATTTTAACAATAAAAAATTAAAACTATTTTCGAATACGCCTTTTCGAATTTTAAGTGAAGCTAATAGCTTCACTTAAAATTGACTGTATAATTACGTTAATAAATCATGGAAATTAGTTGACAGTGTTATCGTTATCAATCTTATTTAAGAAATCAAACACAGAACTTACAGAAAAGAAATTTGACAACGTGACATTGGGCTTACCCAGCACTTACTTAGGGGTGGGGAAAAATTAAGAAAACTAGGCAAATGATTGGAATTTAATATGCTAATCTTTTTACCTATTTCAATAATCACCTGCGAAGATTTCCGTAAAACCTGTTTCTTTGTTCATGTTGCTTCCAGAAGCCGTCTTCCTGTGCACACTCATCATGCAGAGGCCGACAAGTCGGTTTTCTGTCATTGTTGATCGCAGCCAAGTTTTTACCCTGCGTATAGTACTAAAACACCTTTCGATTCTGGTTTAAAATAGATAATTTTTTGAAAATTTGACCAAAACGTTCAAGAGACGCATTGGATTGTGCAATTTAAAAAACATTTTGTTTGACCATCCCAAAACTCATACGACACGGCATTGGTTCTGCACCTTTCTCCGAAGACCCTGAGAGCTTTAACAATATCAGTACAGTACAGACAAAAAATTTGCAAGTAATTTAAAACAATTCTGGAGTTTAATATTATTTATTGGTGTTGCACCGGGATTTAACATATTTTTAAACTTCCAAAAGTCGATCGCTTGGTAATAATGGCAGAACTGAACACAGTGACACAACTCTGACTTGAAATTTACCTTTAAATACCGAATATCTTTTTGCCCAGCCTCTATAACTTTCTGCAAATAGCACCTTTTAATCTTAACTAACATTATAAATTCTGAACCGAGAATTGAAAGCTGCAAGTTCAAGTTAGTACGTCTCGATTTTCATATCACTTAGTACTTAAAACGTAAATTATTATTGGTTGTGTTTTAGGTGTACTAGCATTTCTGCCTTTTTTATAATTTATTGCCGGCCCTTCTATGGAAAATTGTTTTCAATGAACTCATCACACAACACAACGACCGTAGATTTGCAGTAGTCTAGAGTATCACAGTAGCCTATGCAATCGATCTGACTATACTTATCAGTAGTCCTTTTGAGAGCGTTATATACAATCAAATGAGATGGTTGAAAATTACGTTGAGATAGTTGAGACAGTGTGGTCTATAACACACAACTTGAACGTGAACCCATCGAAAACGGATGAACCTTTTGATGATCATGTCACAAACAAACGTAGGAGTAATACTAGATGGAACATCATTTTCGAGGTCTGGTTCAAACTGGGTACGCCCACGCAACGTTACATTAGAATGTTCAATAAAATCTTCTAAAAAAATATTTATAGAGCGGCAGATTACGTTGTAATAATTTTAGGATAGTTAATAAAAATCACAAAATTACTTACTCATTAATTTTTTATTTACATCATCATTGGTATAAGCATAGAAAAGCTTATATTATATATATTATCTTACATATATTTCATACCTAATTATTTTGATGTTGTTTTCGTATATGATCAGGCTAATAGAAAGACAACAAAATGTGTCTAATTTCGAATGAACTATTTTTTTTTCGAAAATGAATTAATGAATGAATGTGTGGATTTTTTCGAAAAAATCGAATGGTTTTCGTATCTGTCACGTGTTTTGCATTTCTAAACTTGTGTTTTCTTGAGTTGCAACTTGTAATAAATTTGTAGACAATGGTGGCAAGTTCGTCGTCAAGTGCTCCCAATAACATTGAAATTTTAAATTATAATGCTGCGGTATAACATGATGCTGCAGCATTGTTTTTGCGGCAAAAAAATTGGTAATAAAATAGGATGAGATGGTTTGTTTCATCTCATGTTACCTATTACTTTTTTCATTAATTTGCAGTGATGTTACTTTAAAACCTATGTTTCACGCGCTAAGCATTGATGGTGTGTACTTTAAAAGTATAAAATCGTGCTCAAGGCAGCAATGTACATGGATAATAATCTATTGAATCTATTGAATAAAAGTTAATATTGTCAAATGGATCGAACCTACAACACTCGACAGCAACTATAAAAGCACCACTCCTAAGGTTTAGTAACACCGTCTGTTTATGTGGGTTTCTTTATAGGTAATACTATCAAACCCTTATTTTACATTTATAATAGTACTAGCGAACCGCCCCAGCTTCGCACGGGTGCAATGTTGATACTACTAATACTACTAATGTAGTGTAAGTGTGGAGTATATAATTATACTATTATTTTGGTACTGACTGTAACAACAGGACATATTTCTATGCAATATTTAGAGGCCCGCTCCGATCCTGCCGGCCGCACACCCGCGACGTACGTACGGCCCAAAGCTGCGACAGCTGATTAGCCCCCGCATTTTAAAGTTCTAATATCTTCTAAAACATTCATTCCAATGATATGCTGTACAGCAATTTTAATCTACATTAAATTCACAATGCATCTAACGTATTCTATTGGATAAGAAATTATAATGTATTGTTTAAAATAGCGCTGTAAATAACCCATTATTTTTTGTAATATTTGGAAGACAAAAATGGTTACTGTGGGTTATCCTTAGGAGATAGACCATCGCGTTCGCGTTTTTTGTAGATCTTTGTAGATCTTTTTAAGGTATACAATTCCGTCGTACATTATTTTGGTCTATCTCGTAAGGAATAGGCAGCGTTTGCGATGTTAACGTGCAAAACTATGTTTTTTACGACAAATCTTTGATATTTCTCAGATTGTCTCTACTATACGAGTAATATGCCTGTATTAAACATATGTATAAACCTTTCGCTTGAATCACTCTTTCTATTGGTGAAATACGCATTGAAATCCGTTGCTTAGTTTAAAAGACTTTATTTTATACGAGTACTATGTAAAGATTAACCTCTAGAATGTTTAATTCTACATAGGATGTGTAAAATATCTAATACGTTTAAACTCTACTTATCCATTCGCTACTCTTTAATCATAATCGTAACAAATAAAACTCAATGTTATTTCAAGTTTTCGTTACTAGATTTGGTATTCACTTAGGCCGAGATTGATAACTGTCTGTTCTATTCTTAACTTCAATTCAAGGCCTCTTTCACCCGATAATCAGGGATAAATAAAAATTTGTATATGTGTGTGACACAGTAGTGAGTGTGAATAAAAGATATGCATATTGTACCAGATAACAATAGAACATGTACATTTCTTTGTTAACATTAACGCTTCATTCAAATGCTTATCTAGTCAATCAAATTGTACTCAATTCAGACTTGTGTGATCAGTTCGACTGCGGTGTACATCCAACTTACTACTTTATCTTGTTCCTTTATTATTTATTTCCTTTTTATATGTATAATAAGTATGTTTTACAAAAAAAAAAGTATATTATGTATTTATATCAGTTGTCTAGTAGCCATACTACAAGCTCTGCTTAATTTGGGACTAGATGACGTTTTGTAAATGTGGTAGAATGTTATATTTATTTATTTTATTTCTTTTAAAAATGGTAAAACTTATTTTATAAAAGCAATGAGTAAGTCAATGATATCCATACAATGAATGAACATTTCAGGTATGAGCCTGAGTTAATTTGCAATTGTTGAACATTATCGATAATGATACGTTCTTCGACAGATGGGTGTACGGAACTTCGGCTACTTATAAACTCTATTGTAGATTCTAATTCATCGAAGGGTAATGCTATTTTAGGTAGATCTGCTAACATTGTATAATTATCGCCTCCCATAGATAAAAATGCAGGCATTAAGATGTTGTACATTTTTCTTACTCTTAAAAGAGAAAATTGAGGATTTAAACATTGACCGCAACGCGTGTAAACTTTTAGAACTCTAAAGCCAGGCGGTTTACAAAAATCATATTCTACCATCATTCCTGACATTTGCAGAAACGGTGCAGGAGCACGTGTGAGATTGTATTTAGCTACAGAATGTTCTAACATTTTCAAAATGAAACTGCCGTTAATACTTAGTTTAACAAGGTTTCCATCAAAAGGCATCACTCGCAAAAGGTCTCCCTTTGTGATATTAGCTGGCAAAGTTATGTGGGCTATTGAAGCCCTTATCCCTCCGCCTTGGATAACGGCTATAGGAGCATCGGTCCAACCTTTTCCTTCATAACCTTTAGCATATTTTTCTACCATCGCATCGGTTATCAAGTTTCCCAAATTACACTCGCTCAAACGACAGGACATCCCATCCAATACTATAGGCGTGACCCCAACAATAGTTTCTGTTATATTCTCTATACTTGCCCTGTAACGGGTTACCATTTCTAATAATTCAGGATCTTGTGTAATTGATTTATCTAGAAGAATGGGATTTCCATTACTACTTATTATTTCACCGTCTGAATCAAAGATAATATGTAATTTGCCAAGATATTTAGTGTAAGCATAAGCTTGTACTGCGGGAACTAATCTTCCCGACTTTTGTTTCACTAATGTAGGGTAAGGTCCTTCAGGTTTCTCTACGTCAGGGCTAGTACCATTCCACAAAAATGTGTTAGTATGTCCACCAATAACCAAGTCAATGTCTTCCACCTCTTTTGCTATTTCCAAATCTTTAGTAAAACCAGAATGACCAAGAGCTATGAGAATATTAACTCCTTGTTTTTTTAATTTGGCTGCTTCTTTTTTTACTGCTGTCACTTCTTCAATGTATTTGACTTCATTTTTTATAGCCAAGAATTGAGTATCTGGAGTCAGATATCCAATGACGCCGACGCGTGTACCATTAATATCAAATACTACAGAGTTCATTAGGTTACGTTCTACCAGTAATTCTGGCACTCGTGTGAGGTTAAGATTCGCAGCCAGTACTGGGCACATAAGGGCTTCTATAAAAGGTGTGAGTCCAGATACACCATTATCAAATTCGTGGTTACCCAAAGACTGTAACAAAAACACATAATCTTTTACTTGGGTTAATTAATTAGCTATTACACTGAAAAAGTCAAGTCATGAGCAAAAAAGAAACATGCAAAAAATAAATTTAAAAAAACTGTAACACCTAAAATAAAGTTCCATACAAACGTTAGTCACCCAAACACAAAATATGATTGTTAGTAAAAATCTGCACATACATAATTATAAATATGTTTAAAACCATTTAACAGAAACATGAAACATATAGCAAAAATAACAATATGCTACTTCATAATAGTAGTTCTTTCTTGCACATACTGCATAAAGTAACCATACGACTACCAATACGATTAACATACGAGAAGAGTGACAAATTCTTCGCGGTAGCTTAAAATGTGGTTGACTTGTAGTTAGTTCATCGAGGAACAACCACACTGGAGGCAACATTTTAATGTTCAAATTATTCTATTGTAATTATAACCTAATAGGGTTATCCCATGTTCCCCTGTTCCCGTGACCTTATTCATTACCGTCATACTGTTACGAAGTTCTTTAATCCTTTGTCTTGTCTTTATTTTTACGTTGATTAAAACGAATTTATTTAATTATTTTACTAGTAATTTATTTTAATTTTCTTACTTTAGTACACCCACACCCCATTTAGAGACACCCACATTATAAATTCATCAAACGGTATCACTAGTACGAAACACCTCCAATACTCATTCAATTGAAAGAGCGATCGAGCAGAATCGGGGGTCAAAAGTGTTCGTATAATATCTTGGAAGAAGCTACCTGACGAAGTTGACCACAGCATGTGGAGAAATCGTTTCTTCGAAGCCGGCAGTCCTTTCGGAAGTGGGAAGCTCCTAAGGCCGGTTTTACGCATCGCATGCATCTCGCTCTGATCCCGAATATGAGGACTCCACAGCCACATTAACACGTCACCACACCGAAGACCTGCCAGAAGCACTGACGAAATTGAGATAGCTCTTGGACGTGGAGCAGGAGTGTGGTCGTCTTGTTCTTCAAAAAGGGTGATAAGACCATGTTCCTATAACTATATATATACTATCTAACTATAACTATCGACCCATATCCCTTCTAAGCCACGTCTACAAGCTGTTTTCGGGAGTCATCACGAACCGTCTTTGCCCGAAGAGTAGACGAATTCCAACCACCGAAGCAAGCTGGGTTTCGGAGCGGATATGGTACCACATCCATACAGTGCGGCAGGTACAGACCGAAGAATATAATACGCCTCTGTGTCTAGCATTCGTGGACTATAAGAAGGCCTTTACTCGATCGAGATCTGGTCTGATCCGGAATCCCTGCAGCGTTGCCAAATATATTGGCGATACATCCAAGTGATGAAATGTCTCTACAAAGCCGCCACCATGACCGTCCAATTACAGAATCAGCAAACAAGGCCTATACCGTTGCATCGAGAAGTGAGACAAGGGGACGTTATCTCCACGAAATTGTTCAAAAATGCAATGGAGGACATGTTCAAGACGCTGCACTAGAAAGAGCATGGCATCAATATCAATGGCGAATACATCTCTCACTTGCGATTTGCAGACGACATCGTCATCATGGCAGAGACGCTGCAGGACCTACAACAGATGCTAAATGACCGAGCTGACTCTTCTGTACGCATCGGCCTACGGATGAACTTGGATAAAACCAAGATCATGTTTAATGAACACGTACTACTGGCAACGATTGCTGTACACGGTGCCGTTCTCGAAGTTGTTCAAAATTCTGTGTACCTCGGGCAGACATTGCAGTTAGGTAGAAATAACTTCGAGGACGAGGTGAACAGAAGAATTCATCTGGGTTGGGCAGCGTTTTTGAAGCTACGTCCAGTCTTCTCATCGTTGATCTCACAGTGCCTTAAGACGAAAGTCTTCAATGAGTGCATCCAACGGAGCCGAAACGTTTACACTTACGGTACGGCTTGACCACAAGTTCAAATTCGTTCAACGTGCTATGGAAAGGGCTATGCTCGGCGTTTCTCTAAAGGATCGCATCAGGTATGAGGTGATCCGACAGAGAACCAAGGTCACCGACATAGCCTACCGGATTAGCAAGATGAAGTGGCAGTGGGCTGGCTATATTAGCCGCAGAACCGACAACCGTTGGGGAAAACGAGTTCTTGAGTGGAGACCGCAACCGTAACCGCTTACAGGTGGCAGTGGGATGGTCATTTGCGCAAGATGGCTGCCAGGAGCTGAAATGGGAGAGGCCTATGTCCAGCAGTGGACTGCGATAGGCTGATGATGATCACTAGTATAAGATTTCCAAAAAAAAAAAAAAAAAATACAATCCCAACGTTGATAACAGCAACGAAGGTGTCAGTCCAACCAAACCCTTTACGAGTATACTGCTAGGCGTGCTTGAATATAATTTCACTGGTAATTATGTTCCACATATTACATTTCTTAAACGAGAAGATCGATCACCTAAATTCACTAAAGTTTTAGCAATGACCCGTTTAGGTATTTTAGTTATTTTTTCTTACCGATCTTAAATTTACAATACGTACCTGAAGTATCTTGCAGGGTTGACTTGTTTAAGAGTACATTACTCACAAGTTCAGCATCGAAGCCGAATACAAAAGTTAGCTATCCCATATACTGCGTAAATTATGTTTACATGTCAGAACAAAAACAATTATGTTTACATGTCACATTCAGGTTTTCGTTTTTTACAAAAACCTATTAACCGTTAGGACTGGGGGCTTAAGATGTTTTATAAAAGACGTAAGTCCAAGAACATCACTTTCAGACTCGTGCTTTTCGATTACAAAAAATACGTTAATAGACTAATGAATACTTCTACCAAAGATATAAGTTGTTTTCGATGTAATGTCTATATTATTTTAATTCGACATCGTTTTCTGACATTAGGAATGCCGACTATCATAATATGACATTCTAATTTTTGTAATTTTTACATTCAGTTTAAGGTGAAATAAGTTAGTAATTTATTAGTTCATACAAATATACATTTTATTAATTAATAATAATAACTGGCTTAGGTTACTGTAAGCATTAGTTTCCCTTAGGTTACACTAAGCCAGTTAGTATATTCTGGACATCGGAGGCGCACCTGCCTGAGTGACACCGAGGGTGTACGGAACGAGGTTTTCTTTCCACCTGTCATAGTGGTCGCCCGCGGACGACACGGACGGACATCCACGTGTGCCTGGGCATCGCTTAATTGAGATGTTGTCACCGAGAGGTGCCCTCGCTTTTGATGCCAGGCGCTAGGAGGGATCAGGATGTTTTAATGAAAACTGTTCCCGGATCCTTCATATTTTAGGCGCAGTATGGCACTGTTTGTGGTTTTAGTCGGTACGATGCTAACACATTGCCCGACTAAAACTCTGGGGAGTTGACGGCCTTTAGGGGTTTCCACACGTACAAAAATATAGCTAGTTATTGTTTTTGGCTTTCCTCGGTTTATTTTGACCCAGATAAAATTGGATTTAGAAATAATATCAGTGGAAATAATAGAAATAATATAATTTATTAAATATTTGTACTCTTTTATGCATGCAATTACAAATGTTTATTTTTAAAGTTAGTTGTTAACCTTATCTAATGAATCACAATCCCATGCTAAGAATAATAATTAATGATCATCGTCATGCCTTCAACAATACTTACAACCTCCTCGACTTCCCAGCATATTTGTTTTATTAATTTTTTATTTTCATAACCTCAACCAGAACTCAATTGTACAGGATAATTGTTGCGACAAAGTATGATTGCATTGAGGTACTTTTCAAATACGTTTATTAACAATTGAAAAGTTTTTAACTTCATATTTTCAGTTTTTTTTTGTCTAAATATTATTAATGTTGTGGTGTCTAAATGTCGTGGTATGTAACTTAATACATAAAATAAGTTGAAGATACACATTTTAAAAATGAATTTAAAAAAACACACGTAGAAGTAGTTTATTAAATGATTTTATTATTATAATGTGGTATTGTATAAAAAATAATAATACATCATTATACAAAAAGAGTAGCACAAATTAGTTGTAGATGTTCATAGTAATTGATATAAAAGCGACAAGAAGTAACGATGAGGTTACGGCTGATGCAGAACTAGATAAGCGTATCCGACCGGCCACTTCGGGGTACACAGGACTTCTCATTCTGAAATATTCAGATGCACAAGTAATCTCATCGTATGCAAGATTAACCCTAGGGAGTCCAACAAGCATGCTGTATCCATACTGGCCGTCTGCTAATGCTGCTGGCATAAGTACTTTGTAGTCCCTAGTATCCTCAATAGCATAAAACTGTGGCACAAAACAACTCCAGCAACGAACTAACGCGCTCACCAATCTGGATCCAGGTGTATTCTCCAAGTCATAAGCAACGCGGATGCCTGAAAACTGCAAAAATTGTTCGGTCGGCGTTCTTGAGTCGTAGTTAAAAACGGATTGTTCCAAAACCTCCTTGAGGACGGTTCCTGTCATAGTGACCGTAACCAAGTTGCCTTCTATTGGCAGAGCAGCCAGTAAATCACCTCTTGTAATGGAAGCAGGACGGTTGGTGGGTGCAATAGTGTTTTTAATAGCACCACTATGGATTATAGCAATCGGGGCGTCTGTCCAGCGCTCATCTTCAAAATTAATGGCATAATAGTAAACAATTGCATCCGTAACAAAATTACCGAAATTGCATTCTTCTAGAGAGCATGATTTACCATCGAGTACCACTGCAGTAGTTCCAATCACCTCTTGAGATTTCGAAACCAGTTCAGTGTTATATTTTTTTATGACTTCTAGAGATGTTAAGTCTTGTGGTATAGATGAATCAAGATAAATAGGTTTGTTATCATATTTGACAATTTCTCCGTTAGCATCAAATGTTAATCTAACACTACCTAAATATTTATCATAGGCGGTTGAAAATATGATCGGTATAGTTTTTCCAGATTTCTGCGATACCAGTAAAGTTTCTTGTGTTGTAGGAATTGTGTCGCCATTCCAATAAAATGTATTTCTGTTCCCAGAAATTACGATATCAAGACCGGGAACTCCTTGAGCAATTTCCTTGTCTTTAGCAAGACTAGAATGTCCTAAAGCAATTATGATATTGACATTTAGAGTTTGGAGTAGATTTACTTCTTCTGTAAGCGCTAATATTTCATCGATGTATTCTACATCGCCTGCACTGTCTAACATCCCACTGTCTGGAGTCAGGTATCCTACAACTCCAACTTTGACATCGTTAATATTGAATATTATTGACTTTTTAATGTTTGCCTTGTTTTCGGCGGATTTAATTATTACATTAGTGGCAACAATAGGAGCGTTGATGTTCTCTAGGAATGACGTGATCTTGTGTTCTTTTTGATCAACTTCATTGTTACCAAGAGACTGAAAAAAGAAATTTATTTCTTGTTAAATCCCAGATATTAAAAAAAAAAACTTAAAAAGGTCATTTTGAATAACAAGTTGTTAATATGTATTACGATGTTAGTTTCTTAAAACAATTTTATTCTTTATGAACAGGATTACAATACTGACTTACAAACGTTTTAGTCTTATTATCTGCGTCCAGAAAGAAGTATTGAGAAAATAAGAGAGAGAGATTTATTTTCTTGATTCAAGAAAATAAATCTTAATTTTATTTCCAACACCACAATCATACATTATATAATAATAAGAGAATAATAAAAGTTGCCAACACCATTCTTCCTGAAACCCACCCAAAAGATACATACATGGATGAAATACCTAAATGCATGATACCAAGACATTAGTTTAATGTAATTTATTTAATTATTATTGGTTTTCATTAAAAATAAGTTAGTAAGTTTAGTATTTGTTAGTTACAATTTTGTTTGGAATAATCATATTTGGAGTTTTAAATACTTACTATATGGAGAACATCGTTGAGTGATCGTTATATTTCCAATGTTGATTGTCATAGTTTTAGTTTTACTTTTAAAAGCTGTCTCTGTTATGATTATAAAAAATATATTTGGCTACTGAGCGAAAAAAAATAAGTTAACCATTCTCAAAAGTATGATATTTTAAAGCGTTCATTGTCAGTTTCGTAGAATAATTTAATTCCACTAAATTTTTGTCTTTTAATTATTCATCTTCTTTTGTGTCATATTTAAATAGTTATTTCAGTAACGAGAAAAATTCAAATTACTATTTTTTTATTACTAATAGTACATTATATTTCATACATTAATTAAAATCTTCAAGACTTGTGGTAATTTGTGGTGGTGTGGGTAATTTTTACACATGTGTTACAATTGTACAATTTTATTGTATCTTTTGTTATTGATAACAGTAACCGTCGGGTTGACCATTTTGACTTTTGAGGGTTGGACCAACCACGACGGTTTTGAGATCATTTATTTTCTATTATATTTATTTTTCTATCTTTTAGATTTCTTTTAGGTCGTTTAATGTAGTCGGGGTATCAGGGATTTCCTTCCTAGGATACACCTGGTTCGCCGGCAACTGGTACCCGAGACGGCGTGCCGTTTTTGGTCGGTTCGAGTCCGACATATCCCCCGGTGGGTGGTATCCGAGGAGATTTCCGCATAGAAAAAAAAAGGTCGTTTAATCTTATTTTTATCAATGTGATATCTCGTATTTAGGTGGGGAAACCAAAATGTTGAAATTTGTTGCAATGTTTTATTAATAATATGTATATTTGTAATGGTTTTTGATACGAACATGTTTGCGGAATGTTTATCTCTCTCAGATAGTAAAACTAATCAAATAATAAAGCATTTAAAGATTGCCACGGTTGAGATAAAGAAATAATTGGATATATTTAAACGTTTCAAGGTGACTCGTAATTATGCTAAATAATTACGAGTCGGGTAAAGAAAATTAGCGTTTAAAATAAATATTGAAGTTCTATGTAGTATCTAAGTAATCTTCAGTACAAGTTATTCCGTTAACCAGATTTTAGTTTTTAAAGGTGAACTTAGATATAATTTGACAATGCCAAAAAGAACAATACGAATTCGTAAAATACTTTTTTTTAAAGGTGCCTTTTTCAGACAAAAGTCTATACTAATGTTTTGTAGAAAATAACATATCATTTTCAAGCTCTTTTGTAAACATTTGTAGGGATAAATTATAATCATAATGACATTTGACGTCCTGACTAAATGTAAGACAATACATAACATGTTAGAGTTTACATTTTTTATGTATTTACTAATATTTTCTTGCTAAACTTTAGGGACATGTATTGTGTAAATAATTACAATCTAATTTTATATCTGAATACCACACAAGGAAAAAACATTTTTTTTTTCAGTATACCTATTTATAAACCTGTAAATATATTGTGTTTATACTATAAGATCCATTTCACGAAGTCTCTTTTGAATCAGATCAGTATGTAACTTAATATGTACCCGTAAATTCAGTTCACCTAAATTCCAATCGACTGTTTGAAACTTTAGTATAAAATTCTGCAAAATGAACGGGCACTAGGGTTGAATATGATGAGCTTTTATGCTGTATGCAAATGTTAACATAGTTGACAGACAAACAAAGAGTGACGTCACTTTTTATCAAAAATGAAAACTGACAGACTGCAATATTGGATTTCTGTTTCATTTATGCATTTGTAAATCATCGCTCAACTTTAAAGCAACATCTTTGAATGCAAATTTACAAGCTTGATCTGCCGATTACTATATACATTAGAACAATATGGCAAATTGAATTTCAAGAAGCGCCACAGAAAGCTCAAGGACGTATGGCCATAATAGAAGCCTTGTGGGTTAAACGGACGTTGAAAAAACATTTTTATTAAGTCTTATAAAGAGATCGATTACTAACTACGTAAAGCAATCGCATATTTGCGCTTTGAATTTTTTTCATTTCATTTCTTTATTTGATCGACTTTTTTCAAGTTACTTTTAAATTAAAGTATCTAATGAAATATTATCTTATCCTGTTCCTGATAAGTAAATGCTAACGGTATTTATGAGAAGCACTGTTTCTAGCATTTTGATCAAAACGTACACGTCGATAAAATATACAACACAACACAACACGAACGGACGGACAAAACGCGTGACGAATCAAAATAGTTTTTAAAATAGAAGTTTTTTGTTAACTCACAACAGCGTCAGGTTGCAGTGCGTTGATAAATTCAGCGGCAATTTTCCATTTGTAGATTGTGAACCAGGCCGTGCCGGTGTACGTGTCCCCGGCGTTTAAATACAGTACAGGAGGACCTTCCCCGGTTTGAGCTGCCCTTCTCGCTTCTTTTACTCTGAAATCGTGGTTCAAACACAAAACACAGAAGATAAAATTATTGATAGAAGTACTCTTTTTGATTGATTGATTTGGATTGATTGTATTATTATCACAGATGTTCCGAGTGTTTGTAGGTACTAGCTGTTATTATTGGTATTAGGTGCTTACGTTCAAATGCTATGATTATTTTAAATTTTGTCCACTATTTGGGCTACCTTTTGCAATAGTGTTATTTCTTGTTATAACGATTGCTAATGGAAAGTGGTCTGACAAAAAGAATTTTGTGGACGCCACAATTTGTGAAAATTATCATTTTATCCCAAAGAAATAAGATCGATCAAAGATTTAAGAGTAATGTTTTTGACTATTTATTTAGTGTTTATACTCTCAAACAAATCATTCGTTCTAGCGATAAAAACGTGATTCAATTTTTTACCCTACTAAGTTGAATCGAATCTAATAATATTAATAGAGTTTTTCTTGCTTATCTATAAGAAAGAAAATATGGCTCTAGCATGATCTAAAGCAAATCGTATTTAGATAAATATTTGATTTCATTCTTACTTAACAAAGTTAGAAATGGTTGGCACTAAGTTTCCTCTTACAATACTTTGTACTCGTATTTATAGACTGTTGTAATTAAAATGTATGATAAAGGTATAGGAAATGTGGAAACACGTTTGCTACTTTGCTTATATTTTTGCATTATCTTCAGTCTGTAAGCCGTCGTAATAATTGAGATATATCTGTATTACGCCTGAATGGGCAATTAGTCAGATTGTAATAACATTTACCACAGTAAGGTTCCTCTATGAGATTAATAATTTCCGTTGCGTGACAGCAAATTTGAATTTAGCCACAGCCTACCACAAATGTGACAGGACTCGCTTACTTCGCGCCTTGATAAAGCGTCTCTGTCGACCATAGGACTAGTTTCCTATAAACACATACCCTACAAATATGATAGAATTAGCTATTGACCGCGACTTCGTTCGCATAGAAGTTAAAAATATTTGTAAAGTCAAGTACATTAAGGAGATGTTTTAGATACACCATGCTATTATCGTAGTGAATACTTGACCATTATTTTGTTGGGGAGTTATTTTAAAATTATGATCTTATATCTCTCTAGATTTTTTTTGAAATCAAATGATGTAAAGAGCAATTTTATGAATATTGTATTTATTAGCATAATGATTAATATTATGTTTATACAAACACTTTTGCAAAAATGTTTTATTTTAGAAGAAGATCATAAAAAGGTTATTGAGCCTACTTCACAAGATAGACGCAGTCGCTGTCGCAGACTGTTTTTTTAGAACTTTTAAAGAGGAACAATTCTGTCATACAAGATTTTTGCGAAACTTTAATCGTTTACGCAACACACGCAACGGGAAGGAATAACTCAAAAGGAATAATTATCCCCCGTTTTTGCAATATTTTTCATTGATACTCCGCTCCTATTAACCGTAGCGTGATGTTATATAGTCCTTCTTAAATAAATGGGCTATCTAACACTAAACGATTTTTTAAATTGGATCAGTAGTACCTAAGATTAGCGCGTTCAACCAAACAAACAAACAAACTCTTCTGATTTATAATATTAGTATAGATTAAAAAAGGTGCATCTACTGTCTATCAGGCGTAAGTTCTATATTTCCATGTAAAAGGAAGTTACGTAAGTGTATACTTGCGAAGTGCTCTGGCTATTCAAAAGCAAAAATATAACATTACGTAAGTAGCGCGTCCCATCTGAGTGGAAATCGGCTTACCTACGTCCTTTTAAAAAATATCCAAGAGAAGAGACGGTTCACTGAAATTTTGTACCTAACGATGAGATTTTTGTTTTTACAAATATACCAGTTTATAACTACTAAATCGATTTCTATCTTAAAGTAGATATTTATTTAAATATTTTTATTCTATTTTATTTTACTAGTCGTCAAGACGTCAAAATTTGATCAAAATTCATTAATATTGATACAGCTCTTTTAAGGTTCGAGAAAAACTCTCTAATATTGTTATCGATTTCACTAAGCTCACTAATACAATTAAAAACAGAATCCTAAAAGATAATCGATTGAAACACAAAATACAGGTGACACAATACTCTGTTTGATTTATTGATCAAACATTCGGAATGTCAGTAATAATAACGTTCTAAGTGTTTGTAGGTACTATTAACTGATATGGTATGATTGTTGTAAATGTGCATGTTTGGTACATACATACATTGAAATGTGTACCCGAAGGTAAAGCCCATTAGATGCTGAAATTTTGTTTACTATAATTTGATCCCAACGTAACACATTGCAAACGGGTTTATCAAGCTTGTGAGTAGGTATATCAAGAAAAAGAAAGATACGTAAAAAGGGAAGCAACGTAGGGTCAGGAAAATAGTTTTGGGCGTACAGGAAGAGGTGGAGCCATTCAGGGTTGAATAGGTTGACTAGTTGTTGTATCATTATTATCAACAGCCATTAGTAGTCTACTGCTTGACATAAAGACAGGCCTCTTTAGAAGATTTTGGACTATTTCACGCTGGCCAAACAGGTTGGTATAGGGTTTGTTTCAAGTTTTACTCCTCTTTGCAGTGCTGTTGTTCTGCGTAGTTTGTTCCTTTAGTCGGGTTTTATGACACCCACGGGATGAATAGGTGACACTCCATATTTCTCAACACAGGGTGAGTAGTTGTTGTAATTTGGTATTTTTTTTTGTAAATTTCAACTTACACATGAGCTACTCTTGGAAATCCACCGTAGCACTTTCCTGCCTCTCTATCGGCTGTGGTACACGCACCGCTGAGTTGTGATGTTTGCTCAAACCTCGCGTGCATATCATTGTTGTGAAGGATGAGCAGTTCGAAGTTCTCCCCGGAAGGCTTGACTATGCTTGCAGATGTGAATGCTGCCGCAGTCAGCAGAAATGCTACGAGGAGTTGCTGAAAATTTTATAGAAACATTGTTAAACTGTGTGGACATGAATACAACGAGACGAAGGAGTTTTTTTATCAAGGACCGATGGCAATACAATAATTAGATAAATTTTTCCTGATCGAGATTGTATTATCCTGATCAAGATCTTCAGGATTAACGGCTTTTTCCATACTTAAAAATACGTAAGTGTCTTTTGCCACGTACTAAGGCGTGTGCTGAAGCATATGTGACTTACTTATTACTTTTTAGTCTTAATGCGAAGATATTTATTATTAACGAGTAAAAAAGAAAATTGTTAAAAAAACGTTTTTTACTAAATAATTTTTTAAAGTTAATTAACTAAAAAGTAGAAAATAAATTTTATAACTTCAAAAAGGACTCATGTTAGGATGCTTTTTGAGTTATTTTATAATATAATACTTTAACTACTTTTACCAATATCTGTCAATAGTTTTTTTACAACAATTGAAATCTAAGCACTCTACACATTTTTGAAAGACCAGCGTCTGTTAAATTATTTTTCTTCTTGAACTTATAGGAAAATATTTTTACTTTTTAGTTCGACTAGTTTCAAAAGCGTGTTTTTTTGGTTTCTTAAACTATAATTTATTATGTAAGAAGCTATATTATATATTATATAGAATAGTAAATACTCCCGCATTGTAGAAAATTTCTTATGACAAACACCAATGTATAGATACAATAAATATTTTCTTATGTAGTTTATGGGTTTGATTTGACTCATACACAACTGTACCAACCGCGCTGTAAAAACGCACAGGTTAAGCCCTCTTGTACTTCCTATAATCCTGGACCTTTTATTATTATCATTTTAAATAATCCATAGGTAAGTAATAAGTAGCTCTAACACTTTTTGTACGCTTTATAGAGCTAAACAAAATAATAAACTAACGTATGCGAGATTGGCATTCATATTTATTGAGAAGAAAAATCCCGTTAACCCCGAATTCATTTCCGGGAGTGTAGAAGTCTTCTTCTTCTATGCCCTGAAAATTGACAGCATTGTCTCCCCGGGATGTTTCACTCCTGCAAATGGAACCCATAGCCAGGGTTCGAAATCAAAAAGTTCGAATCGGATGGCAAATTAAGAACTACTTAATTTATGATATTGCAAGTGGAAGATTGCATTTAGCTATTGTTTGTAATAACCGATGAAGGTTAGAAAAAGTTTCTCTATTTAATTTAGGAATTATTAACATGCAAATTAGATAAACATTATAAATGAATGTTATCGCGATTTAGGCTTGATACATTTTTATAAACCGATCACTCATTTGTGGAAAAAGACAATGTCTCTCTGATTTTAAGAATAACCTTTTTGTGTAGCATGACTTCCAATAAGTGCATTAATCATATTTGATAATGCTGCATGTGACCATTAGATATAGGTAGTCCAGTCAAAATAGACATTTAAGGTTACAAAAAATCACATATTACTTTCAAAGGGATTCCTGTCATGTTAGATATTATTCCTCTTAGATATTATGAGGAAAATCGGACTAGATTTTTATAATGACTCCTTTTAAAACCAGAGTAATATAATTAGCTCCTTCATATCTTTGGTCCGTATAATCATTTTTCCTTATTCAATATAGAAAGTTCATTTAAAATGTCAAAAACGCAACGTTCAAGGTTGTTGAATACATATAATTACTTTGTGCTTTGTTCTTGTTTTAATATTTTTGTTGCCTCCAAAAAAAAAAACGAAATAGGTTTATCGTGTGTCTTTTTTTGTGTATGTTTACTGACGCTTAACTGGCAATGGCTACACTGATTTGAAATGGTAGAACTGGTTTCAACTACGACGAATATTTTTCGATTAACGTCAATCTGTCACGTCAAATCAGATCACGTCAGTGCACTGAGTTTTGGAAGTTGAGCTCTCTCTACCAGCCATCCCACGGTTTATGATTAGTCGTGTTTAACTAAGATCCACAATTTTTTTCCCGTAGATGCAAGAGGGAGTTATAAACTGCCAATCGAATGTAGTTCTTAAGCAGCTCATTGTACGGTAGAAGCGTATTCTTGAGCGCTTCATGATATTCTAAGAGCGGCGGTTTGTAAACGAAATTAGTTTTATGTCCTTCACCTTAAGTAGTGTCAGCAAAGGGGTTTTGTATAGGTATATGTGCTTTGTACTTTATAATGCCAAGTTGTCCGTTGAAGATTATCGTCTTTTAGGTGCAGTACAGAACACAGTGCATCCAGTATGCTAGTTAGATTCAGTATGTTACATGCCGACAAACAGCCTTACTCGTACATAAACCCTCGTTAGATACGAGTGGTGTCATTTATTTTACGCAGAATTCGTCTATGCTCGTATATGGTCTATTGCAACATTGTTCGATAGCATTCACAAACAGGCAAGTGTTTGTCTCAGGAGTATCTTTAGCGCTCCAACAGAGACTCCTACACTGGTATCATATATACATTTCGGCCTAATGGTTTGCCAAATCAGTTACATAGTACAAATCAATTCCAAAAATTGTATACCAATATTAATTTGGTCTGTAATATTTATTAAATATAAATGGAAAAAGTAAACTATCAAACCGAGAGCGCATCATTTCATTGCGAATTATTAATTTTCCGGCTGAATGTTTTAATTAGTAACCGACGATTTTCCGAGGGCACTTACTCGTATAACGTATTGATTTTCTGCTTTAAACAGACTATTCTCGAAATAATAACGAACCAGCGATACGATGCAAATTATGAGCTGATTCTTATGAAGTACTCCTATATAGTTGAGCACGAATCTCTTTCCTCTCTTTAGTAGTTACTCTTAATTTCTTTTTTTATAGACCGAAGTTGTCATACGAGCACACGGTTAATGGTTACCGGTAGGTTACATAAGCGGACATAACTCAATTAAAAATACAATCCAAGGGCTAACTAGTTAAAAAAATACTTGCAACTGCAAATAAAACGTAATTTGATTTTGATTACTGTTTATATAACTTTGCAATTAATTCATTAATAACAATTTAAATTTTACATGAAATATTAAAGTTTACATTAACTTTAATATTTCGTGTAAATAGTAACGCACAGGGCTGATATGTATTAGTCGTACACGACAATATGATACATATTGTCATTTATTATTTCGAAATAAAAGCACGGTTCAGAACCATATCTTAAGAAGCTCCACAGTTCTCGAACGTCCTTTCGTCTTTGCTCGTGTTAAAGTCACTTATTTTTTACAGGATAATATACTATTCTTCTTTTTTGTATCCTGTGTGAACTTATACACAATACTTATACACTTCAATACTTAATTGTGTAGTTTGATGGACTTCGTTTCAGGGTGCTTTGTTTAAGATATTTACAGTTTCATAACTAAACACGCATGTTTTTCCACACACCATTTTTCTATGGCCTGCTCACTATCATAGAGTAAAACATAAATTATGTAAAGTAGTAAAGTATGATTAAACATTCCTTATCGGTGACTTCAGGTTTATAGGTTCTTTGACTAATAAAATCAGTAGAACTCTACACAATTATGATGAAGATACATCAATTGTGGTAAATGTTACTACACTACAATTGACTAACTGACAAATATAATAACTAGCATCAGCTACCTTGGGGTATTTTAACATAACACGGATTACACAATGCACTGCGCTTCAAAACAGGGTGTATTATCAGTGGCTTAGTTTGTAACAAAATATGATAAAATACTCTTTTTCTACTGTTTTATTACATCGTGGGCAAAGCACTCTTTAGCCTTCAACCACCTACTTCATTGTTGCATTTTATTAGAATAAAAAAGATACCAGTTGTATGCATTATTGTGATACATAACCAACGCCAATTGTTCAATATCCTGTGGCCTTTGAATACTGAAATGAACTGTTTCCGCAAATTACCCGTAACTACAAGATACTAGGTCCTAAACTCTCATACGCATATTTGCATTGCTACCTTATATTTTTATTTTGTTCTTCGGTTAGGAGTGTCACTAAACTTATTCCGATAGCTGGATGAACGTCACAAAGGTGTCCACCACAAGTGTTTTTTTTTCAATACTAAAATAAACGCGGCCTACAAAAGTGTACTAAAGAAACCTTCTCTGTTATAAAGCTTTGGACTCGACTCAACTGAAAAGCAAATACAAACACTATTGCGATAGTTATGAGGTCTAACTTCAATGTTCTGTGGGTTTACGATTTGTCGAAAAAAAAGCGGAACCTCCAAATACTGATAAAATGCTTAAAATTTGTATATGTATTATTTATAACACACATTATCTCTAACTAATTTAGATTAAACAAATAGTTCTACATTTCACGAGGACAGAGTGGTATAATTATGGCTATGTTTATTCATACATATACTTAATATGAGAAAGTCCTACAATATCTCAATGTCAATACTCTTTAGTCTTTCCAAGAAAATCATATTTTAAATTTTATCTTTCAATGTTCATCTTTTTATGTCGTATAATTGTAGTCTTGTGACTTCAATCAAACGAAGGCGATTCCTATCTTGCAATTGTACAGTTAATCTTCATTAGGTTTAATTGGATCGATTTTATAATATTACACGGTCATTTAGAAATCTAATCATATTGTTTCCTCGCATAATCCACTTGCCTGTTTTTCTAAGTCTTAAAATATTCTAGGCACCATTTTAATTCAATTTTAATTTGTTTCCTAAATAATTTTTATTTTGATTTTTTACATACGTAAGTAAAGCTAAATATAAGAACTGTTAATATCAATAGTCACTTTACTTACTTTTTACATATTGACTGTTAAGGATTAATTTGTTATTTTTAAAAAGCATTAAGATACTCAAGTAACTTTATATTCGACATTTCTGGTCTTTTTACACATGGAACCAAATTCAAGGATCTTCATGACTACTATTAGTATTATGCCATGCTATTAGTTCATCATCATCATCAGCATATCGCAGTCCACTGCTGGACATAGGCTACTATTAGTTATTATGGGATAATGTTTGTTATCAA